TGGTATGGAAAATAAAAATGAACTAAACTTATACAGGGTTGGAACAACTTGAGGGTGATCAGATGACAGAATTTCCATTTTTGGGTGGACTATCCCTTTAAAGCAGACTGACTGTTTACATTAATAACACAGTTAAGTGCACTTGGTCAAAATGCCCATTTTACTATTCACATGTTATTAGAGCAAGAGATATTCATATAGCATATGTTCCCATACACTTATGCGTCCTGTCAATCAGACAGCCCTAGGGTATTGGATTAAATGCATTATTTTTACAAATTGATTATTGACTTGATACCAAACTACTTGTACTGACATCCCTATTTTACAAAGTTTATATAAGGTCGAGGCTGGTCATTTTTGGATGATATTTGGCATATATGCACTAAAAGCTGGTGGAGCCTAGGTTAACCTTGATTATTTTGTTACAGCTGGCGGCCCACCAAGATGGATAAGCTTGAGACCTAACAACCACCAACAAACTATGTACCACCTGGTGGTAGTTTATTAGCCTAACCGTCTCATGCTGGCATGACCTGATTTTTTAAACGCAAATAGAGAAATAATGGTGGGAAAAAACGGATAGTATTTATTTTTCCCTATTGCTCTGAATGCAGGTTTTGTGCTTTGTGTTACTGTTATGAGTCCAAAACACTCATTGCATTGACGGTTTAACCCATGCCTTACAATTTAGCTTTATGAAGCTCATGACTCGAATCACAGAATTGATTATTCAGTCTTTAGGAATTCGTGATGCTGTCTTTTATTGGGAATTTTCTATTAGGAAAAGTTGTCACAATGTCACACTGTAAGTAGTTTAACGATTTTTGTTGTTGTAATAGACACACCTCCAAGGCAATTTGGTCTGTGAAACACCTGAAGCACTTCTCAAAGTACTAATTAACAAACCTCTCATATAGATTTTAATCTCCCTTCAAATTAAAATTGCTTAGATGTGCAGTGGCATGTTTAGTTAACCTCTTTCTTATATTCTCGAGTCCCTTCTCGATCTAGCCTACATTACCAATTTGTAGACTTTTACAAAATTTGGACAAATTGCATGTAAATGTCTCTCTAGTGTCAGATATAGTTGTCTAACGCTGCTCCCATTCCCATATATTCACACAACTGCTCTCCGTTTGACCCACCACTTTCATTGGAAATGATTTATTTCCTTCCAAGAACCTCATATCTCACCTCGGGCACCATGTTAGTCAGGACCGCCACTGAACTGACTCAACAGAAACCAGTCAGATGTCATTTTTTTAAAGACTCAAGTGCACTTCGTAGGTGTTGCTGTGGTTGCTGTTCACTCGGAACAGATACAACAGATTTCATTATTCGCTCAGGGGTAAAAAGAATTTGAAATATGCAAGCTGTGGTATACTATTAGCAAACATCTCGACGCCACCCACACAACAACTGTGAGTGACGTTTAGATGAATATGGATTCATTCAGTTTCCTCTAAATAACAAAATAAACAACAAAAGTTTGTTTACATCAGTGAAAACAGCAGTTAAGAAAGCATCTGTTCATAGTGACATGGATCAGGGTGTCTACAGATATAAACAATATAAATTTAAGACTTTTTAAGACCTTTTTAACGCCACTTTGAATGAAATGTAAGACCAAACCTGTGATGGAAATACACATTATATTACAAACGTATATGTAATATTTAATGTTTAACCTAATTTTAATTTAATATTTAATATATATTTATAATATAATATAATAATATAATATAATATAATATTTAATATTTAATTTAATATTAACTACTTGTTTATTGAACTAAAATCAATGTTACATTTGCAATCGTGAGAATATTTAGCAAAATAGCTCCCGTCATGTTATGTTACTAAACTATATCATGTTATAAATAAAAAACTCAACGTTTTGAATTTAGGATGTTTCAGTATGTTTCTCATGTGAGTTTTTTTATGTGTGCTGCTCATTTGTTTTGATTTCTCACTATAAAATCTCTCACAGAGTATCAACAGCGCTACCAGAAATACATTATCATTATCAATCTCTGTTTATGTAATAAAATCAAGATCATTCTTACGATTCGATGCTTCACTGGTTATTTGACGGACATTGTGTGTGTCAGACTGGAGAAATTTTAGCGGTAATGTGACCAGAAATATTTAAGACCCATCGAATCTGAATTTACGACATTTTAATACTTTTTAAGGCCTTTTATTAGGAAAACTTTATTTAAGACATTTTAAGACTTTTTAAGGACCCGCAGGCCACCCTGTGGATATGTTTGCACAAGCTCTGCAATTCAGCTCTCCAGTCACATCACATTTATTTATATGCCACTAATAGATTTATTTTTAAGCAAGCAGCTTTACAGTATTAAGCATGAAAAAGATCTCTTTCAATTAGAATTACAACTTCATTTTCTAATATAAAGCAGCTCTCCAGTATTTTCATGTTTTCACTCGCGTCCGAACTCGAACGAACTGAACAGAAGAAATGAACCGGAGAAGATTTCCACTTCAAAGAAGGCGGAGCCTCAGAGCCACGCCCACCTATTACATCATCACCACAGACCAATGGTAGTACGAAGGGGTTTACCAGCCTGAACAAACCTTTCCAGAAAGTTCGCTTTGGCATGCTGTCTCTCAAACTACAGAAACAATCTCCAAACAAACTTCGTTTTGGCCTGATTTTGTTCAAAATACTACTACTAGTTCATACTGCGATCACGCTTGAAGTATATAAGGGTCTTAAAGGAATACTCCACTTTTTTTGGAAATAGGCTCATTTTACAACTCCCCCAGAGTTAAACTGTTGAGTTTTACCGTTTTTGAATCCATTCAGCCGATCTCCGGTTCTGGCGGTACCACTTTTAGCATAGCTTAGCATACATCATTGAAGTGGACAAGACCATTAAACAAGACAAGACCAGCGCCTGAAAATAGGCCACCTTCCGTCAACACAACGGAACTATTTTCAGGCGCTGCGTCATATCATTACGCCTGCTGCTCTCATGGTACGGCAGTGAAGTTTCTTGATTATTACGCAGGAATGAGAGTATAGTTCCTAGCCATATCAGCCTAGAAAATCTCAACTTTACATTTTCCGTCGGTCTTAGTGCACGATGTAACTACAGAAGAGTCAAGTTTTAAATAGGAAAAATATCGAAACTCTTTGGTCATTTTTTTTTTTGAAATGCTAATGGTCTTGTCCACTTCAATGATGTATGCTAAGCTATGCTAAAAGTGGTACCGCCAGAACCGGAGATCGGCTGAATGGATTCAAAAACGGTAAAACTCAACAGTTTAACTCTGGGGGAGTTGTAAAATTAGCCTATTTCCAAAAAAAGTGGAGTATCCCTTGGCTTTAACGTGTTTAGCTGACTCTAATTCATCCCAAACATTTAGGACTTTACACTGACATCTATCCACCTGGATGCCCGATTGACATTTTTTTAGTATCTCCTGCTGCTTCACACCTCATATGTTTGTTTGGTTCCTTTTCGTCTTTTTTAGTCAGTCTCATATTGCACACACTGACTCAAGCTCTGTTATGTGTGACTACTTGTTGGACATTTCATTTTTCCACTCATACTCATTCTGTTTGGACTGTCTGTCTGGTGGATCACACACGTGCTGATCTGTGCCATCACTCCAGACTGCGCTGCTGACTCATGCTCTGTTGTGTCTGTACTAGTATATAACTTGTGTACGTTCAGCTTGTAAAATGCCTTAAAAACTGGCTGAAATTGCTATATTACGTAAACACAATTCTATTAAAGGGATAGTTCACCAAAAAATTTAAATTCTGTCATTAATTACTCGCCCTCATGTCATTCCAAACCTGTAAGACTTTCGTTCATCTTCTGAACACAAATGAAGATCTTTTTGATGAAATCTGAGAGATTTCTGTCCCTCCATTTACAGCCAAGCAAGTTCGGTTGAGCTTCTGTTAATGTTCGCTGATCTATGTTTAAATGTGATTAAAAACCTAAATTGAATCTGTTCATCATATAAATCGAGTCTCTTTAGAAAACTTGGACTAAACCGCTTAATTCATATGGATTCGTTTTACGATCTCTTTCACAATCTGTTCATTATATAAAGCAATCGTGTCAATTCAGAAAATATATTCATATGGATTAGTTTTATGATCTCTATATGAAAGTTTTGAAGTTTTGAAGTGGTAGTTGTGTAGCTGTCAATGGAGGGACAGAAAACTCTCAGATTTCATAAAAAAAATCTTCATTTGTTTTCCGAAGATGAACAAAAGTCTTAAGGGTTTGGAACGACATGAGGGCGAGTAAATTATGACAGAATTATAATTTTTCGCACTCATCTCTTTGACATAAATGATCATAAAGTGGCCATTTATTAAAACAGCTTTTTTCTCTACACTGATGTCACATCTCATGTGAGTGAATATTTTAATCATATTTCTCAAATGTGCTGTTAACATCTTTATTTCAGAATGTACCTTTAATTTATTTATCTGTTAGAATCATGTCATGCCAACTAGAAATGCTTTTACATAAAACCTGACTGATACTGAAATCATTTGTTATTTCTAGATTTTATACATCTGCTTTTTTGCTAGTCTGTTTTTCACTATAAATCTCCCAAGTAAATTCAACATCTCGTGATTGTTTTAAACATAGAGAAGATGGACAAACGTTTTATGAAATTTTAGATTTTGGAATTGAAAATAAATAAATTATTATTGGCAACAGCATCATCATCGTTGTTATTGTTAAGGTTTAACTATAAGAAACATTTCAAATTGACCTCGTTAATTTTTAACCACTTTACAACATGGCACGTGCTAGAGTTCATATATTGTTTACACGAGCAGTTTTATCATACGGATGTGAACACTAGATAAAGCAAGTGCCATTGTTTTTAGCATTATTATTAAAGAATCGTGTCCAAAACCAAAGTGACGCGAAATCTAATCTGTTAACGTTATACCTAAAAAAAGTGACATTTGTGGAGCTGAACCGAGCTGAACTCACCAGATTGCGGAGCGAGGACTCATCCATGCTGGAGTATCTCTTCTCTGACATCTTCTCCGACGTTTTACTATCGCTTTGAATGGCTAGTTCATTCAGTACGAGTGTAACGTTAAAATAGTTGTTAAATAAACCCTCATATAACGTTACACATAATAGAAAGGCTCACTGCGAATGCATTAAAGAAAGAGTATGTCTCGGTTCGGGTGCTTTGTGAGAGGCTCTCTAAAAAAAACCCGAATCTGTGCTACAGCCTAAAGAAAAAAAGCCTAAAAATTATAAAATATCCGCGTTATTTAACGGCAGCCGTGTGTTTCCATACAAACTCCAACCGTTTCACGGTTCACAGACAGACAGACTAACTTACATGCCTTCGGAGTCACAAGCGGTGAGTGATTTGAGTTGAAGCCCCGCCCCTCATACACCGCCAGCCAATAACACGCCGGCAAATTCAAAACCTCACACGCTCAAATGAGAATGTTACTCTCTGATTGGTGTAAAAATTTATTACATTGTTTGTTTGTTTTTTCTTTCACTCGTGTATAATTTTGTCACTCACTGCGATCTGGCAACTATGAAGACTATGTCATAGTTTCTTTTTCTCATTTCACTTAATTTCCTCCACGCCCTGTCTGCTGACTAAACGACTTGTACAATGAAGACAGAAGCCACTCACATGGCCTGCAGCAACATAGATCGACAAAGAAACAATAAGAAACATTATCAAAATAGTATGAAGAAAATAGGTAAACATATCTTTACTTCATTAAAGCTCAGTGGCCGGTTGCATAAACTGCTTAGACTGGTCTTACAAGTTAGTCGTCTAAAGACATTTCATAATTTTTTAAGTCACATAAAAGGTAGATTGGTCTAATTTGAATCCGAAAAGACAGACTGATTAACCTAACTATTTGCTACATGGTCAGACCGTGTCTAGGCTAGTTCTTAAAGTGATAGCTCACCCCCCAAAAAAAATTTGTTACAGGAGAACACGTCAAAAAATTGGGGTTGTGACCTAGTGGCTATTTTTGATATAGTGCCTAAACAAATGGTGCGTTCAAGTCATCTCGTAAAGATCGTATTTACGATTTGAACGCACATGAACTCCACCACGATGTCGTAAATACGAGTGGGAAGCTCGATCGGGATTCGATCTATACGAGTTGGGGGCGTGTCAGTGATAAAAATGGCGGAATACCACAATACCGAAAGGTATATAGCAGTGATATTGTAAGGCTTTTCTATTTACAGCAGAATATGATGGCATTATAATATAACAATGTAATATTTAATGATAAAGCTTAATAAATTAATTAAAAACATAAAAAAGTAAAGCACAATTGATGCACATTTCTTTGTTCTTAATTTTTTAGAACTAGAGTTTAAGAACCTTGCAGTATTTTTGTGTAATAATTGATAAAGAGAAAGTACACCGCCATCTTGCTCTGACGAAAGTGACTTGAACACACCGCCGTCGTAAACACGACTTTAGTTCCCACCTCGTAAGTACGAACTTCCCAGGAGGACTTGAACGCACCAAAAATCTCATAAGAACTTCAATTATTGTGATATAAACTTCAAATTTAGAACACACCTTGGTTAGTTAGTTTGATTTTCTAGCAATTTTAGAGTCCAGATTACTTTGTAAAATATGTTTTGTATGAAAATGTTTAGTACAGTACATGTGCTTTACAGTAAAATTAAACTTCTATAACTTTTTTTACCCTTCCCTTTTCACTGTCAATAATCTCCTGAGGATCTTCTTTAAAAAGAGACCAACCTTAGTCTGTATTCCAAAGCATTTATTAATAACAACAATTTAAGTTCAGATTGCATTTTCACATCAGTTCTTTTTCAATTAGTAATTATAAACAGAAATTCTAAAACTTTGATTCTACATAAATATACATTTAAAATAAAACCTTTTGTATAAATATTTTTTGGACAAATACAGCTTGACTGCATGAAAAGTATTGTATTTTGTTTTATGTGTATTATAAATCCACCCTTTAAAGGGATAGTTCACCCAAAAATGATCCATACGGCTCCGAGGTGTTAATAAAGTCCTTCTGAAACTTTTTGTACGAATAATATCCATATTTATAACTTAACAAAAAACAATCACTGGCTTTCATACGCAAGTCTAGTTTCGACGAAAGAGTGACCTCTGACCCGACGCATGACGAGTGACGAGTGACCTCTGACCCGACGCATGACGAGTGACCTCTGACCCGACGCATGACGGATTGATGAATGCTGAAGCGCAGAGGATCGAGCAAAACAAAACACCGATTTTCTAAAGAGAAATGTGGGAGGAGCTTGAGTTAGTTGCCGAGGTCAGAGGTCACTCTTCCGCCGGAACTCGACTCGCGTACAGCCGTTTCCGGAAGCTAGTGATGATTATAGTTTATAAAGTTATAAATATGGATATTTTTCTTATACAAACACATGGCTTCGCTTCAGAAGGCCTTTATTAACCCCTGGAGCCGTATGGATTTACTTTATGATGGATGGATGCACTTTTTTGGGCTTCAAAATCTCAGTTACTACTCCCATTATAAAGCTGGGAAGATCCAGGGTATTTCTTTATATAACGGATTGTGTGTTCGGCTGAAAGAAGAAAATCATTTACACCTAGGGTGGCTTGATGGGGAGTAAATTATGGGATGATTAACATTTTTGGGTGAACTATCCCTTTAAATCAGCTTTTTGAGTACTAAAGAATTTAGTATGGTCAATTTCAGTATTCCTGGTGAAAAATTCAGCATTGCTGGTCACCAGCATTTATGTTTTGCATGCTGGGACCATCATGGGATGCTGGTTTACTGGTGGACCAGATACACCAGCTCAGTTTTGCTTGAGAACAACATGACTGTGCTTTTTCACCAGCTAGACCTGCATGGATGGACCAACGTGAAATTCATGCTGGATTTTTCAGCAGGGATCTTTGCATTTTTAAGCAAATTTTCCATGTGATCATTTTACAGCATGAATGAACAGTGATAATGGATTATAGTCTTATGAGGTCCTGGACTGCGTCTTGATTAAGAGAAACCAACAATTTCAGATCGTCTGTGCATTGCTGGAATAACACCTGATTCTCCCAGGCCAGTGGTGGATACTCTTCAGAGCAGAACGAGTCGGATGTCTTCAACGAGCCGGTGTTGTGTTCTGTGGACTGCACTGAATGTGTCTTCAGCAGATCTTTTGCCAGTTTTACAGCACACTGCACAATCACAGAAGGCATATATTTGTTGAATGTGTAGTCAGCCAGACTCAGTTCACACACTTTGCAAGCCAACCATTTCCAGTTGATCTCAACATCTCTGTGCTCCAGGGTATCTGATGCTGTACTGACCATCTCATCGACGGCTCCACCACTCTGGCATCCAGTAAGGCGACTGGTGAAATAGTCCAGGAAGAAAGCCAGAGTTGGTGCAGCCAGTCTAAAATTGAGTCTGAGAAGGACCAGGCATTCGAGATTGCACAGCTGTTCTCTGGAAAAAGAGTTGCAGCAAAGCGACAGAAGTTGTGTGATGCGAGGCGAATACACTTCAACCTGGAAAACACAAAGATCAGAATTTAAATTTACAGAATTTACTCACTCAGATTTACTGTGTCCATATTTGTGATCCATTGCGCCGGAATAGTGTCTACTAACCCTTGTGAAAAAGCAGAACACCTAAGCATGCTTTTAAATACTGGACTACTACATTAAATGTTAATGCAATTAAATTAAAATGTGTTATAGTTTAAGTTCATATTCAATGATTTTCTCACCCTTGAGCCATCCTAGGTGTACATGACTTTCCTCTTTCAGACGAATATAATCTGAGTTATATAAAAAAAATGTCCTGGCTCTTCCAAGCTTTATAATGACAGTGAATGGAGGATGAGATTTTCAAGCCCAAAAAAGTGCATCCATCCATGACAAAAGTAAATACGACTCCAGGGGGTTAATAAAGGCCTTCTGAAGTGAAGCCATGTAGCCTGGTTAATACCAGAGCATTCTCAGTTGTAACTGAGTTATGGTCTGGCAAAGCGTCATAGACACATCATTTCCAGAGGGGCGTCACCAACGGACGTCGCGGATAGACCTAAACCCAATCAGAGCGATGAAGGAGATGACGTACGCAGAGCGGCGGAGAAACATCTCCGAGTGTTGTTCTTTGCTCGGTTTTTAACTAAAATGAAACGTTCAAATCGCTTAAAACAGACGCGATAGCTGATTGGAACGAGTGATGTTCGACGGCGGCATCCATCTTTGTAATGTAGGCTACAAAATCTGCTTCAAAATCCCAGCGCTGTCGTCATCGTGTAAAGCCCGCCCCAACGCTTCTGATTGGTGCCATGATTTCGACGGATTGGAAATGGGCTTGAATGAGCTCTTTGCCAGACTAACTTTCAGAGCAAATCTAAATTTGCCGGAAGTTGTCTGGGTTTTCCCAGGCTAGAAGCCATGCATTTGTGTAGAGATAAATAGAAAAATATCCATATTTAAAACTTTATTAGCTATAATAACTAGCTTCCGGCAGACGGCCGTACACATAGATTTACGGTGACCTCTGACCCGACGCATAAAGCAAAACAAAACACCAGTCACGAATTAGAAGCCTAAAACGACCATTTTAAATGTGGAATGAGAAATTTCTGAGGATTTCTAAAAAAGTGGAAAGGTGTTTGAACCGCAACTGGCGTCAAAGATTACACTACTCCTACATCCTACGTCACACATCATCAAGTGTTACTCTAGTGTAAGTCGACTTGCATAGGCCGTCTGCCGGAAGCTAGTTATTTTAGTCGATAAAGTTATAAATATGGATATTTTTCTTACACAAGCGCATCGCTTCGCATTTACTTTTATCATGGATGGATGTGCTTTTTTTGGGCTTCAAAATCTCATCCTCAATTCACTGTCATTATAAAGCGTTGAAGAGCAAGGGTATTTTTTTTATATAACTCAGATTGTATTCGTCTGAAAGAAGAAAGTCATATACACCTAGGGTCACTTCAGGGTGAGTAAATTATGAGACAATTTTCATTTTTGGGGGATAGTTCACCCCAAAAATAAAAATTCTGTCAGTAATTACTCAAAGAAGCGCTTCTGTGTTGTATGTCAAACGCATCACACACATGACCAGCGTCGGCCAATAGTGAGCCTGCGTGTGACGTACAACACAGAAGCGCTGCGCTGTTACACTACACGAACTCACTCGAGGCCCACAGAGAAGGAAATTAATAGTTGAATTTGTTTTTTTGCGCACAAAAAGTATTCTCGACGCTTGATAAACTTAAGATTGAGCCACTGTAGTCACTCGGACTATTTTAACGATGTCTTTAATAACTTTTCTGTAATTACTGACAGAATTTTAATTTTTGGGTGAACTATCCCTTTAAAGTACATATAATGTCATAATTCTGTTGTGTGTTTTTTTGGGCTTCAAAATCTAATCCTCCATTCAGTCCCATTATAAAGCTTGGCAGAGTCTGGATATTATTAATATAACTCTGATTGTATTCGGCTTAAAGAAAGAAAGTCATATACACCTAGGATGGCTTGAAGGTGAGTAAATCATGGGATCATTTTCAATTTTGGGTGAACTATCCCTTTAATAGTGAGCTATAACCACAATGAAACTGCTGAGGAAGAGAGCGCTGTACTCCACCTGCTTTGTGGCGATCAGTAAAGATGTCACTCCCAGTAACTGGAAGCAGTCTGCAGCGACTGAGGTCGTGATCAAGAAACGGTCCATGATATTCACCGCCAAACAGCAGGATTCGAAAGACAGTTTGAGCTGTCTGTGCACAGCTATGAGCCAGCTGACCAGTTTGCTGCGAGCCTCTGCCGTAATCTACGAGGATATAAAGAAATCATGTAAAAATTACCAGGCAAAGCAATAGTATCATTAATAACAGTAAGAACAACAACAGTAATAGAGGAGAATTGCTTGTTGTCAGAAGGATATTTAGTCCAATATTGCATTTCCCTTACTATATAGTAGGCGAAAAACAGTCTGTAACCAAAAAAAAGGTGTATATGATGTACACTTTACTATCCCATGAGGCCACGGGAGAGGATTTATGAATGGCAGTGAGGTGATGCAACTGACGCTTGTAGTAGGTCACATGATAAAGACAACATGGTGAATGTATGTCTGGATTACATTCATACCAGATTAAACATACTTTTTTAGATGATGTGAAGTAATTACTTTCTCAAAATAATTAAGTAAGAGAGTATGTGATTTCGGACGCAGCCTATGGTCACGAGTGCAAATGCTTGTTTTCTCTAATGTAGTGGGTGTAGTATGTTTCTTTAAATCATAGGTCAAGCCCATCTTAAATTAATACGTTTTTGCTAATTTTTATCCCCCAAACTAAACTTCCAGTATCATCATATTTAGCTGTTGATTAAACAAGTGAATAGTCTACAGTAAAATCTATTTTATGTTCACCACGTCTGCATTTATTTGATAAAAAATTCTGAAATACTGTGAAATAGTTTTCTATGTGAAATGTGAATATATATATTAAAATGTAATTTATTACTGTGATCAAAGCTGAATTTTCAGGATCATAACTCCAATCTTCAGTATCAGTTGTGCTGCTTTTAAAGGGAAAGTTCACCCAAAAGTGAAAATTTTGAATCCCAAATTCAATCTGTTCATTATATAAAGTGATCGAGTCTCTTTAGAAATTTGACCAAAACCGCTCGATTCATATGGATTAGTTTTGCGAACTCTTTATGAACTTTTTGAAGCGTCAAAGTGGTAGTTGCGTAGATGTCAATGGCGGGACAGAAATCTCTCAGATTTCATCAAAAAGATGAGCGAGATGAGGGTGAGTCAATGATTTTTGGGTGAACTATCCCTTTTTGAATAGAAATCTTTTGTAATACTAATATTGTACTTTTTTTTGGATCAATTTAATGCTTCGTTTGTGAATAAATGTGCTTCTTTCAATAATAATAATACAGAACGAACGCTATTTAAGTGTGTATGAGGTATGATCGTGTGACTCTCACCTGAGGTTGATGTGCAAGGCAGTTTTGCGCGATGAACTGCAGCTCATTGTGTCTCTGGATGATGAAGCAACTCTCCTCATAATCACACTCATGCCATGCCTTTACTGGAGAAATCTGAAGCTCTTCCTCAAAGCCAGAGTCGCTTAATCTAGACATCTCTGCTCAAACACGCTAGAGGACTCGCTACTGCTGGGATGGATGCTGTACTGAAAGATTTCCCCACATGATCGGCATCCTACTGTAGCATACGGTGTCAGTCTCAGTGGAAATGCAGTGTTTTCAGGTGGAGTGGTGCTTGTAAACGGGGTCTTTCCCGGGTGTTTTAGCGCGCACTGTAGGGCGCTATAGAGCCCGCGCACACGCGTGACCATGGCAACAGTCCCACGGGAGCGGCAGGTGTCGCCCAGACACTCGCACACTCAAGCGTCACTCGACTTTAAAAATAATAATAATAATAATATAAAATATAACTTTTGTTTAACATATGTCCTATGAATGAATGAACGAGGCATTTATATAGCGCTTTCATATGTACTAGTAGCCTACTGTACACCCAATATCATATCAGGGAATCTCTCCTCAACCATAGGTTATTTCAAAGCTTATCAGCAATCGTTAAACAGTTAAACAACTATAAAACATAAAATACTGCATAAGAACAGCCAAAAAAATTGCTAATTTAAGACATTTTTTATTGAATTTGGTATTTGATACCAACATAGATAAAAACAACACTTAGCCTAAACCTTCCAAAATAAAGGTTCCAAAAGGGGGTTTTCACAGCAATGCCATTTTTCTTAATTCTTTTATCTTTTATGTCAAAGCTTTTCAGCAATCGTTAAACAGTTAAACAATTATAAAACATAAAATACTGCATAACAACAAAAATTGGCTAATCTAAGACATTGGTATTTAATACCAACAAAAAAAAACACTTAAATCTTCAAAATAAATGTTCCAAAATGGGTTTTTGCAGCAATGCTTTGTTCCGCAAAGAGACTTTCATATCTTAAAAGAACCATTTTTTCTAGTGCGAAGAACATTTTAAAAATCTAATTTAAGAACATTTGTGCAATGAAAAGGTTTCATGGAAGATGAGGGTTATTCATGGAACAATCACCAGCAATAAAAAAATCTTTTTTTTTCAGGTGTGTGGCACTTAACTATATTTTACATTTTTGAAGTGATTCCAACCATATTTCAAGCCATTTAAAACCATCATGTTGAACAGTGCGCATCTGAAGTGTCTCAGGCTCAGCTGATGGAAATAATCCATTATTTATCAGCTTTAATATTTCGGCCAAATTTTTTTATTGGGCCGATAACGATAACATTGAAAAATGAACATATATCAGCCGATACCAATATGGTGGCCTATATTGTGTATCCCAAACTAAAACCTCACTGAGATACACAAATTGTGGCATCTTCTCTATATTCGACAACTCCCAGTCTTCCCTATGCACATATAATGAAATATTGTTAAGATATAGTGTTTCATATTCATATTGGTTGTGATTTTATTGTTTTAATCACTAATTCAGTCTTTATAGAGGAAGGCCATCCTCAGTGCATAGCATGTTGTTTGCTTTTGTTTTCTAAAGTTTTATTAATGCATATTTATTCAAGGAGACACATTCTCATGGTCAAGCACAGTTTGAAATGAGTCAACCATCTAGTTTGCTCAATTATAAAAGTAAGCAAATCATTACTTGAAGGGTGAAATTAGACTTGACAGATCCCCATCAAATATTGTGTCATTCGACAATTAAAGTCCACCTGTCAATCATTTTATCCTTTAAAACTCATTTTTGATCACCAAAATGAAAAATGTTGCCTTAAGTTAAAATAGCCTGAATGTAACTCGACACCCTCGCCTCATTTAGTATGCGCGGTTCTATGAATATGCAAATGAGCCCCGCCTCCACTCACTCACTCAGCTCAGAGATCCACTGGTTGACGATCATACATTGATCTGATTGGTTACAAGGTCGTTTGTGACGTCAGAAACACCAGCGATTTCGTGTTTTTGAGACTGTCTTTGGTTCACTGCAGTTTTAAGGAGAAAATACTCAGCAATGCTGTCGACTTATGAACTTACACATGGTTTGTCTTAAAGCATATTAAAACACACACATAGACATATAAACAACATTAAAAGCTTGATTTTCACCACAGGGGGACTTTAAGAGTTTTAATGACTCCTTTTTAGAGATTCTGCTTCAAATAATGAGGACCAGTCCACAATTATTCAGATCTGTGATTATGAAGAACTTACAACAAAACTCATAAGACTCAAGAAAGAGGAACATCCAGTCATGGAGGATGGATATCTGTGTGACCAAGATGACGGAGAGAGAGAAATGGAGATCAATAACCCATATACAGCTGTGAAATATACAAAGAGGAAACTCTATGTCTAAAAAGAAAATGAGCCAGAGCTTTCCCTTCCTTTCAGTCTGGGCCATATTCAGACATAATAGTAAGTGTCCAGCAACAACAAATAAATCTTTCATATCAGCTCCATTCACACATTAATATAGGCTATGTGTGGGAGTCAGAGAAGCAGTTTCTTTTGGCTGGCCTTGTAAGTTGAAGTTGCAATTCATTCGCTCCAGTTAAGATATAATATATAGTACAGACTTCTGTGAGCCATATCAGAAATACATATCAGTCCGTTCAGTTGTTTTATGTGTCTGGTTAAAGGCCCGTTCATGGAAGCTTGTTTCCGCCACAGAATAAAACATTTAAAAAGATTATTGCGACTTTTTATCTCACAATTGCAAGTTAACATCTCACAATTCTGACTTTATAACTCACAACGGCAACTTTATATCATGCAGTTCTGAAACTCGCAATTGTGAGGAAAAAAAGTCAGAATTGTGAGATAAAAAGTCACAATTACCTTTTAAAAAAATTTTTATTCTGTGGCGGAAACAAGCTTCCATATTATGGAAGCTTGTTTCCGCCACAGAATGAAAAATAAAAAAGGTCATTCTGATTTTTTTTCTCACAATTGCGAGTTTACATCTCGCAATTCTGACTTTATTTCTCAGAATTGCAAGATATAAAGTCAGAATATAAAGTCAGAATTGCGTGATATAAAGTCAGAATTGCGAGATATAAAGTCAGAATTGCGAGATATAAAGTCAGAATTGCGAGATATAAAGTCAGAATTGCGTGATATAAAGTCAGAATTGCGAGATATAAAGTCAGAATTGCGAGATATAAAGTCAGAATTGCGTGATATAAAGTCAGAATTGCGAGATATAAAGTCAGAATTGCGTGATATAAAGTCAGAATTGCGAGATATAAAGTCAGAATTGCGTGAACTAAAGTCGCAATTGCGTGTTATAAAGTCAGAATTGCGTGAACTAAAGTCGCAATTGCGTGTTATAAAGTCAGAATTGCGTGATACAAAGTCAGAATTGCGAGATATAAAGTCAGAATTGCGTGAACTAAAGTCGCAATTGCGTGTTGTAAAGTCAGAATTGTGAGATATAAACTATTCTGAGGGGGAAAAGTTAGTCTTTTTTCCCCTTAGAATTGGCCTGATAACTCGCAATTGCGAGTTTATATCTCACAATTCTGAGAAAAGATGTCAGAATTTCGAGATATAAACTCGCAATTATGTGTTATAAAGTCAGAATTGCGAGATGTAAACTCGCATATTGTGAGAAAAAGTCAGAATTGTGAGATAAAAAGTCGCAATTCTGTCTTTTTTCTCGCAATTGCGACTTTATTTCACATAATTGCGACTTTATATCTCGCAATTGCGACTTTATTTCTCACAATTCTGACTTCATTTCTCACAATTCTGACTTCATATCTCGCAATTGTGAGATAAAAAGTCGCAATTATAATTTTTTTAATTTTTTTATTCAGTGCCGGAAACAAGCTTCCATAATTAGAGGATCAGCCCCATGAGATGAAACATCTCGTTTTCATGGGGGTCCTCAGGATCATACATTACACCAAACAACATTAAACAGCAAAAAACAGCTCTTATATGATGAACAGATTGAATTTAGGCTTTTATTCACATAAACGTTGATCAACTTTTTGAGAATCGAGAATACTTTTTGTGCGCAAAAAAAACAAACAAAAATAACGACTTTATTCAACTATTCATTTCCTTCTCTGTGGGCCTCGAGTGAGTTCACGCAGTGTAACAGCGCAGCGCTTCTGTGTTGTACGTCACACGGAGGCTCACTATTGGCCGACGCTGGTCATGTGTGTGTGTGATGCGTGTGACGTACAACACAGAAGCGCTGCGCTGTTCCACAACGTGAAATCTTATTCTCGAAAAAGTATTCTCGTCGCTTGATAAACTTAAGATTGAGCCACTGTAGTCACTCGGACTATTTTAACGATGTCTTTAATAACTTTTCTGGGCCGGCCAGTTTCGATCCTTTAAGAAGCCTATGGAGGAGTGATCCAGCTCTCAGATTTAATCAAAAATATCTTAATTTGTGCTCTGAAGATGAACGAAAGTCTTACGGGGTTGAACAACATGAGGGAGAGTAATTACTGACAGAGTTTTCATTTTTGGGTGAACTACCCCTTAAAGGAAATCAAAATAAAACTATACATAGGCTAAATAAGATAACATTTAAATATTTTTCCAATCTGTTTTCCAATTTTTCTTTTAACCACTTAATACAGGTTTAACTGAGAAAACAAAAATTAATTTATAACAAACGAAATATTTTGACATTTATCATCTGCATATTCCCATTACAGTAATTGAACACTTATCTTAAATATCTGTATATAATCAGTGCAGTCATATAAATGGAAATTCCTGCTGATACAAAACAATCTCTGTCACCTTAAATTATATGTTTATCTCTGTAAAGCTGCTTTGAAACAATCCATTGTTAAAAGCGCTATATAAATGAAGATGACTTGACAGATTTTTTTTTAAGGGAGGGAATTTAGATTTAAAAAGGACAAGTTTCCATATTTTTTTATTATCATTTCTTTAACAACAGCGCCACGTTCAGGACACTAAAGGCATTTCACTCAAGAAGCAGCACAGAAGTATAACGTATGTTTTATTTGTGCGTTAAAAGACAGTCGAATGGATTTACATGGTTATGTACATATTACACTAATAATACTTCCAAAGAAAACTAGTTCAAGTCAATCAATTGCATTTTAAAACTTCTGTAAATGGCATCAGTTCCTGTGCTGCACATTAGGGGGCAAAAAGCAGCGGGCTGAAAGTGAAAAGGTTTATTAAAATGAACATCCACCAGGCAGATGCATCTTTTATTATTATGTAGATTGTTACAGATTTTTGAACTGCTGGTCCACAATGCACAAAGCAACCATGAGGAAGCAACTGCGAGTGTCTCGTGTTGTAGATTTAGGCCGGAGCTGTGAGGTCATGTGACGACATTCAGCAGCTTCGGCTCATCGGGATAAGCTTCAGCACAACAATAACTGGATTATTAAATATGAACGTGTCAGTGCGACTAAACAGTACACAACTTTCTGAGAAGAAAACAAAGCAATGGAGTGCAGTTTAAACTCTCTGAGCTGCATGACATACAGGCACGTGTAAAATAAATATCAAGCTGCTCAAAGTGTGTACAAGCAATAGTGAAATGAGTTAATGTAACGGTGTTTTCTGGAATATGGGCTTGTGTTGAGGCGACAGCACAGGAACTGATGGCCAAACAGGCCACTAAAGCATCAGTCTCTTTCTCCAATCTAGGATTGATTGGATGGGATGTCCTGGAAGGGTCGAGGGTCACATGTTGAAGCTCTCTCCACAACCACACGTCCCTTTGATGTTAGGATTGTTGAATACAAACTCGCTGGAAAGTTTCGTTTCGACGAAATCCATCTCTGTGCCGAGCAGCGTCAGCTGGGCCTTCTTCTCAATGAACACTCGCGCGCCTGGATGAAAAATACACCACATATATGATTATACACAACATACAGATAACACACATCTGTTTAACCCTCTGGGGTACTTCGGGACAAAAATGTCCCGAAGTGTTTTTAAATTTTTTTTTTACAAATTGTAGCTTAATCGGAATTGTCCGAAACTTGGTGACTTTTTTGGTACTTGGTATATGAACACCCAAAACAATTGGGGACAGGATTTGAAAAGTCTAAGTGGTCTTAAAACAAAATAGTCACACTCAGGGTCTTCGGGTCAAAAATGACCCCCATAGGAAATGAATGGGAAATTGGCAAAAATGTGAAAATACAGAGTTTTTTGTGCATACAATCTACAAAACAGCCAGGATGCAGAAAAAAAGCACACAACAGTGAAGGGGTGAATCTCTTAAAACAACGGGTGACAAAATGTTTTCCATTTGTTCTCTTTAATGCAATGTTCAGGTTTGACTGTATTATAAAGTAAAACTGCCACTTCAAATTACCATTTAAACCAACCAAATTTTTTTTTTTTTTTTTAATGACAAAAATAGTCTTTGAGAATCTGTTATTATATATTCAAATCAACAACCTGAAAAAAATTAAACAATATGTGAAAAAATCACTAGAGTGTTTCTACCATAGGTTTCTACAGAGAGCTGTAAATCCACTAGTGGTAAAAATGTGCTATTGCGTGATAAAAATGCTTAGTGTGTCCACCAGATGGCTCCGATCTCATTTCAAAAATTGCTTTCATGAGGCCTAGACTTGACTCTAAAATGAAATACAGCTTTAATACAATTTTTTTTTTAAATTATATATATATATAAATTTTCTATTATATTCAATGGGAAAAAATGGGTCTAAATTATTGCATAAATATTAATTATAAATCATAAAATTATCTCAAAACACCAAAAAAGAAAAGAAAAAATATTATTGAACAAAAATATATTTCATTGATTTTACTCAAATAAAATGTATCTTAATGCCGCCCTCCGGGTCATTTTTGACCCGAAAGTCCTGAGTGTGAGTCTAAAATGAAGAACCCCAGAGGGTTAAAAGTTTGAGGTCGGTAATATTTTTATGTTTTATTTTAAAGAAATTAATACTTTTATTCAACAAGGATGCAATAAATTGATGAAAAGTGCCCGTAAGGACAATGTTATAAAAGTTTTCGATTTCAAATCAATGCTGTTCTTTTGAACTTTCTATTCATTAAAGAATCCTGAAATAAACAGTTTCAGCATCAATAATAATCAGAAATGTTTCTTGAGCAGCAAATCAGCATATTATTATTTCTGAAGGATCATGTGGAGTAATGATGCTGAAAATTCAGCTTTACATCACAGGAATAAATCACATTTTACAATATATTCACATAGAAAACAGCAGGGGTTAAAGTGAAAAAAAAATTCCTGAGCCTGACCCTTTTTTGGGGGGGGGGGGGGGGGGGGGGGGGGGGGGGGGGGGGGGGGGGGGGACACGGACCTATCTTCAATGGCACCATTTATTTTCAAGTGTTACAGCTCTATCTTAATGCCATATTTTTATGAATGAAAGCCAGTATCACTAATATTATAGCTACTGATGTCTCGATGAAAATGATTTCCCCCCAAATTTTAAACATTAGGCTTCAAAAAATATAAAAAACCTTTCATTTAAGTGAACTTAAAACAATCCTCACTTAAACCCATAATAAATGTCATTTACCTGTACCATACAGAAATTGAATAAGGTTATAAAACAGTCCCCACTACATAAATTATAAATTAAATATAGAGTAATCCTTATCAAAGCTACAAGTGTTCTTTAATCGAGAGCAGTTAGTAGTTTTCTCTGTTCCCTTTGTTCTTTAGGTTAACTTTACTGACAGAGAGAATTAATGGCTCCTGTCACTTTAATATCTGTCGCTGCTGACAGGATCTCATGCATCTCATTCTCTCACTATTATTTACTTCCATTTAAGATTTTGTTTAACTAATTTAAGACTGTTCTTGTGAGGATGCTCGACAAAACTGACATTTTGGCATAAATGTGTGTGTTATTGTTCGTTCAAGCGCGAAAGAGAACTCGATACTGGCGCGCGTCTTTCTGTGCTTCGTGTGTGTGTGTGTCAGGAGGACATTCCCTGACAGCGCGTTCTCTTTTGTCTTGTCGCGCATGAGTGGTTTAAAGCATTTGCGTGAATAAGAACATGGTCATCATAACCCTAGCTAAAGGATGACAGAAAGAATGGATGCTGCGTTAATTGCGTTAAATATTTTAACACAGCTAGACAAAAATGAATCGCATGCGAAAATAATATTTTTTTTCCTCACGGCCGCACGCCCGAGATCCGGCACGGTGCCGGTGTTGTGCCAAATTATCACCCCCCTAGCATTGGTAGGTTTAGGGTTAGTTGTGGGGGAGGGGTAGGATTAGGGGAGGGGTTGGGATTAGGCAATCAGGTACTGACTTCAACGAGGGGGGTAATAATTTGGCAGGGGGTCGAAATTCGGCACAACACCGGAATACTTTAAGCCCTGTAACAGCCTTTTTTTTACTGTATTTTTGATCAAATAAATTCAGCCTTGGTGAGCAGAAGTGAAAAACCTTTAAAAAGTGTAAATAAAATATATAATTGTAATAATTTGCCGACTCACCCTCTTGCAGCACCTCCTCGTCTGATTTGTCTTTCTCTTTAGTATAGTCGAGAGTATAAGTGAGGCCATTGCAACCTCTAGTTCGAACACCAACCTTCAGGCCGATCTGTTTGAAGAGGGACGAAGAATGAGACGGGAGAAATGCATCAAATGCTCATGACGACTAATAAGGGAACAAATACTCACATATTCTGGTTTATTCTGTAAGAGCTCTTTGACTTTATTCACAGCTGAAGGCGTCTGGAAATGAAGAAAAGACACTCATTGATCATGTGTGGGATTGTAAGAATTTCACATAATCATGATCAGAGGGTCATTTGAGATTGAAAATGTAACTATTTTGCAAATAAATACACTCTTTTAGTCGTTTTCCCCTTGAATTTGGCTATAAAGACTATTCAAGTTATATTTTCTTTTGGATAAAAAAAAAATTATAACCAGAGGAAATAAAATATAGTTTATCTAACAACTGTCCCATTATCTGTTATTTTCCTATTCTATTAAATTCTCTCCAAAACCTTTCAATAATCCCCCTTCAGTTGCAAACAACTTCTCAAAGAATGTGGTCATGTTGATGTCTGGTGAATTTTAATACATTAAACCATCCAGATTTAAGCACTTTGTGTGGCGTCTGGACACTCACATGTGACTCCATGCTCTTGAAAATGCTATATATATATATATATATATATATATATATATATATAGCAAACGTAAATAGTGGGATGTCAGAGTTTTCATTGACAATGGAAACCCACATATATGGGAGTCAGTAAATATCAAGGCTGAGAGTGATGAAGGAAGTTTGATGGTTTAAGACCTTTTTGTTGTTGTTGTTGTTGTTGTTGTTTTTTTGCCTGACATACATTTCTTCCGGGTGACCCGAGGTTTGTAAGGCAAGTATATATTTTTCCAGCACAACAATACTGAATCTCTGATGATAATTCACCTTTATTCCTCAAGGTGCCAATGTCTGATACACAATGATGACGTGTGTTTCACTCATAATTACCGTACCCATAAAACCAAAGATTACATGCGTCAGCAAAACTTAAAATGACTCAGCGATTTACTGCAGAGCAAGTACAGTACACAAGTCAAGTCTACTGGAAGTCGTTTTAAATAAAGAGCATATGCTAAATGTCTGGCTACTGATTGCAAATATTGTATCACACAGAGTAAAGAATGTTAAAACTGCTTAAATATGTCAGTAGCACCAAACAGTGCCATCTGCACATGCGCAATAACATGTTGATTTAACTCACTGAATGTATGAACATTTCCTCAACCATTTCAACTTTAGCACGTAAGTTAACTTACTCAGTAAACATTTGTGTTACAGTAGTGGAATGCTGAAATTGGAGAGATTAACAACAAACCTAAATTATAAGCCAGTTATCTGATCACAGAAACATGGATAAGATCCCGCTGTCCTGACTTAACCCTAAACAACTGCCGGACAGGACAAACAAGTAGTGTGAATGACAACAACTTTAAATAGACACAAAAGTATATTTGAAGGGCATGGCGAGGCACAACTAGAAGGTTCTGATGCAGGAACGTAGTAACTTACAAAAACATTATTAAGCGCTTGATACGTATCAGCTAACGGCTAACCTGCCCAAACACTGACCTTCACGTCAAATCTAGCTTAAACAACTCAACCACATGGCAATAACCCGTTCTTAAGTTTGAATATCTATCTGAATGTCTCAGAATGAACGACGTTGTCTATTATTATACCGTTATTGGGCAGATATCCGAGCTCTGGGCAAACGCATCTATCATGTATGCTATCTCAATTATTTGAGAACTAAATGTTTGGTCGGTCTCGTCATCGTGTTGAAAACTGTTGTCAACACTCACCAGGGTTAAAGCGGCTCTTGTTGGCAGTATTTTCCGTCTGCTAACCGCCCTTACAGTCGCCCGTGCTATGGAGGCTGACATGTTGAAGTTACTTAAGCACTTCGTGTTAGGATGTAAACACCAGAGGTGATCCAAGGAACGCCCTGCTCACAGAACGCACAGGATTGGTTAGTTATTTGATTGGCAGCTTATACAGCCTATGAGTAACCGGTATTCCAGACTTTATAACCACCATGTGACAGATGATATTACGCAACTAATTTTAACGTAAAGATAAAGAGGACGTATTGATTATATGATTATGTGGAAGTACTGAATGATTATAGAAAATGATTATTAAAAAGTTTCGTAAACGTGAGAAAAATAGCCTACTTTATTGTAATAGTTGCATTTGATTCTAATAACCAGGGTCATATCGTTAAATTAAACTATTAAAAGATTTCTGCTGATTGACATAAAGCCGAAATAAAACATAAATAATAGTTGAAGAAATTTAACTAAATGAACATTAGAAATGTTGCCTCGGCAATAAACTGAAATAAGTTGAAGTTGAAGCACTAAAATTATTAAACGGAAATTAATAACTAAAACTAGCAAAAGTAAATTAAGCCTAAATAGCAATATTTAAAAAATATAAAATGACAAAATTTATGATAATTTACATAGAAATTGTTACTTTTGACGAGAACGCCGTCGTCTTAGTGGCCCCTAATGTAATAACAAATGATAATTTTGCTGGAAGTGAATCAATCAAAACCAAGTTTAGCCGGAAATAACATTATTCAAAATCGCTATAAAGCCAAAACAATCTCTGTTACCGTAAGTTGTATGTTTATCTCTGTAAAGCTGCTTTGAAACAATATCCATTGTTAAAAGCGCTATATAAATGAAGATGACTTGACTTTTAGAGGTAAATAAATTCAAAAAGACCCCCCCCCCCCCCCCCCCCACGAAGGGGGAATTAAGGGCTGCTTTGTGAAGGGGGCTCATAATACATCATATTTCATAATGCAGGTGATCTGATAACATTGGTCTTATTGTCAGTTTGTTGTTCTAAAACACTTTTTATGGGGTGCACTAACTTTTCTCATGAATGTTTAACAAACATTGGTGGCGATACCAAATATCTACCATAAAAACACACTGCAGAAGTTAAACACACGGGCATTTGGGCAAATATGAAAAATATAAAGTCAACACAAAAACCAAAGTGTAGAGACTTCATTATGACAAAATCAATTTATTGTCAAAAAAAAAGAAAGAAAAAAAAGACCAGAGTTGAATTACTATTATGGAGGGAATTCATTTTGTTTATTGACATTGCAGCGAATGCAAGGTAAGCAATGTAGCCTTCTTTGAAACATATTCATTTCATTTAGCAAAAACAAAATACTGCTATAAATTATACAATAAAGCATAACTAAAACCAAGCCCAGTCGAACTGAAAAGCTCAACAATTAACATTAGCATAATTGTAAATACACAGACCCCAGCCGACGTTTCTTTATGTACATATTTATACAAAATAAAATGCTTCTTATAACACACACACACACACACACACACACACACAAGACGCACGATCGTGCAAAGGTTTGTTACTAAAACTATTCAAGCTAATTCAAAAACACACAATGGCGTTACAATTTAAATGACAAAGATAATCAACTGGACTCTCAATTTAAAAAATAAAATAAAAACAGATAAAATGAGAAACATCAAGTTCATTCCACAATTAGAAAAAACAGAACTAAAAATTAGACACCTATAAAAGGCACATTGATCAAGGTGTTCTAACTGGGGGTCGGGATAATACTGGACTCAGGCTGTTGTAGATCAGAAAACCGGCAATGGCTCATTTCACAGCTTTACTTGAAAGGACTCCACTTCTCCACAGACGCAGTTACAGACGCGTGTCTGGTGGCAAGACCTCCTACAATATGATGGAGAAACACAGCATGGATTATGTGACAACAGGACATTATCAATTTCACATTCACCGGCCACTTTATTAGGTACAGCTGATCAACTGCGCTTTAATCAGCAAATCACATGCAGCAACTCAGTGTATTTCAGCATGTGGAGATGATCAAGATGATCTGCTGAAGTTCAAACTGAGCATCAGAATGAGGAAGAAAGTGGTTTAAGTGACTTTGGGTGTGAAATGGTTGTTGGTGCCAGATGGCAGGGCTGGACTGGCCATCGGGCATACCGGGCATTTGCCCGGTGGGCCGACGTGCTTTGTGGGCCGATACATCTCATACTTAATTTTTTTTTTTTTTTTTGTCTGAACGGCCCATAAAACTCGTACATCGGCGGCCCATTGCGTTTAGTTTTGTTTAATTGGCGGCTCTGGGATCTTTGTGCTGGTGTAATGCATTTGACAAAAAAGTCAGCGTAGGTTTTTCTTTTTCTCACAGACCGGCGCATGATGAAATGCGTAGATCAGCAGCCCATTGGTTATTTTCTTGATTGACACTGGGCAGGTCCAATCACATCTTTAAACACCTCCCCCTTTGAGCTCTGAGTGAGCGAGCAGTGTCAGTGTGTATCTGTCAAAATATTCAGAGCGGTGGAGAAGAAACGCAAGAAATGTGCAGAGAAATAGCGTGAAAAAATAAACTTCAAAGGCCCTTCAAGTGTCTGATGAGGATAGTGAGGAGGATAAGGAGAGAGATGAGTGAGTGCAGAGAACTGTGGTAAGCAGAACTAGGCTACTGTCACAACACTTATGCTATGTAAGAACCACTTACACATCTGCATATTTGACGATTACGCATTTTATTAGAATTGTAATGAGACGAGGTTGTAAACCATGTTTTTCTTCAAAATAAAATATCATGTGCTTATCTATGTATAGAAATTAGTACGAAACTAATTATGAAAGTTGAAATTATAACTATTATTATGTAGTAGTGTAATGTAGACAGACACTATATCACAACTAAAAGAGTTTTGAGTTTTTCTTTGTTCAATTTGCACACTGAATATGGGTTGGAGCTCTTTATTTTTAACTCTCAAAGTGCACCAGATTGATGAATTTAACATTAAAAAGCACAACATTTTCTTTTTAAGAGCATACCCCCGAACCCCCCTAGCGGGACAGTGGTGCACTCACCACAGATTTCCCTAAATCCTGTGGAAAAAAACGGTATTGCTATCCCAGCTTATAGCTTTCTTTAGGATTCATTACTGTGGAGTATAGTTCAACTTAGTAGTTATTTCATCGATTAACTCTTACTCACTCCTATTCACTTATGGCATTAGTGGTTTTAATAGGAGTTGGTATACATTCAAGGGCGTGCAAAGTTCAGTTGTGTTATATAGTGGGCCAGTCTGGGACAAAATGCCCGGGCCGATTTTTTGTCCCAGTCCAGCCCTGCCAGACGGTCTAAGTATTTCATCTGATCTACTGGGATTTTCACACACAACCATCTCTAGGGTTTACAGAGAATGGTCTGAAAAAGAGAAAATATCCAGTGAGCTTCAGTTCTGAATGCCCTGTTGATGTCAGAGGTCAGAGGAGAATGGCCAGACTGGTTCAGCTGATAGAAATGCAAGAGTAACTCAAATAAGTCCTGGTTACAGCCGAGATCTGCAGAAGAGCATCTCTTAACGCACAACAATCTCTGAGAACAGCAAACTGAGGCTACAATTCACACGGACGCACCAAAACTGGACAATAGAAGATTGGAGAAACATCGACTGCTCTGATGAGTCTCGATTTCTGGAACATTCAGATGCTCGGGTCAGGATTCGGTGTAAACAACATTAAAGCGTGGATCAGCCTTGTGTCAGCGGCTCAGGCTGCTGGTGTGTGTAACAGTGTGTTATATATTTTCTTGACACACTTTGGAGCCCTGAGTATCACCTGAGCCTTAAACACCACAGCCGACCTGAAGTGTGTTGCTGACCATGTCCAGTCCTTTATGACCATCTTCTGATGGATACTTCCAGCAGGATTACACACGGTCACAAATCATCTCAAACTGGTTTCTTGAACATTATGGGGCTGTTTACACCTAGCCACTTCATGCGTTTTCTGTGATCGGATAGCTATCCGATCGTGAAAAGACCAGGTGTAAATGCCCTCCGAAACGCATTCGAGACGGATTTGAATCCGATCGCTCAAACCACATCAGGAGGTGGTCTGGGTCGCATTCCAGACGAAACTGGACAAGTGTAAATGCATCTGGTTGTTGAAACCACATATGTAAATTTTACTCCTCCCAAAAATGCTAAAAAATAAACGTGTGAGAGCGTGTTATAGGCCAGCGGTTTTCAATAGGTGAGGCGCGCCTCCCCTGGGGGGCGCCAAAGAGCCACAGGGGAGGCGCGACATGCGAAGAAAGATTAACATACATTGCTGCTAGGTAACTTCAGACTGTTAACGTTTGCTAAATATTTATTGTAGAACATTCTGTGTAGCTTACTAAAAAACATTCTGTGTAGGCCTACCATGAAAACAAATCCACTTTAAACCGCAGCATTTTTCTGTCAGTAATGTATGACAAGTAGTGCTGTCAACGTTGACGCATGCGATTAATTTTTGCCCAGCTTAAAGTATTTAACGCAGCATTCGTTCTTTCTGTCATCCTTTAGCTAGGGTTATATGATCACGCTCTTATTCACGCAAATGCTCTTAAACCATTCATGCGCGACAAGACAAAAGAGAACGCGCTGTCAGTGAATGTCCTCCTGACACACACACACACACACACACGACTCACAGAAAGACGCGAGCCAGTATCGAGTTCTCTTTCGCGCTTGAACGAACAATAACACACACATTTATGCCAAAATGTTCTCTTTGTCGAGTATCCTCACAATACCAGTCTTAAATTAATTAAAATCTTAAATGGAAGTAAAAGTGAGAATGAGATGCGTGAGATCCTGTCTGCAGATCTTAAAGTGATAGGAGCCACAATTCTCTGTCAGTAAAGTTAACCAAAGAGCAAAGGGAACAGAGAAAATTACTCCCTGCTCTTGACTAAAGAACACTTGTAGCTTTAATAAGGATTAATCTATATTTCATTTATAAATTATGCAGTGCGGACTGTTTTATAACCTTATTCAATTTCTGTATATTTCATACCTGTTAGACAGGAAAGGCACAGGTAAATATGACATTTATTATGGGTTTAAGTGAGGATTGTTTTAAGTTAACTTAAATAAAAAATTGTTATATTTTTTGAAGCCTAATAAATGTTTAAAATTTGGGGAAAAATCATTTTCATGGAGACATCAGTAGCTATATTAATATCAGTGATACTGGCCTTCATTCATAAAAAGATGGCATTAACATATAGCCAGCCATAATACTTGAAAATAAATGGTTCCACTGAAGATAAGTCTGTCTGTGCAGTTTCAGCCATCGGGTGTCGTCAGCGTTGGCCCCGATTACACATGTTAAGCATGTTTTGTTAACTTGTGGTTAGGACTACTGATGTTCAATGTTCAATTTTAAAAGTAGCCTCAATTAGGTCTGCATGAAGTTGGAAATGATTTGCTGTTGCAAAGAATCGTTTATGAACGCACTTTTAAAAAGGTCGTGGAAATAAAATGTCTTCAAATACAATATTTTAAAATATTAAAAAAAAAAATCAAAATTTATCAGTTTTTATTGAAACTCATCATTGCCTGGAACACACAAAATATGGCATTTACTGCAGAGGCGTGTGTGGGTTAGGGCCGGCGGTCGGGATTTTGGGGAAGGGGGGGCTCGGCTGTCCTTACCTACTGTAAGGGGAGGCTCATGTTCACCCAATTTGAAAACCCCTGATATAGGCTATATGTCATGTTATAGTCAGATATGACGACGCTACTGCAACACGCATTACCGCAGATCAAGCCAACGTGCAAACTATCGCAAATCAAAGTGAAAGTAAGTCGCAGACGCTTAACACACAATCATCTTCATTAAAAGTAAAGAAACGAAATGATCTTACCAGGACTGTTGCCGCTCTCTCTTATTGCCGTCTCTGATTTTAAAATTAGCTGATGATCAATAAAATGCTGCTTTCGGTGACGTGCACTCCATTAAATCTGCATATAGCGCGGGAATTGAAGATCGGATTTATATCCGTTTTGCAAAAACACATTTATGTGACCAGGTGTAAATGGAATCGTTTTGATAAATCAGATAGCTATCCGATCTGAGAAAACGCATGAAGTGGCCAGGTGTAAACAGCCCCTATAAGTTCACTAAACTCAAACGGCCTCCAGTCACCAGATCTCAATCCAACAGAGCAGTTTTGGGACGTGGAGGAACGAGAGATTCACATTATGGATGTGCAGCCAATAAATCTGCAGAACTGTGTGATTCTATCGTCAATATGGAGCAAAATCTCAGAGGGATGTTTCCAGAACATTGTTGAATCTCTGCCATGAAGAATTAAGGCTATGAAGGCAAAAGGGGGTCAAACTCAGTACTAGGTGTACCTAATAAAGTGGCCAGTGAGTGTACATTAAGCAGTGACAGCCAGTGGTGGAGTACTCGAGTCCGACTCGAGTCATTATTCTCTGGACTCGAGTCCGACTCGAGACTCGGACTCGCGGACTGATGACTAGTACTTGGACTCGAGAATATATAAAATCGGACTTGAGCATTCATCAAATGAATGACGTTGTTTCTGACTAAATAGGTTATAAAAAATTTGATATAAGATGTTACACTTTTCCTGTTTCGGGGTCCAAGACCGGCCGTGATCTATTTTTTCCCTCACAGACACTGCTACCGCTCGCTCTCCTTGCTTGACAAAACACTCACTGACGTCACTCACTTTACGCTGCATTCTCGTGAGAGATAACATAACACTAATTTAACACTAGATAAGTTCCTCTACATCTAATCAGCCATTTCGATTTTGGCACGCTTTGCAGCAGCTGAGCTGACCGCTAAGGAGCGAATGTACAGTGACGTGACATAACTGCCAGATTTAAACTGTGCTTTCGTGCTATGGCTGGCTCTGAGCCAAAGTCGGACGCGCTCAGCGCTTAATGCCGTTTATCATACAATAACACAATTATGTTTATTTTAGCTAACAAACTAGACGGTGACCTTGACTATGTCACACATCACAACCACTCTTTTCCTGCGGAGATACAACTGCTTATAGCACTGCATTTTCTGTTTTTTTGCCGCAGTTACATTGGGATTTAACGTTATAGTTTGCTTTTCAAAATTTCAAAATTGTTTTTCTTTTACCATATTCGTCAAGAAGAATGCATTTCTCCTCTGTCTAGTTAGGCTTTCTTTTTTGTTTTCTTTATCCATTCCAGTTCATCAAAAAATGTATTTAAACAATTAAATAAATATAATCATGCCACAGCTAGTTGACAATGATTTGAACTAAGGTCAAAGGCAATTCTAGTGATATCATACACATTTCTAGCTGCAAGAAAGAGTGCCTGAAAAATGTTGCTTGATTTGGCTTAAGTGTATATAATTTCGACTCGGACTCGAACACGGGACTCGAGACTCGACTCGGACTTGAACTCAGGTAATGGTGACTCGACTTGGACTCGACTCGGACTCTTCTTTGGTGACTCGGACTTGGACTCGGACTCGAACACTGGGACTCGAGACTCGACTCGGACTCGATAGTTGGTGACTCGACTACAACACTGGTGACAGCAGCAGCTTCATGTCTGATGTGTCAGAAAAACAGCTATCGAGTCACCGATGCTCTGGATTGTGGCTTCAAAAAAGGGACCAAAAGCTTGTATTTCATTGTTTGGTCAGTTTTCTTTATGGAAAACAAACAACAACAAAAAATCCCTAAAAATGTGTCTGTCTTTAGACGAATGCGGTGTCATTTTATTATAATTAATATCCAGACCTCAATTCACACGGATCCACGAAAAAGATGAAAAACGCTGTTTTCTGCAGCCAGGCCAGTAGATGGCGATGTCACTTTGTAAAGAATCACTACGCGTCTATAGACTGAACACGTAATACACGTGCACATGACGTCACCGTTTTCACAGATTCACAGTTTTGTAGATTACACGGAGACGGTATCGTTTTCACAAACTTGCACTTTGAAACCCGTTTTCAAAAGTTTACATTTTCATGCCCCCAAAAAAACGCTGTTGTTGTGTAAATGAACAGGCAAAACGCATAATTTTTCAGTTTTTAGGATCCATAGGATCTGCACTGCATAAATCACCTTGCACTCATGTAGTGTACTCACCTGTTTCAGGACCCAAAATCATCCTCTTTGCTTTGCGCTTCTTTCTCCTGTCCTGTTGAGGACTGTCCTGCAGACACAACAAGAGATCCACTGAGCTCTTTGTTTAATTCCTAGCCAAAACTACAGTGTTCGTGCATAATGATAACTGTGATTAAGATGATAACTGACATACTTTGTCCCTGTCTGATGCAGGACTTCTTTGGTATGTGTTTGGGGAGGATTCTGCAAAGAGAAATACATGAATGTCTGCGTGATTCTTGACCAAATCGCATCACTTGGTTAATTCCAGCAGAACTAAATACACTTTAAACAAAGCAATGAGCGCAGGTACCTAAAGACTTGGACAGCGGGCAGTCCTTCTTGATGTGAGCGTTGGAGCCGCACATATAACAGCATTTCTCCTCCCTCTGGCGCCACCGTCCATCCCTGTAAGGGCTGTCGTCCATCATGCCTTTGGTGGCTCTGTTTACATCACGTCCACTGAAGAATCCATCACCATTGTCACGTCTTTGTCTTAGAATACCATTGAAACAAAAAATTATTAATAAACAATGAACCAAATCAAACTAAAAGCATAAAATGTCTGATTTAAAGGTGCAGTAAGTGATTTCTGAGAAACGCTGTTGAAAGTGGATCGGACCGAGCACAACACACTTGTAGCCAATCAGCAGTAGGGGGCGTGTCCACTCATGATGGGGGAGGAGAGAGAGTGAGACAATCAGCAGTAGGGGCGTGTCCACTCATGATGGGGAGGAGAGAGTGTGAGCCAATCAGCAGTAGGGGGCGTGTCCACTCATGATTGGGGAGGAGAGAGAGTGAGACAATCAGCAGTAGGGGCGTGTCCACTCATGATGGGGAGGAGAGAGTGTGAGCCAATCAGTAGTAGGGGGCGTGTCCACTCATGATGGGGAGGAGAGAGTGTGAGCCAATCAGCAGTAGGGGGCGTGTCCACTCATGATGGGGAGGAGAGAGTGTGAGCCAATCAGTAGTAGGGGGCGTGTCCACTCATGATGGGGAGGAGAGAGTGTGAGCCAATCAGCAGTAGGGGGCGTGTCCACTCATGATGGGGAGGAGAGAGAGTGAGACAATCAGCAGTAGGGGCGTGTCCACTCATGATGGGGAGGAGAGAGTGTGAGCCAATCAGTAGTAGGGGGCGTGTCCACTCATGATGGGGAGGAGAGAGTGTGAGCCAATCAGCAGTAGGGGGCGTGTCCACTCATGATGGGGAGGAGAGAGTGTGAGCCAATCAGCAGTAGGGGGGGGGGGGGTGTCCACATGATGGGGAGGAGAGAGTGTGAGCCAATCAGCAGTAGGGGGTGTGTTTACTCGATGGGGGAGGAGAGAGAGTGTGCCAATCAGCAGTAGGGGGTGTGTACACTCATGATGAGGGAGGAGAGAGTGAGCCAATTAGCAGTAGGGGGCGTGTCCACCTATGATGGGGAGGAGAGAGGGAGCCAATCAGCAGTAGGGGGCGTGTCCACTCATGATGGGGAGGAGAGAGGGAGACAATCAGCAGTAGGGGGCGTGTCCACTCATGATGGGGAGGAGAGAGTCTGAGCCAATCAGCAGTAGAGGGTGTGTCCACTCATGATGGGGAGGAGAGAGTGTGAGTCAATTAGCAGTAGGGGGTGTGTCCACTTATGATGGGGAGGAGAGAGGGAGCCAATCAGCAGTAGGGGGCGTGTCCACTCATGATGGGGGAGGGGAGAGAGAGAGAGCCAATTAGCAGTAGGGGGCGTGTCCACTTATGATGGGGAGGAGAGAGAGAGAGAGAGCCAATTAGCAGTAGGGGGCGTGTCCACTCATGATGGGGGAGGAGAGAGCCAATCAGCAGTAGGGGGCGTGTCCACTCATGATGGGGGAGGGGAGAGAGAGAGCCAATTAGCAGTAGGGGGCGTGTCCACTTATGATGGGGAGGAGAGAGAGAGAGAGCCAATTAGCAGTAGGGGGCGTGTCCACTTATGATGGGGAGGAGAGAGGGAGCCAATCAGCAGTAGGGGGCGTGTCCACTCATGATGGGGGAGGGGAGAGAGAGAGAGCCAAATAGCAGAAGAGCCAATCAGCAGTAGGGGCGTGTCCACTCATGATGGGGAGGAGAAAGAGTGAGACAATCAGCAGTAGGGGGAAGAAAGACTGTAGAAAGAGATGGCTGAGAGACAGTACAAAAGAGGAAAGAGGAATATCACTGGAATAAGAAGGGTTATGATCAGGCAAGAGCTTTAGAACTCGCATTAATATTAGAAAAGCTTTTTTTAGTGCTGGAAAGACCTAGGAAGGGAAGGACTGAAAACAGACACAGAGGTTGCATTGTTTCTGCTTCATACTTGAGTTACATTGGTTTCGCTGTTTCCTGGAACCAAGATATGCTGCTGTTGTAATGTTAGCTCTAGTAAGACGACAGTTTTGAGTCTCATTTGTCTGCTGTTGGCTTCTACTCTTGCGTGGATATACACTTGTGTACTGTATGTTAATTTCTTGTTCTTTACTGTCATTTGTCATCTTCACTTTATTTTACGTGAAGCATTATTTTGCTTCCCTTCTGCTATAATTAAAAAAACATCCACTCTTGAATTGAGTGTTCAGGCATTTTGGGGGCGGAGCAATAAAAGGAGGGGTGTGTTTGTTGGGGTTGATTTAATATCAACAGTGTTTCTCAGAAATCGCTTACTGCCACTTTAATAAGGATTTAATTCTGTTGTAATGTGCAAAGGCACACTACTGTTCAAAAGTTTGGGGTCAGTAAGATTTTTTAATGTTTCTGAAAGAAGTCTCTTTGTGTGATATATTACAATTTAAAATGTAATTCATCCCTGTGATCATTACTCCAGTCTTCAGTGTCACATGATCCTTCAGACATCACTCTAATATGATGATTTGCTGCCCAAGAAACATTATTATCAATGTTGAAAACAGTTGTGCTGCTTCATATTTTTGTGGAAACGGCATACTTCCTTCCCCCCCCCCCCCCAAGATTCTTTGATTAATAGAAAGTTTAAAAGAACAGCATTTACTTTAAATAGAAATTCTTTGTAACATGTAAAATGTTTTTACTGTCACTTTTCATCAATTTAATACATCCTTGCGGAAACAAAAGTATTAAAATTCTTAAAAAAAAAAAAAGTAAAATACATTTACAGGCCCCAAACTTCTGAACAGTAGTGAACATTCTCTATATCATTGTAGCATGAAATACAGAAAATAATGTTTAAAATGAAGTAGTTGTTCAGTATGAACAATAATTGTAGTTGAAAAAGTTATTCTACAATAGCTCTTGTGCTGTATTACCTCTTTCGCATCGGACAGTCTTTCATAAAATGGCCAATCTTCCCACAAATGCGGCAGCAGCGGTCATTGGGTGCAAGCTTGCCCTCGGTCAGCACCTCTGGGTCGAAAAAGTACTCCTGCAAACAGTGAGTTTGAGCACAGTAACTTGACTTGTGAGGCGTATTACAGAATTTACATGCTCATGGTAAAGGACACAAACCATTTTATTTAAATACTCTGGTGGAAAGACTCGGACAGGCGTGCCGAAAACTCTGCGGGCGTTGATGAAGGCCTTCATGATGAAGCTTGCCACTGTAAACATAAAACACAACCAGACACAGGGAAAAAACACATTCATTGCATTTCATGGCAAGATAGCAAACGTCATTTATCTTTAAAAATGTACAAAGTTTACACCAAGGACAACTTTAACGATAAAGATATCGTTCATCGAACTATAATGGCACAGAGAAATTATATTGTTGTAATCACTTTCAGAACAAATTTTTTTCCAGCTGATGAACTATAAAAACATTGAAAGCCAATCAGAATCCATCCTGCTTTAACCCTTTAAGGCCTGACATGAAATAATATTTGATACATCAGGTTTTATGGCTCATACAGTATATAATAGGAGAATATGGAAGCCCAAATGGAACAAATATATGCAATTTGGTGCAGTTGCTGATATTTATATAGCCAAAAAGCAAGATCTGATGTAAATGTAAAGATACCTTTAAAACATTATAGCAGACTACTTAGAATACATATAAATATCAGTCGTCGCTCTATATCTCTCAATAATATGTCTTAGTAAGAGGATATTTAAATGCTTAGTTTTCTGATCAAAGCTCTGTAGTTTTTCTGTGGAGAAAAATATATATAAATGCAATGACGATTGAGTGATGTACAGGTAAACAACGTTCATCAAAAGCCTATTTAATACTCACATTTTAAACTGATTTTTCTAATAAGTGATGTATGGATAATCAAGTAAACCTATATAACTAACAATATTAAAGTTCTTATGGTTACTTAAAAAAAAAAAACCTTCACAGCAAAAAGAACCACAACCTAAAGGCCAACATTTTTACAATGATACGAACAGGGCTTTAACTTGCTCAAAACTAAACTATCGATCAGACTACAAAAGGCATAGATTGTGTACAAAGGGTTTTTTAGCAGAGCGTTGATCATGTTGACAATTTAGAGGCTTTAGAAAAATCTGCTTATCGAACACGATACATTAGGCTTTATAGGGTTAAAGAGCTTTATTTAAAGCGGCAGACGACTGCAGAGCACACTTAAAATAAACAGAACGATGTCGTCTGCTGGTGTGGACGCTAATATAGTTATCGTTATAGTTATCGTTCTTGGTGTGAACAACAAGCCTTTAGAATGGTTGACAACTTAGAAATATAGAACTATTTACTATAATTACATAATGAGGTTGGAACACAAAAAGTTGCTGATGGAGATATAAATCGGAATAATCTGATAATTGGAAATATCACATTATATAGTGCAAATGTAAACAGAGACGATGAAAGGTAGGGTTTGTATGAAGGATAATACATGCAACAGTAAAAGAAAAAAAAGAGAAAACCATGACATACTTCTCCGTGAGAGACCAGCTCCAAGATTATGACTCAAATCAAAGGGATCTAAAAGAGGAAAGAGAAAGAAAAATGATCAGATACAATCTTGCACCACATACAGCGTTGAGGAATGTCACTTATAAAAGTTAATAAATAAAATGTAAATTACGCTACATGTTACCGCTAGGGTAGGGAATCAAAAATTTATTCCAATTCTAGAATCGGATACTTAAGTTATCGGATACATGTTATTAAATTAAAATTTCGATTCCTCTTATTGATTCCCTTGGGTGCATTTTTAATATGACTTTAAACCATTCAAGCACAAGAAGACTTGCGCACGGTTTTCTGAGCCGCACACACATCCGAAACGAGCGCACAGAAAGCCGCCTCTTATACCGTGTATTGCGCGATACTCTCTTCCGCGTCTTTTTGCACTTGAACGGACAAATACACACAAAAAATGTCAAAACATCCTCATAAACACAGTCGGTTTTCTTAAGTGAACGTAAACAGTTGAGAAAGAAAACGCATGTGTATCAGTATATTGGATCCGTGCAGCTCTTAAAGTGACAGAAGCCTAATATTCCAGCAGCCGTCTCTATAATAACGCTAATCAAACAACAAAAGACAACGAAAAAATTGTTCTTTGTTCTTGACACAATAACATTTGTAACTATATTTGTCATTTATTTATAAAGTGCAGTGTTATTTTAAATCAGATTATTTCTGTACCTGAATACCACTGTTTATTTCAATCCTATCTTTGTTCAGTTGTATTTATTTGTGCGATTGCTAATTTCTTTATTTGTTATAATGCTTGTTCTAATGTAATAATGCTTGAAATTTATATTAGTTGATTTTGCTATGGTATTTTTAAACCATAGGCAAAAGTTCCTCAGTGTTCTTTAGCATGTTTTTGTTTTACTATTCAGCTACAATGAAATGTTTTGCAATAAGACTTAGAATAAATGTGAATGATAGTTTAACCCCCCCCCCGAAAGAATCGAAATTAGGAACCGATAAGAATTGGAATAGTTAAAATTTAAACGATACCCAACACTAGTTACCGCTGCATATTCATAAGTTCTTGGCCTGATTTTTGCCACTCATCAGGAGTTTATGTCTTGGTCTTACCCTCGATGGCGAGATGTTTGGAGGTCCATTGCTTCTTGAAGGTGGTGAGAGGTTCTTTCCTGCGGATGCAGATGACAGACTCCTTGAAGTCAAACGTCTCGGTGTAAAACTGCAGCAGCCCGAGCCACAGCTGCCCGACTGACTCCCTGTTCTTCCTGTACTCCGGCCAGCATTTATGCTGAGGAAAGAACAACAGTCACAGACTTAAAACAACACCAAGGAACTTTTCCTCAGCGGTCGCCCTACAGGTTGGAAGCGGAATTGTCCATTACCGCTGTCGTAAATAATTTAGCCTACCGCAGCCTACGGTCGCACGCGCACGCTCGCTGTTTATCCAGCACCGGCTTTGGAATCAACAATGGCAGACATCCCAACCTGCAAGAAGTCATTTCAGGGAGGTATATCTTGGTGACTGGATTGTTGACGGGGGGGGGGGGGTTTGACTAGCTTTCGGAAGGCACACTCGCAAGGTCTCTCGCTCTCTCCCTCTCTGCCGTGCTCGCACATGTTATGCGCGCAGTATGTTCTGTCTCGCATGCGCGCTCTAGATTCCGGCAGATTTGAACTAATTTGCGGGCATCAGGGAGACGCTATAGACTTGGGATGTCTGCAATGGCCATAGACAATTCGAGGAAGTGGTGGGGGAAGTGACGTATGCCGTAAAGCAGTCGAGTTTTGTAGTTCTTTTTGTGCTCGGGTTACTACCCGAAACCCGAAGTTACATAGTGCGAGTAAAAGCGATACAGACCCCGTCAGGCTATGGCCGACGTGTCATTTAACCTATTGTAAGTCAATGTACCATCACAGGGGTCTTGGAAACATATTATGAAGGTTGAAAAGTTCCATAGTGTTGCTTTAACAACTATTACAAAATAAGTCCAAGACATGCGTTTTGTGCTACACATTTCATAGATTTGAAGAAAAAATTAAATAAATCAGATCTAAAAATCAATCTATAACTTTTTACAATTAAGGCGAGACACTACAGGTGAATATGGTATTTTTTTAACTAGCAGATATCACCATGAAACTTTCCCAGTTGATTACCTACATTAAGATTAGAAAAAAATGTATAAGTTTTCTGTAATTTAATGGTTAAATATGCCAATTAGGCATTATGTAATTAAATATGAGCTAATTTGCATATAGTTAAAAAAATTAAATCTGAGTATTGGATACCCAGGTTCAAAATTATTTTTTCATTGTGTTCACATATTAGATGGGGAAAAAAATTAGAGGGATTTATGGATATCTACTTTTGTTATCCTGTAAATCAGAATATACACTCAATAGCCTTAAAAAAATGATTGTTTTTTGGAATAAAATGTTAAATGTGTTTTTTTTAAACCTCACTCACCAAGTTCTTCAAATCCTTAAAGAAATGTACATCCCAGCCATCTACAAGGACTACTGGCTTCTTCTCGCCATCATATATCTACAAAAGACATACACAATTAATTCAGAGTGAATGCATGTTTTACATCAATCTCATCCCATAATACAGTAAATTAGGATGTCCTTAATGATGACTTTTAGCAATATAAAAGAATACACACAAAACGGGAGAGAAATAAGTCCCATTTTAACCTATATTCACATATTGTTTATGTTAAAAATATCATAATTATATAAATATATTCATTGGGTTATGCACTTCTAATTTACATGAAAGTAGGAATAAAATGTTTTTAATTAATAAAGAAATACATTTTTGGTGTGAAGAAATGCATTTAAAAATATGAGTATAGGTGCTATAACACCATGTATTTACATCATTTATTATAAGTAACTGTCATTGAAAAGGTTATAATTGGCAAGAAAGACACCTCTTGGAGAACTGGGATAACAGCCGGGCTTCTTTGTTGAAGGAAGTAAAGGACCATCAGAGTGTAAGCATACGAAGAAAGACTACCGCGAGATGCGTCTCCAATGTCACACACCTGAAAAGACAAACATTATCAAGGTCATAAATATGTTAAAGTGCCCCTATTATGCTTTTTCAGATTTAACCTTTCATGTAGTGTGTAGTATAGTTGTTTGTGAAAGTAAAATGTCTGTAATGTTTCAAAGTTATTGTCTCCTAAATGAAAGAAGTGATTCTGAACTGAAACAAGTCGTCAGTAACTCCCGTCTTGATTCCTGCTTGTAGGTTTTTAACAAATCTGCATAATGCTAGTCTATGCTCTTCATTGGCTGCCCGTAAACAACGTCACCTTTGACCCTCAAACACTGTAGTTGCAGCTGAGACTGGAAGAGTTTGGTTTGTGTTGTTCATGTTGAGAAGAAGCTGTTTTCTGCTGACAAAGCAAATCCACTTTTATGCACTTCTAAAGGATGAGACTCTTGTGACTCTAAAACTGATGTGTGTTACTGTTTGTATCACGGTGTATCAAGAAGATCCGGAGCTGAAATTCAGATATGCTAAGGATGTTTCGTCCTTCATCTTTTCACCAAAAGCATCTTTCTGATTCAAGCTTCAAGCTTGGCCACTAATGACTACGATCTCGCAATAATGACATCAGTTCATGAATGTGTCGAACTTACTTTGGAGAACACTTTCATGACGTAGCAGAGGATCTTCACCCGAGCGTCAATGGCAGCATAAGATGCCAGTAACTGTGTGTTGTGCAAAGCCTGAGGAAATAAACCGGAAAAATCTTGGTTGCACTTTATATGTGGACTATTTACACAAGAAAGAATTGAGGGTATCACTTTATTTTAAAGGACAACTGCGGCGCAAAATGAACCTTTGGTCTAATAACACATTGGTACCTAGTCAACCGTTCTCTGAGATTTGTTTTCATGATAATCGAATGTAAAGAGTTTTATCTCTAAAAACTGTTTAGCCTATAACGCTAGTATATAGGGCATAGAGTAATGAAAAATAAAGATCGCTAGTTTATACCACTAACAAGGCTTAAAATAGCCCCACACTAACACGCTAGCATGATGAGGGTCCCTACATGCAAACCGAAGCATTGAGAACTTTGTAAGTGTACAGACCGTTTAATAAGAAGATATTTTATAAAGACAGTCCACTTCGAGTATACAGACAGGAGCCATCTTTGGAAAACAGTCTCGACAAGTCGAACCACGAACGCTGTGCCAAGTGAGCTGAACTGTATGAACGGCGTTCGTGGTTCGACTTTACATTCGATTATCATGAAAACAAATCTCAGAGAACGGTTGACTAGGTACCAATGTGTTATTAGACCAAAGGTTCATTTTGCGCCGGAGTTCTCCTTTAAGGTGTTCGTGGTACAGTGTAATTATACATTAAGTAATGAGTAATAATAATAAACTACATGTACTTACTATAGGGTTAGGGTGTGTTTTAAGGTCAGTTGCATGTAATTTAATTATGCACAATATATGGTAATTGTCTTTGTTACATGGTACATGTTATTACTATTGTACTGTAAAATAAAGTGTTATTGTATTGAGTAATATGACCTACTTAGACATAATATGGGTTTAAAAGTACAGGGTTAGTTACATTTATATATATTTTTTTATATAAAAGATGCATAAATTAGGATTTCCCCCCCCAAAACCTTTTCAATTTAAAAAACAAAATGTGTGCAAATTGTACACTAAACTTACTAAACTAAAGAATGTGGATTGCCAAACCATGAATTTAATTAGGGATGTTGATCATAAAAAAAAAGGTCACACGTAACATTAAAGTTTGTAACTTTAAATATATTTTCACATTGAATATCCAAATTAATGTGTAAACAACAAAAGACACTGGCAGTATTTTAAATATGTGACATTTAATTATTCGTTTTCTAACTTAAATATAAATACAAATCTATTTGAATCTTTTTATTGTATTTATAATGTGATTCACTCGGTGTAAGTGATGGCCGTCTGTGTTTCTGGAGATTAGTTCAGTGTATCTCACAGTTTTCATTGAGAGGATTTTATCTGCTGCATTTGTTTTTGAATTGTGATTCACTATGTTTGTTTTGACTTTTAATAAGTAGGACACTGACATTTGACCTAGTGATGTGTTCACATTAAGTCTGCTATAATTGAATGATCATAAGATGATAGATCTTGATTGCCAACAGATGTATCTGACCACAATTGTGTTTGAATCTGAGAGTTGCCTGTGTGTGTGTGTGCCTGACCAGTGTTAATTTCGTTGACGAAAATAACGACGAAAATTATTCGTCAACGACATTTTTTCACAGACGAAAACGAGACGATAACTAAATAAAACCTAGTTTTGAATGACAAAGACTATGACGAAAATCTATTGACATTTTCGTCAACGAATAAAAACTAGACGAAAATGTTAGATAGTGACGATTTGGGAAGCGATCCGTCAGAACTGATGTCCTGCGTGTGTGGTAGATGCGCACATTTGTAGGCTACTGTAACGTGATCTACCCCGCGGTCATAAAACGTTAAAAAATGTGAACGTCTGGGAGAATGAGTAGAGCAGACATATAGATCTCTGAATAAGAGTGACGATGCAAAAAAGAGCTCTATTCGGTGCGGTTTTCTGTGCGCACACACCTAACCCGAAGCGTGCAGTCATGCACAATACACCTACAGCGCGCGAGTAGGCTACTGAATTGAGCTCTCTTTCGTGTCTGAATGGAGAAATACACAACAGTATGTCTAAATGTCCTTTTTGGAGACTATTCATGTAAACTATGCTGGTTATGTCTTAAACTGTGAGTGTGTCGGATGTGCATCAGTGCAATTGTATCCGCATGTCATTGGACATGATCCGACGTCTTAAAGTGACAGTGGCAATAAACCTAATGCGGTCCGTGTCCTTAATTTTGATCAAGCAACAAAAGAAAAAGAGAAAAGCATTCACTGTTTGTTAATAGCTTTAATAAGGATTAATTATATTTAATTCATACAAATAAATATGTCTGCTTGAAAGAATAAAGAATGATGTGTAAGTAGTTATAAGGAATGAATATATCATTCATTGTAAAGAAGACTGTGTTGTACTTTAGGAAAAGTGGTTTTATTTCATTTTAAGATATTTTTTAAGTAACAGCAGTTAAATCTGTATCTGTATTGCATGTTCAAACTTAAAAATCATTCATATTAATAGGTTAATAGATGTTTTCTCCGGGAGTATATGGGTTTGGAAATTTTAGAGAAATTCTAAATTAACGCATTACAATTGAACTAAACCCATTATATTTTAGTCGACTAAATCTACTGTAGATTTAGTCGACTAAAATGTTATTGTATTTCGTCGACTAAAACTAGACTAAAACTAAAACAATTCAGATGACTAAAATATGACTAAAACTAAATGGCATTTTAGTCAAAAGACTAAGACTAAAACTAAATCAAAATTTGCTGACAAAATTAACACTGTGCCTGACAAAGATTATTTTTATCAAAACATTGCTGTTATATTTTGCAAATGAAGGGAATAGTTAAACAAGAGCAGATATTTCGTTTTGATCCTTTTGAAGAAAGCCAAACAAGCATAGTACTTGTCTTTTACCAAAATATTGAAGTTTAAACATTGGCGATAAGGAACGAGCTCCAATCCATAACGCCATAACCTTTGCAAATATGTAAAGAGGGCTTTCTTATAAAAATCTAACGCTATTAACAATTGCATTGGTTTGAACTTCCATTAAAATCGTTCTGTTTAAGAGTCAAGTTTGGACATGTAAAAATAATGCAACAGAATTATTCTCTCACCAGTGTATTGTACAAGCTTATATCTCCCTCTAGTCCAGTTTTGGCATGGTAAAACTTCACAATTGGGACTTTTGCAGTAGTAATAGGTAGGATGTTTCTCAGGCCTAAAATGAATGGATGGATAAATAGACATGGGTGTAAAACAAAAGCACTGATTTACTTGAAAAACAAGCTTTTAAAGTAAACGGAGGTTGCCTGAGGCGTACAGAGAGGCTCTTTGTCATTTCATTTACCAGTCAGAAGATTAGAGCTTCTGAGAGAGGACAATGTATAAGACAGTCTTTCCCTTCCTAAAAATGTCAAATCTATTTAATAGTGAACAATACAAAACATGATTACGGAGTGCCTAGCGCAAACGACAGGCAATTTCACAATCACACCCAAAAAATGAACAAACAAAACAAAAACGTACCATGGTGTTTCCGTAGAGCTTTAGCCAGGCTCTCAATAACAGCCATGGAGTCCAAGCCCTATCAGAGGAACCAGATTAGGACACTTAATGAACACAAAATACAGGGTGTAAATAGTTCACAGTGCATAAATAGTTTATGCAGTCCGTTCTGGCTCGGTAAGATTTGTTCACGTTTTTGAAAGAAGTCTCTTCTGCTCACCAAGGCTGCATTTATTTGATCAAAAATACAGCACAAACTGAAATATTATTACTGTTCAAAATAACCGTTTTCTGTGTGAATATATCATTTTAAAATGTAATTTGATCAAAGTTGAATTTTCAGCATCATTACTCCAGTCTTCAGTGTCACATGATCCTTCAGAAATCACTCTAATATGATGATTTGATGCTCAAGAAACATTTCTGATTATTATCAATGTTGTGCTGCTTCATATTTTTGCATTTCTTCAGTATTCAGGATCAGAAAGTTTAAAAGAACAGCATTTTTTAAATAGAAATCTTATGTAACATAAATATCTTTAACATCACTTTTGATCAATTTAATGCATGTTTGCGACCTTGTGTAGAAAGAGTCTTGGGACATTACCGCTGCGGTGTCCTGGCCTTCGAGAGTCATACAGATGTCCAAGTCACTCTGTTTAAAGCCAAACCCATTCTTGGATGAACCAAACAAAGCCAACTTGGCTCCTGATAAATAAATAAAAACACACATCAACAAATAAGCATCTGTATAGTCCTCTCATTAAATACATACAAAATAGGGCTGGGTAAAAAATATTGATTTCTTGATATTAATCGATTCTCATTTTTACGAACCGATATCGATTCTTAAATCTCAAGAATCGATTAGTCATCCTGTTTTCATTTGATGAATGAATGGAACATTGTAGCGCTCATCCCATCCAATAAATCGCAATAATCTTTGTGCTTTGTTACTATTGATACAAAATAAAGTCTCAAATTTCAAATTACGTCCATTTTCTTACGAAATTCAAAAACAAATAGCGTTTTGGCGCTGTGGCGTGAGATCGCTCTGGCTCAGCTCAGCTCAAGAGAAGCACATGATCTCCTCTTCCGCCTTAATAATACCAGTTACAGCGCCAAATAAACATGAATGAACGTCTGAAAGTGTGTTAAAAGATTACAACTTATCGAAATCCGTATCATGTCACATGGAATCGCTCAATCAGTGTTTCAACCGTGGAAAGACGACAGTAAAACAACTTGTAAACAATGTCATGTAACGTCACATTTACCTCAGAAAAACCATGTGACCATAAACTCGTTAGTCAGCTTGAAAAATTAACTCTAAAGAGGAGCATTTTGCTAAATATATGCACCATATTACATATTCATTATAATTTTTAATGTTCTTCGATATTTAATGCATGTTTGAATAAATCTGGCAAGTTTTTATGACAGCCACCATTTAAATGTTTATATTTCATATAACTTTATTATTATAAAAATAAATAAAAGTGTAATTTAAGTGTTTGTATAGCTACAAATCAGTTAATTTTCACCTTCAATATTATAGTAGGCTAATGAAGCCTAGTAGGCTACAACTGACTCCCATAGTTTACAGCATTAGTTAAGAGATTTGTTTTCCTTGAGAAAATTTGCCATGTATTGTACCTGATATCCAAAATAATCAATATTGAATTGAAATCGAAACCGAATCGAATTCCAAGCTTGTGAATCGAAATCGAATCGAATTGTGAAATTTGTGTCAATACCCAGCCCTAATATAAAACAGTCTTTGACAAATATAGAGTAAAACTTGTTCTTAATAACTTGCCTGTAAAAATAAAGAACTAATAAAAAAATAAATGGCTGAATTTATCAACAAAAAAAAGTGGAATCTCACTGCTCTAATGAGTTGTATATTAAGCAAATTGTTCTGATTCACCATTTTGTTTATTTGTGGACAAAGTGTCATGCAGCAATACAGAGGAAGAAATATTTCAGCGCATTTAAATGGAAGAAAAATACCAAACTTTACATACTTAGATTCTAAAGTTACACACAAGCTGCATTACCTGGCACTTGACATCTCAGGAAAGTCTCAAAGTCTTGTAAAATGTGTTCTCTGACTTTCACCTCCACATCGTCTGGTGCAAAGTCACCTAAATAAATGCAATCATTTGTATTGAATCAGTGGAGCTACATGCAAAAAGGTAAACGCAGAAGATGTATGTAAATAAAAAAAGATGTAAAAAATCATAGTGTCATAAAACGTGTAAGAAAGGCAAAGACTTGATCTATTTGTCTGTATCTTCCCATCACATAATTACCAGTCTACATTTCATCCTCGGGTTAAGTTCACTACAATAAAGGATATAATTGAAGAATGTCCTCATCTACAGCGTACTTACGGTAGCATTGCTCACAGACTTCATTGAGGATCTTCAAGAAGTCTAGAGTCATGGGCGGAAGGCGTTTTAACTCCACTCGCTTGAAGTCCTCGGGACAGTCCTGTTTTGAATGTCCATCGCTCTTGCAAAGGCCGCATATCACAATGGGGGACTAACAGAAAAAAAACATAATTTGTCACCATGAACCACATTAAATGGTGTATAAAGACTGGTGCTGGAATTGCAGATGCATGAATTCGCATTAAAGTTAAATGGAAACTTCAGGATTTAGCATTAAGCTTTGTATTAGTAGAAAACCTGTAGTGTTCCACCCTCATATCCTCCTGAGACGAGAGATTTATGTATTTTTTGTCTGGAAAAAATCCTCCGATGACGCAAAAATCGTCATTTTGCGTCATCGGAGGATTTTTTGGCCAGTTGCTAAAGACTACAGTCAGTAGTAGGAGCTGTCCCGCATGTTCTCTAGAGGGGCGGATCTCACTCACAGAATGTACACACAGTGTCAGACATCTTTTTTGGAAGCTAAGCTAGCAGGCTCTTGTTCTGTGGAGAAAGCGGAGTAGTAGGGGTTACCATCCTCTTTTTCCCTGACATGTCCGGCCGTCGATGTCCGGGATTCAGCTTTTGCTTTCTGCAGTCGCCATTCATTGTTTACATGCACACCTTTTGTTTCAATCTAACTGAATTCATTCCGATTGGTGAATCTGAATGTAGTGTTTACATGAACGCTAAACAAGTGATCAGTTGATGTGCGTTTTAACATTGCTAAGAAAATCCCCGCTCCTCCGTGAGAGATACGAGACCGGTGCGTCTCACAGGTGTCGCTCATCTGTAATCACGCCACCGGCCTCGCGCCGTTCTCCCGCGGCCCTCACTCGTCCTGCTCGCCACAGTAAACATGACTCGCGCCGTTCTCCCGCGGCCCTCACTCGTCCTGCTCGCCACAGTAAACATGACTCGTGTCGTTCTCCCGCGGCCCTCACTCGTCCTGCTCGCCACAGTAAACATGACTCGCGTCGTTCTCCCGCGGCCCTCACTCGTCCTGCTCGCCACAGTAAACATGACTCGTGGCGTTCTCCCGCGGCCCTCACTCGTCCTGCTCGCCACAGTAAACATGACTCGCGCCGTTCTCCCGCGGCCCTCACTCGTCCTGCTCGCCACAGTAAACATGACTCGTGGCGTTCTCCCGCGGCCCTCACTCGTCCTGCTCGCCACAGTAAACATGACTCGCGCCGTTCTCCCGCGGCCCTCACTCGTCCTGCTCGCCACAGTAAACATGACTCGCGTCGTTCTCCCGCGGCCCTCACTCGTCCTGCTCGCCACAGTAAACATGACTCGCGCCGTTCTCCCGCGGCCCTCACTCGTCCTGCTCGCCACAGTAAACATGACTCGCGTCGTTCTCCCGCGGCCCTCACTCGTCCTGCTCGCCACAGTAAACATGACTCGTGTCGTTCTCCCGCGGCCCTCACTCGTCCTGCTCGCCACAGTAAACATGACTCGCGTCGTTCTCCCGCGGCCCTCACTCGTCCTGCTCGCCACAGTAAACATGACTCGTGGCGTTCTCCCGCGGCCCTCACTCGTCCTGCTCGCCACAGTAAACATGACTCGCGCCGTTCTCCCGCGGCCCTCACTCGTCCTGCTCGCCACAGTAAACATGACTCGTGTCGTTCTCCCGCGGCCCTCACTCGTCCTGCTCGCCACAGTAAACATGACTCGCGTCGTTCTCCCGCGGCCCTCACTCGTCCTGCTCGCCACAGTAAACATGACTCGTGGCGTTCTCCCGCGGCCCTCACTCGTCCTGCTCGCCACAGTAAACATGACTCGCGCCGTTCTCCCGCGGCCCTCACTCGTCCTGCTCGCCACAGTAAACATGACTCGTGGCGTTCTCCCGCGGCCCTCACTCGTCCTGCTCGCCACAGTAAACATGACTCGCGCCGTTCTCCCGCGGCCCTCACTCGTCCTGCTCGCCACAGTAAACATGACTCGCGTCGTTCTCCCGCGGCCCTCACTCGTCCTGCTCGCCACAGTAAACATGACTCGTGGCGTTCTCCCGCGGCCCTCACTCGTCCTGCTCGCCACAGTAAACATGACTCGTGGCGTTCTCCCGCGGCCCTCACTCGTCCTGCTCGCCACAGTAAACATGACTCGCGTCGTTCTCCCTCGGCCCTCACTCGTCCTGCTCGCCACAGTAAACATGACTCGCGCCCGTTCTCCCGCGGCCCTCACTCGTCCTGCTCGCCACAGTAAACATGACTCGCGTCGTTCTCCCGCGGCCCTCACTCGTCCTGCTCGCCACAGTAAACATGACTCGCGTCGTTCTCCCGCGGCCCTCACTCGTCCTGCTCGCCACAGTAAACATGACTCGCGGCGTTCTCCCGCGGCCCTCACTCGTCCTGCTCGCCACAGTAAACATGACTCGCGTCGTTCTCCCGCGGCCCTCACTCGTCCTGCTCGCCACAGTAAACATGACTCGCGTCGTTCTCCCGCGGCCCTCACTCGTCCTGCTCGCCACAGTAAACATGACTCGTGTCGTTCTCCCGCGGCCCTCACTCGTCCTGCTCGCCACAGTAAACATGACTCGTGTCGTTCTCCCGCGGCCCTCACTCGTCCTGCTCGCCACAGTAAACATGACTCGTGGCGTTCTCCCGCGGCCCTCACTCGTCCTGCTCGCCACAGTAAACATGACTCGTGGCGTTCTCCCGCGGCCCTCACTCGTCCTGCTCGCCACAGTAAACATGACTCGTGGCGTTCTCCCGCGGCCCTCACTCGTCCTGCTCGCCACAGTAAACATGACTCGCGCCGTTCTCCCGCGGCCCTCACTCGTCCTGCTCGCCACAGTAAACATGACTCGTGTCGTTCTCCCGCGGCCCTCACTCGTCCTGCTCGCCACAGTAAACATGACTCGTGGCGTTCTCCCGCGGCCCTCACTCGTCCTGCTCGCCACAGTAAACATGACTCGCGCCGTTCTCCCACGGCCCTCACTCGTCCTGCTCGCCACAGTAAACATGACTCGTGTCGTTCTCCCGCGGCCCTCACTCGTCCTGCTCGCCACAGTAAACATGACTCGTGTCGTTCTCCCGCGGCCCTCACTCGTCCTGCTCGCCACAGTAAACATGACGCGTGGCGTTCTCCCGCGGCCCTCACTCGTCCTGCTCGCCACAGTAAACATGACTCGTGGCGTTCTCCCACGGCCCTCACTCGTCCTGCTCGCCACAGTAAACATGACTCGTGTCGTTCTCCCGCGGCCCTCACTCGTCCTGCTCGCCACAGTAAACATGACTCGTGCCGTTCTCCCACGGCCCTCACTCGTCCTGCTCGCCACAGTAAACATAACTCGTGTCGTTCTCCCGCGGCCCTCACTCGTCCTGCTCGCCACAGTAAACATGACTCGTGTCGTTCTCCCGCGGCCCTCACTCGTCCTGCTCGCCACAGTAAACATGACTCGCGCCGTTCTCCCGCGGCCCTCACTCGTCCTGCTCGCCACAGTAAACATGACCCGTGTCGTTCTCCCGCGGCCCTCACTCGTCCTGCTCGCCACAGTAAACATGACTCGTGACGTTCTCCCGCGGCCCTCACTCGTCCTGCTCGCCACAGTAAACATGATGAATGGCGACTGTAGAACGCAAAAGCCAAATCCCGGACATTTTGGGCGATATCGAAACACATTTTCAGGCAGACTCATCACGGAGACTCACTAGTAGCCTAGACTTGTTGTTTAACTACTGCGCTCTGTTACCGGTAGGCGTGGCCTCCTAGGGCAGCGAAGCAAGTGCATTCTGGGAGTTGTTGTCTTTCATCCACATAAGCCAAAAATGCATTTTCTGGCTTTTCTCAGTCTAGAAAGCTCCAAATTCAAAAATAATTTCACATTTCTTCTACATAAATGACCCATTTTAAATACACATTCATCTTTCCAGAGGTGAAGTATCCCTTTAAAAGACATCATTAAAATGTCAAAAGGAACATTTAAAGTGCCCCTATTATGCTTTTTCGGATATTATCTTTCATGTCGTGTGTAATATAGTTGTTTGTGCACGTCTACAATGTTTCAAAGATCAAAGTGGAGATAAATGGAGTTATTGTCTCCTAAAAGAAAGAAGTGATTCTGAACTGAAACGAGTCGTCAGTAACTCCAGTATTGATTCCTGCTGAACCTACGCAGGTTTTTAAAGAATTTGTATAATGATAGGCTCTTCATTGGCTGCCCGCAAATGTCTACTATGACCCTCAAACCCTGTAGTTGTCTCTGACTTTCTGTTTTCTGCAGCCAAAGCAAATCCACTTGCAAAGGATGAGACTCGCACTCGTATTGATACGGTAAAACCAGCACCATCATTACTGTTCAAATCACTGTGTATCAAGTAGGGGTGTGCCGGTTTCAGAATTGGTGATGACGGTTATGACGTGAGTCAAATGTGACGGTTCGTAACATAACCGTGGGGGGGGGGGGGGGGTGAATAACTGTTCGTCTGTTATAGAACAACTAAGCAGACACTGATTAGCTACTGGCGTTTATTTAACATGAACAGCAAGACAACTAGAAGTGAATGTGCTTTCCATTAAATGTATCACACAGTAAACAAATCCTTAACAAACAAAACAAACAAACGTTGCAATGAACGTGTTTTGTTTTAAATAAATCACACACAGTAACAAAACCTTAACGAAAAAACTTTGGAATGAACTTTGCGATTTAGACGCGCAAACTGCGTGCCGGTGCGGTGAGACGTGCATGCTCGGGCAGATTCGGCTTGAAGTCGGTCACCCTCGAACGCGGCGCCACGCGCGCTGTTACAAAAAAAGCCGTGCACACAGCCAAGCCAAATGGGGTCTTGCCGGTCTTGCGCACCGAACGCGTCATTTTTGCCGCGCGCACCTTCGCGATCGTGCGGATGCGTCGAGTATAAACAAGGCTTTACTCCGTGTCAGCGCGCGCTCTGATCGGTAAAGGTGCACAGACCTCTCCCGAATCATCTCCAGCAGTAGCAGCCTCCGTTTCCCTTGTAAGATGATATTAGTATTTAAACATTCTCTATGATAAAAAATGTTTGTAAAAAATATTTTAATAGCACGGTTTTGGCGGTTTTAGAGTTCTAATGACGGTGTTCAACTATAACCGTCGGTCTCACGGTTATATAATAACCGTCACACCCCTAGTATCAAGAGCTGAAATACAGATATGCTAATGGTCGATTTGTTTCCGACATGCACTGTAAGTGGTCGACCAATCACAACAGACTGGGCCATCTGACCAATCAGATCAGAGCAGGTTCTCAGGAAGGCGGGGTTTAGAGAGACCGAATCATTGATCGAGCCATTTCAGACGCATAATCAGCCAAAGTCCGCATATTTATGCAGGGGCAGCATTTTTTCAAATACGCCGCACTTTCGCCGCATAAATTGCCGATTTCCGTGCAAAATATGTGGGGCTTGCATGATGTCATTTTACTCGCATTTTCGTTGCAAAAAAAAGTTTGCTTCACACAAGAGCAGCCGTTTCCCCCTGTTGCCATGGGAACGTTATGAAGTGACGTGATTACGCGATGTGAACATCATCGAAAAGCTGTAAAACAGGAGCACACTTTTTTATATATATTTTATTTATTCATTTTTACAGAAGTTGTAGCATATTCCTTTTGTAAAGCTACAGAACTTGTTTGACTCATCAATGTTTTGTAAGTTTGATGTGTTTATTAAGGTCTGAAATAAAACAAGATGAGAACTTAAATATTTCCAGCACTTTCTGTGATGTAGTTATGCTTGCTTATCATAGGAAGTAATAAGAAATTACTCTTTACATTAAGGTAGTAGCCTAGTGAGAACAGGGTGTTGGGGGAATCATTTTTTCTTTCTTTTTCATCAAACCGCAGTTTTTGCAAGTTCCCGCAATTTCATCGCACAAAATTGCATAAATATCCCGCATATTCCATCGCATTTAATAGTGCATTGCGCAACATTTCATGTTAAAAATACCCGTTTTTCTAACCCATACATGCTTAAACAATTGCCTGATGGGCTGAATGAGCCCTTCTCTGATCGCTGCAATTGCCTCTATAATCCTGTACGGTAAAATAAATAAGAGGGATTCGGGACGGAACGTGAGACTGGGCGTGACGTCATATTCACGCTCACCTGGCTATGTCTGGCAGGTTTGTGTATTCGCCGGCGCCGCCATTCTCCGTATCAGCAAAGACAACTCGAGCGACAAAACTCTAGTCAACTTTCGACAAAAGTAGAAGATGGATTCTAAGAGACCAGCTTGTAGTTCATAAACCCCAACGCAAACTCCACGTAAGACAAAGAAAAGAAAACTTTTGTCTAGTGCCACCAAAAGGGCCAAATTGGAGTCAGACAGGCGTCGGAATAAGACGAGAGTCAACATCGGGAAGGCTTTCAACAAATGGAGAGATCTCCGGTCTGCTCTAGGGCTCAAACGGGATCCTCAGTTGGCTTTTTTCTTGATGAAACGGTTCATGAACGTGTTTCCATAATAATACAATCATAAGTGGATACAGTAAACACATAAAACAGTTCAACGTGGAGATAGATGGAAACAAAAACCGAAGTTTTCTACTACCCCCGTTTTCCCCTCACACATAAGTGTATAATTTACTCAAATGCCTTTCCTTTCATATACTTAAAATGACTTGCAGATTTATAACTTTATTACCTCTGAAGACATTATGACTGTAAACAAAAGATTTGTGCGGCTGATGCTCCTTATGAACAGCTCGTGCAAGCGTGCGTGTGTGTGGTCCATGAGCGTGCACATCTCTGGTTGCAGTTTCGCTTGTCGCCAGAGGGGGCGTAGTTCTGCAAAAACTCAGAGACTTGCGCAATGCACCTTTAAGAAAACGGGCCGCATAATCAAGGATTTTTGCCCGCAACAATCACAAAAAAACTCTGCGTTTTTCTGGAAGGACTGTATTTTATGAGAAAATGTTAAAGTGTTTTTTGACCCTGGATGCATGTAAACCTATTGTAGGAGCCTTTAAAATAACATAATAGAGGCACTTCAATATTGCATTCTCAACAATTGCTTGACAAGAGCAGCTTCATATCTGGCAACAATAGCACACATTAGTACATTTTACATTTAATAACAAGTTTGGATGGTTTCACATAGACATGCAAACTCAGTAGCCATGAATATGAGAATGCATATTTACCTTGCCATCACTGAAAACCCTCTTGGTGAAGACATAATGAACGCCTTCAAGGTCCGACTGCGTTCCTACCGGCGATTCAGATTTGGTACGCTCTGCTTTTGGTTTGATTTGGACAGATGCTGCTTCCTCGGGATCGCCTACATCGGATCCCACGTCGTCACTCGTCTCCCGGTCGAAGGGGAAGATCTCGTCGCCAGAAGGATCACAACCAGATTCATCAAGCTCGATGTCATCATCGTCGTCATCTTCCTCGTCTTCTTCTTCACCCTACAAATGTGCACACTCAATTTAATTTCAACTCAGAACTAATGCAAAAACTGTTCCTTCAGTATTTCACATTTAGCTGAAATTATACCGTAAATGTATGCATTAAAGATCTTTGTCTTATTTTAACTGGAAAACAGACTCTTCGGCAACTAAAAACAAAATAATTTTTGGGTTTTTTTAGGTTTTGTTTTTTACTTCTTTGGAATGGTACGAAACTTGGTAAAGGTTTTGGCACTTGCTATGTGAACTGCCATGTGTGAATCTGCCATGTGTCGTCTTTGTAAAGAGATCAAACTTAAGTCTGTGCTCTAAAGCATTCAAGGTTTAATTACGACAGTTTAAATTGGAAATTTAATTTTCAGGTCTATGCTCAAAAAGTGTATAAATGGATTATAAATACAGCGTAAATATAATTTAGTATAAAAAAATCCCCTACAAAATATTAAATAAAAAACATTATCAAACTAAAATATAGTACATTAATTTCATTGACAAAAAAATGTTTTTGACCGACACGCAAAGAGCACCAAAAGCTAAGAAGACAAATTTACCTGAGAAGCTCTAATGCATAAAAATTCAAGGGTTTCATATGAGGATCTAATTTTCCTTGATTTTTAGAGCTGTTCCTAAAAAGGGAAACCCAGACCACTTCCGGCAAATTTAGATTTGCTCTGAAAGTTAGTCTGGCAAAGAGCTCATTCAAGCCCATTTCCAAACCGCCGAAATCGCGGCACCAATCAGAAACGTTGGGGCGGGCTTTACACGATGACGACAGCGCTGGGATTTTGAAGCAGATTTTGTAGCCTACATTACAAAGATGGATGCCGCCGTCGAACATCACTCGTTCCAATCAGCTATCGCGTCTGTTTTAAGCCATTTGAACGTTTCCTTTTAGTTAAAAACCGAGCAAAGAACAACACTCGGAGATGTTTCTCCGCCGCTCTGCATACGTCATCTCCTTCATCGCTCTGATTGGGTTTAGGTCTATCCGCGACGTCCGTTGGTGACGCCCCTCTGGAGATGATTTGTCTATGACGCTTTGCCAGACCATAACTCAGTTACAACTGAGAATGGTCTGGTTTTAACCAGGCTAAAACTCAACTGCATGATGAAAAGAAGACTATTTCTTCTCAATCTCAACATTTGAAGTGGATCAAAAGATGAATCAAAGTTATACATGAATGCTGAACAATACCCGTTCTTGTGTTAGAACAACTTTGATGGACTTTTTTGATCCACTTGAAATGTTGACCACTGTATTTACGCGCTTTGCACACCTCAGTCTCGGCGTCAGAGTCGGCTTCTTCCTCATCGTCCTGCTCCAGCTCAATCATATAGTCAGAGTCCTCGAGATCTTCTGTACTATGAGGACTGGACCTCGCACGGGATCTGTTCATATCCTCAGCCGGCACTTTCTTGCTTTTCTTCACCGCATCGACATGATTCACACCACTCACGGATTTATCAGTTTGACTGTTTGAACGGACTTTCCCAGCTTTGCTTTTTGGAGGAGAAGCAAAGTACTTATAAGTTGTTTTGAGACAATGACACATATAGTCAAACATCATCTGACTGCTCAATGTCCGAGCCACATTCCTCTGGACGGCGAATGGATCTGAGAAAGAAAAAACAGAGATAAATATTAATATATCTCATATCTAGGCAGACGTAAACTACCAGTCAAAAGATTTGGATCGGTAAGATTTGTAATGTTTTTATAATAAGTCTGTTCTGTTCACCATTTGATTAAAAATACCAAAAAAAACAGTAATATTGTTAAATATCATGACAATTTAAAATGACTGTTTTCTATTTTAAAATGTAATTTATTTCTGTGATCAAAGTTGAATTTTCAGCATCATTACTCCAGTCTTGAGTATTGAATTAAATTGATCAAAAGTTACAGTAAAGACATTTATAATGTTACAAAAGATTATATTTCAGATAAATGCTGTTCTTTGTAACTTTCTATTCATCAAAGAAACCTTAAATACCAATTGTACATAACTGTTTTCAACATTGATAAAAATCAGAAATGTTTCTTGAGCAGCAAATCATCATATTAGAGTGATTTCTGAAGGATCATGTGACACTGAAGACTGGAGTAATGATGCTGAAAATTCAGCTTTTGGTCACAGGAATAAATTACACTTTACTATATATATTCACAATGAAAACAGCTGTTTTAAATTGTAATAATATTTCACAATATTACTGGGTTTTTTTGTATTTTTAATTAAATAAATGCAGCCTTGGTGAACAAAAGAGACTTTTAAAAAACAAAAAATCTTACCGATCCAAAACTTTTGACTGGTGGTGTATATAAAAAACATGATGCCATGTATACCTTCTATTGCAATCCTCTTTTTGGGCCAGTCTTTCAGATCACGCCATAAGTCACCGTTTGTGCGCACGCTAATGACTTTCTCGGGTATTTGAAATTCCAGTGAATAATATCGCAGTAACTCGACCCAAAGCTTCCCCAGCTGTACAGGAGGACTTCGGTCTTTGAAAACCAGTGGAGACTATTTCAGAAAAAACAAATCAAAACAATGAACCAATAGGTAAAGAAATACTATGGAAGCTTGTTTATAAGAATACAAAATACAAAATAAAAAGTTAATTGCGACTTTTTCATCTCGCAATCCTGAAATAAAGTCAGAACTGCGAGATATAAACGTGCAATTCAATCTTCTGAAGGTTTTTACCTCGTAATTCTGACGTTATAAATCGCAATCGTGAGATAAAAATGACGCAATTACCTTATTTCGTGGCGGAAACAAGCTTCCATAAAACACAGTAGGGATTTTGTGGACTTTCTTTTGGCTTGAGCTCTTCAAATTTAACCTTTTGATGCACAATACACGAGTAGCTGGGAAAATACTAACCTTTCCCTTCTTGATGAGTTTGTCTTTATCTTGTGAATCATTTGAGGTTGGATCATATACCCAAAGTACGTGTCCTTTTTCAACCCCGGTTATGGAGAAACTCTTCAGTTTACTCACAGGCAACCCCTAAAACAAGACACAACATCAGTCTCTGCAACAAATTAACTACTACCTCACAATGAACACCATTTCTTACAGGATTTTCCATAAACATATGAAACATTTTCTAAATTTTCTAGTTTAAGTTTTGTATCTTAAGGGTGGGGTTTTCAGTAGTAAATACCATTCTGTTGTTCATTATAGAGATGTGCGATATGTATCGTCTATGATCATTTAATGATGTGTTTTAATAAGCTAACATTATCCAGTATGTCAAAAACTTTGCAAAATGCAAACAAAAACAGGCCTCGAGAGTGATATAGCTTTCACTACATGTAGTACAATGCAGTTAGACTTACAAAAAAATCAATATACGGGGGAAAAAACACAAGGTTTTGTCTCATATTTCTATATGATATTTTAAGCACAATCACACAAGCAATCGTGTCGTTTTTCCCCGAGTATCAACATGATTGCAAATGTGACCATGATTTTGCACAACAGTCCAATAAACAAGAAGCTAATATTGTGAGTAACATTTCAGACACAATATTGTGACAACAATTTGCTATTTCATAATCAAAAATTGTTTAAGATTCATATATATATATATATTAGGGCTGGGCAAGTTAACGCGTTATTATCGCGTTAACACATGTATTAATTAATGCCGACAATTTTTTTATCGCACGTTAACGCAGTTTTTTTATTTTATTATTTTGAAAGTCCGTTGCTCACTGCCTCTGAATACACATAGGGCTACAGTCAAACCATGGATCACAGGAGGGGTGGGATGTTGGTCAGCCAGCAAATAACCCACCCAAACCAGCAGTGGAGAGGCTTTGGCAGGTTCTCTCAGGTGAACAGAAAGGGAGACAGCGCTCCGCGAGTGAATGACAGGCGCTCTATGGATAGTAACCATGGCAACGGCTTCTGTGCGCTACGCAGCTGTAGCCTTTTTAACTTAAATTAAAATTATACATAACTTTACCTGATAGGCCTGCGTTTAGTTTAGCGGGGATGCTCTGCCATGTGAATTCCCTTCTGTTGATGTCCTGATAACTATTTAGATTGGGAAACTCACAAACAGCGAGCCGAGGATCAGTCTCTCTTTCAATGATTTGTGCTGCGCGTCGTGTAGCTACAAAAATAGACAATTCGACTTCTGCAACGGGAGAGCGCGGGCGCGTGCGTGAGGCGAGCATGACCGCAAAAGTTTCACAGGAACGCACCCGTTTGTCGCTGCACCTGTGCTCGACCACTTCACCTCACTCTAGGCTGATTTATACTTCTGCGTCGGACCTACGCCGGAGGCGCCTCTACGCTATGGACTACGCGTTGGTTTTTATTTATACTTCTGCGTCGTTGTCCCCCTTGACGCGCAATTACACATGCAGAAGGACCATGCATGTGAACCCGGGGAGCGGTTCTAGCAATCACAGCGCTTGCGGTATGCGTAGAATTGACGCATTGTTATTTTTGGAGAGGTGCACCGTGCACGTCAGGGTACGCGCGCTACACACACAGCAGGTAGGCAGCTACGGCGTGAGTTCGAAGCAGAAGTATAAATTGGGCTTTACATCTGTTTAATGTAATCTTAGTGTACGTGGGAAACCATGTCATGACCAAACCTAAGCTACTATCAGAGAAGTAACGTTGGTCGACTTATATCTGTGGTAGTGGTCATGACCTCTGACTACATAGACTGTTTCTGCTGCTCCCTTAAAAAAAGATACCTGTTGATACCTGTTCAGAAAAAAACAACAAGGAAACTGGACTCGTTTTAACAAGCTAGATTAAAGGTAATGCCCTGGCATGTGGCAGCTTTGTTTTAATATTTGATTTGATTACATTAAATTAATGTTTAAGTTGAGATTTACAATAAATATTTTATTGCTACTGTGTAAAGGTAATACTGCTGGTATAAAGCACCTTATTTGTTTAAAGTTTTTGCAAACCACATGTTATTGCACTTTTGTGTATATAGCAGTACATTTAAATCAAAAGTGCGCAATACACTACTTTAGAATTCATTATTCACTCTTGCGCGTAGCAATGCGATTAATCGCGATTAAAAATTGTAATCGTTGCCCAGCACTAATATATATATTAAAAGCATTTATATATATTATATATAAATGCTTTTTTAAATGCAGCTTCTATGTCACTTCTGCAGTGCAAGGATACATTTTGTGATGGATTGGTAACAATCTATAGTGTCTTATTCTTCTTATTATTGAATTTATTGATTGATTGTAAGAATGTGACGTAAAAATGCACTTGAAATCAATGTAAGGTGGCAAATATCAGCCCTTTTGAAAGAGTTTATTTCCGTCGCTGCTGTGAACTGACCACAGCGAAGAATATAAACATTTTCTAGAGTCAGCTACCCATGACACTCAGCTAGATATCTTCTAACTATTATTATCATCGACAAAATCCCAGAAAAATAGAGAGATATCACTTTTTGCCAATATTGTACACACCTAGTTCATTACATGGCTCTCTGAAATACTTGATTGCGATTGGTCAGTTGCAGCATCCTCTGATAAAATAGTTTTTGTATGTTGATCATTAAACTGTAAAACTGGTCATGTCCAAAAAGATGATAAAATGATTGGTAACACTATTTAAAGCCTTCATTTATAATGCATTATGAAAGTATTTTTAATGCATTAATTATGCATGCACCTTATAATGCATTATATGATCTCATGAATAATTTTAACCTCAGTTATGTATTATACATAAATGCTTTAAGAAAAGTGTTATCAAATGATTTCAGACTTTAATTTCCCATATTTATTCATGTGATGAGTATCTGTGTAATAAACGGGATAATTATTGCATTATGGTCTGTGTCTTGATTACAGTGTCGGGGTTTAATTTTTTTTTTTTTTTGCAATAATGACCGGCTGACTGCAGATTATCTCAGGTTACCTCTCCAAAAGAATCCAGATGCAATAATCAGGCATTGGTCCTATAAACTTGAATAAATGATGCATTAATGTTGAATCACACACCACGTGTTCGAGGTATGAAGGTAAGACAGGTTCCTTGCGTCGTTGCAAGAAGCTGATGACCATGAGGGTAAAGCTGTAGGACGGAAGTCCACCTTCTTCCATCTGGTCTACACAACAAATCTAATTCACACAAACAAAAAAACATCACATATTATAAGGATATATATATAAATAAGCATGCAGAGCTTTAAAATTATTTATGCTGTATCACTGTACATAAAAAAAAATGCTACCTATTAAATCTTTATATGCAATATTATATTTAACCAGTGTTTCCCCTACCATTGTTTTGGGGGGAGCGGCCCGCAGTTTCATTTACCACACACACACACTGAAGCACGTGTGACGCTTGCGCTGTTTTTTGCCCTATATGAAGACACAAATGCATGAACTTCCTCTCGAGGCTCTAGATCCACTCTGAAAGTCACTTCGTGATCATTTAACTGCTTCATTTGAGAAAAACTATCATCATGACATAAACACACAGAAACTCAAAAGGTCTTCACGGCAACCCGTCAAAATAAAAGTTCGGTTTAACTTGACAGAAATATATTACTGTTGTACATTAGAATTTAGATATGTCCCAATGTAATAATACACTAACACTAATCCAAATAAATTATCATCAAAACTGACATTTTTAAGGAATAATCCATGTTTTATTGATGATAAAGTTGATGATAAATGCTAAAATTTGTGTTTTATGTCTTCATTTTATTTTCATTTCATTTTATTACCATAAAAAACACAACACAGAATTAGTGTGATTTTATACATGATTTCACTTAATAAAAATAAAAACATTACACCAAGTATCCGTAACACGCCCGCTCCGCAACACTAGCAGCCCCCCCCCCCCCCCCCCTGAAAAAAAATCCTAGGGGAAACACTGTTAACTAACATATATATGTCATGTTTCAGACAACACTGAGAAGGATAGTAAACAAAACATGCAATTTTGCATTTTAAACTTAGCTGAAAAAACCTTCAGACTGTGTATTATACCAAACAGCACATCAGTCTTACCTTAGCCCAGAATCTGAAGCATATAATCAGCGGGATGAGCTGCGGCTCCAGACTCGCCATCTCGGTCAAATATGCTGTTGTTATGCATGCACTTTCATTGCCTGCACTGACTTTGCAGATCAGACCACTTCAAAAGATAAAAAAAAACATATAACATAAGTTTAAAGCAGTTATAAAAAACCTCTGTCAATGAATTTAACATGCACTACAATTCAAAATTTTGGGGTAGGTAAGATTTTTTAAATGTTTTTGAAAGACTTTTCTTCTGCTCAAAAAGGCTGAATTTATTTGATCAAAAATACAGTAAAAATAGTGACATATTACAATTTTAAAAATATGTTTTCAATGTGAATATATTGCAAAAAGTTTGTTTTTTTTCCAGTGATCAAAGCTGAATTTTCTTCAGCGTCACATGATCCTTGAGAAATCATTCTAATATGATGATTTGATGCACAAGAAACATTTCTGATTATTATCAACGTTGAAAACAGTTGTGCTGCTTCGTATTTTTTTAGGATCCTTTGATTAATAAAGTTCAGAATAAACATTTATTTGAAATAGAGTTTTTTGTAACATTGCAGATGACTTTACCGTCACTTTTGATCAATGTAATACATGAATAAACGTATTAATTAATTTATTTTAAATCTTACTGACTCAAAAAACCTTTTGAAATTAGTGTACATTTAAAAAAAAATTTAAAACAATATAAACTTCATAAAATTATATATACATATTTGAATGCCGTTAGCTTCATATTTAAGCTTTGTAAAAGAATAATAAGGAAACAGACCTTGATTTCTCTCTGCACACAACGACAGGCATCCTCCTATGGAAGTCTCCCTCCACATCGACAAAAAGATCTGCAATTATGAAAATAAAACAGTGAGAAAAATTAAAACATACCATTGTTATTTTATATTGGTGGGTACTTTTTTGTGAATACTTTTATGCATATATTACGCTTTTATATTTGATCTATAATAATTTTAAATTTTCAGTCATAACAAAACATAACTATTTTTTGGCCAAAATTTCAGCATCAGTGTATCTCGAAACTTAATTACCCTGCTCTGTTTCTTTTCACCATGGCCAAATATAACACACAATTTTTATTAGCTTTCACTGCTTTTCATCTTTTAACTTACCACTTTTAGAGAGATGCTCTTGAGCCACGAGCAGAATATCAGGATGCTGGAACTGATGAGAGATTTATTTTTCTTAATTACAAAACAATTTTTGACCAAACTTCACCAGCAAAAGTAAAAGATTACAGGTGAAACTCGAAATATAAGAATATCGTGCAAAAGTTCATTTCAGTAATTCAACTTAAAAGGTGAAACTAATATATTATGTAGACTCATTACATGCAAAGTGAGATATTTCAAGCCTTTATTTGTTATTATTTTGATGATTATGGCTTACAGCTTATGAAAACCTTTTCACAATATTCTAATTTTGACTTTGGGGTTTTCAAAAGCTGTGAGCCATAATCATCAAAATTATAACAAATAAAGGCTTGAAATATCTCACTTTGCATGTAATGAGTCTATATAATATATTAGTTTCACCTTTTAACTTGAATTACTGAAATAAATGAACTTTTGCACGATATTAAAATTTTTCAAGTTTCACCTGTAGTATTGCAAAAATTAATTTTTGTAAAAACATGTCACCCAAATCCAAGACTAGCTGTGCATTAAACGATTTGAACGCACTCCGCTTTGCGCCGGGAAGTTCTTGGCCTCCATGTCATGCATTAAAATCATTTAATGCACATCTAGCTGTGGATTACCCCTTACTTAAAGGCTTTTAAACTGCATATGCCATGGTTTATGTGTTAGCTATCACAGTGTACACACACTCACACAGCAAATTTTAATACAGAGTCTAAATGTCAGCGATAATTAGCTTGTATCAGGGGTTTGAGCCAATAATAGCTCTAATTAATAAATCATATTGCTTCGTGATGCCTGTATTAACAACTGAAGAGAGTAAAGTTCACTTCATGCTAGGTTTAATCAAGTTGTTGTGCGCAGTCTAGCTAGAACTTCTTAATAGAGACACAAATGTAACTTTAAAAAAGGAAACAAGGATCAAATTAAAAAATGACAAATATAAAGTAATTTACTTTGATCAACCCTAGAAGACAAAGCCATAAGATGTAAAAGGTCAATTGTGAGAATATTTCTAATAAGCACTTCACACTCACATGGGATGGAAACTTCACATCAATGTTTACATCAGAATCTTTGAAGCCGAACTTTGTGCAGGAAGATCCATATAACCTGAACTGGCATTCTGGAGGGGGAAAGAGAGTAAAATGTATGGAGGAATCCTTAGAGCCGCACAATTAACCGTTAAACGATCGCAATCTCTTTGACAAGTAAGAGCATTCACCCAGAGAGAGCAGTTGTTGTCATGTACAGGTATGAAACAGCTTCACAAACACACAGTATCATTATTTCTGTCTTATACACTTCAAATTATCACAGAAAAACTGGGATAAAGGTTTATAATTCTGATATAAACACTGATGTCTGTAGTAGCGACCAAATTAGAGCAAATCACGTTCTAAAAGTAGCTTGACGCTGCAAATAAAGATTGTATTACATTGTTACACCAATAGGTCGCGACAAGTGACTAAGTGACTGTTAAAAAAAAGTATTTGTCATTGAATCATCAAAAACGCTGATTCATCCAGTAATGATATGTGAAGTCTTAATGAATGAGTCAATTATTATTATTATTTTAGAATCATGTTCATCATCTCTATTTTAACCAATAAAATTGTGATTCTCAATTTCTCCAGAATCGTGCAGCTCTAAAAAGCATCAAATAAAGGATTCAATGAGCTTTACATGGTTAAATACCTGGAAGGAAAGGTTGAAGGACTTTCTGAACGAGAGCGAGAATATTTTGGCGTTGTTCTAAATCCTGATCGTTCAAACCAAACTCATTGACCACACTTTCCAGCGCAGAGCTGATTAAATGACACTGAGCTTTTCCAGGAGGCGGTATATTCAACAGCAGCGTCAGCTTCTGCAGCTCCTATAAAGAGGAGACACAATTCAGACATAAATGACAAGCACAGCAGTTTGAGCCTGCCAACAACTTGATCATAATTTTGTCATTTGACTCCTCACCTTGGCTTTCTTCCTGTGGGATCTTTCTCTGATGTGAGCGAGCGCTGGAGAGATGTCTTCACAGAACACCTTACATTTATCACATCTGAACTTCAGGCTGATGCTTGGCTGAAAACAAACAAAATCAGATTACATCAACTAATATGATCAATGCACAATGTTTTGTTGAAGAAATTAATACTTATATTCATCAAGGACGCATTCAATTGATCAAAAGTGACAGTAAAGACTTTTTCATTGTTACAAAGAATTATATTTCTAATAGCTGTGAAACAATTAATCGTATCCATAATGCATGCATGATATATTTAATGCACACATGCTTGTCTATAAAGTGTCACCCCCCTTTTTTTGAATATACATGAAAATGCACATTTCAAATTTAAATGGTTGTAATTCAAGAATGCTTTGGAATATAGACGTAAGATTGGTCTCGTTTTAAAGAAGACATTTGGCAGATTTTTGTAGAAGTGAAATAAATTAAGAAAGTGAAACAGAAAAAAAGTTATAGAAGTTTGAGTTTATGAAAATGTACAATGTAAAAAATTTAATTATTCATATTTTATAGAAAATATATATTTTCAAAACCTGGGCGACTCTAAAACTGCAAAAAAATCAAAGTCAAAAATCTGAACAAGTTGTGTTTCAAATTTTAGGTTGATATCTCAAAAAATGAGCTTTCAGTAAGATTTTGTTTGGGCGCAGTACCAAACTTTTTCACTAGATGACAACCAGACTCCATTACTGCCTCCATTTCCAAATGTGTTTTGAGTGATATGAACCATTATTTCCACAATTTTCATACAATTTATGAAGTAGACATCCTATTCAGAAGTAATATGAGAAGTTTGGCAGATTTTGATATGAATTCAACTTCTAAGAAACACAAAAAGAACAAGCATGTGCGTTATAGCTCGCTGCCACATCACAAATGGTGAATCTATAATTTTTTTCTTTATTTGTAAAAAAAATTCAGACCTTTTTTTCTAAAATAATTGAATGGATGCTATTTTTTGAACTCTTGGCATGAAAACAAACTGAGGTTTCTACCCTTCTTTCATGTTTTTCTTGTTCATCACTATTTCAAAATAAAGGTCTAAACACGCCTTAGGAGTCAAGATTAGTTTAGGTTTAGTATAAGATATTACTGTTTTAAAAATGTAATGGATTTGGGCCCACCGGTGGGTCGGTGACACTTAAGGGGTTAAGAAAAATGTGTTATTTATATATCAAATATTTATATATTATATAAATATGATTACAGTATATACATGCAAATATTTCTAAAATATACATGCGTGTGTGTGTGTGTATTTATATACAAAATAGTTATACACAGTGCACACATATATATTATGTAAACACTTTTATTTTGGATGCAGGCCTAATTTCAAATAAATACATTTCTATTCATCAAGGAATCCTGAAAAATAAAATGCATCACAGGTTCCACAAAAATCTGAAGCAGCAAAAACTGTTTTCAACACTGATAATAATAATCATAAATGTTTCTTGAGCAGCAAATCATCATGTTAGAGAGATTTCTAAAGGATCATGTGACACTGAAGACTGGAGTAATGATGCTGAAAATTCAGTTTTACACCACAGGAATAAATGAAATTTTACTATTACTATTTATAAGTTTTTTTAAATTATAAAAAATATTTCACAATTTGACTGTAAGTGAATTACAGTAAATGTGATTTTATAAACAGAGCCTGATCATAAACTTTTCAATCGAAGCATATTAACCCACTGAATTTGGTTAATATATGCTTTAATAGTAAAAGCACAGCTCTAATAATTGTAAACATGTAAGATTGCAGTACCAAGATACAGCAGTCACTCGGTGAGAACGTCAAGAGCGCGTAAGTTGTTTTTTCTTAATATACAGTTCTCCTGTTGCTCTGTTTACCATTTGTCAAGTAAGTAGGGCTATTTTCGATTCTTTGCTTCTTTGTAATTTTTATCTTCACTAAATATCTTTATTTTAATTAGTCGCGTTCCTATTTTGAATATCTGCCGTCTTAAGGGTTGGAGTCTGTTTGTTATTGTAGCACTTAAGTACTGCTGTTCATAACAGCTAGTTTCGATTTGGGCCATTGTCGGGATACTTGCTTTCGCTGTGCTAATTGCAAGGACTACCACAGCTGTCCTCACTCAGACGATTGATAGCATTATTTCTATGTAGTGTGCGCGCTGTCGCGGAAGCGTCAGCGGAAGCATTCAGCTCTCGTGTTCAGCCTCCTCGTGTTAAGACCGACTCGGGTAAAGACCTGCGACTCTACCTGCGCGACTCCACCGAGCAAGGACACCTGCAAGGCACTTAAAGTATCTTCTTCACCCTTTCCTTTCCTACCTTTATCTTATTTCCCATTATCATTATGTGCTTTGAACACATTCCTGTTGTCTCTCGACAACGCTCTCTCACCACGCACAGAAGGCAGCGCAATACTGCTTATCTGCGCCCGTTTCTCTCATCCTCACACTCACCTCTCACTCTTTCTATGGGTTTATGGAATTGTCAATCAGCAGTCAATAAAGCTGACTTCATTCCAGCCTTTGCATCTCATTCTACTCTTAATATCTTGGGCTTGACTGAGACCTGGATCCGTCCAGAAGACTCAGCAACCCCTGCTGCTCTCTCTAACAACTTCTCTTTCTCTCACACACCTCGCCAGTCCGGGAGGGGTGGGGGCACTGGTCTTCTTATTTCTAACAATTGGAAATATTCACCTCTCTCTTCTCTATGCAATAACAACTCATTTGAATATCATGCTATTACACTTACAACTCCCATGTAGTGTAGATCCCATGAAGATCCATATTGTAGTTATTTATCGCCCCCCAGGTCAACTAGGAAGCTTTGTAGAAGAGCTGGATGTGTTGCTGTCCTCTTTCCCTCAGGATGGCATCCCACTTGTAGTCTTTGGCGATTTCAACATTCACCTAGCGAAGCCGTATGCAACAGACTTCATCTCTCTCCTAGCCTCTTTCGATCTCAAACGGCTCATCACCACCGGTACTCACAAGTCAGGCAACCAACTGGACCTGGTTTACACACGCAACTGTATCACAGACAACATTTTGGTGAAACCTCTCCAAGTTTCAGATCATTTCCTCATTACTTTCAATCTACAACTCACTACCCATGCTCCACCAACCTCCCCACCATTTACTTTCAGACGAAACCTGCGCTCACTTTCTCCATCCCATCTTTCCTCTGCTGTGTCATCTTCTCTTCCCTCACCCTCACATTTCTCATCTCTGGATGTGAATACTGCAACGGATACTTTATGCTCCATCCTAACCTCTTCTTTAGACAATATCTGCCCTCTCTCCTCTAGGCCAGCACGCACCACTCCCTCTAACCCCTGGTTATCTGAGGTTCTTCGTGAACACCGGACCAAGCTCAGGGCAGCGGAGAGGAAATGGCGCAAATCAAAAGACACATCTGACCTCAGTAGGTATCAATCTCTGCTCTCTGCCTTCTCTGTTGACGTTCACGCCGCAAAATCTTCATATTTCCACAACAAGATCAACAGCGCCTCTAACACACGTTCACTGTTCAAGACATTCAATTCTCTCCTCTGTCCACCTCCACCACCACCCACCTCCTCTTTAACTGCTGATGATTTTGCTAACTTCTTCACTAACAAAACTACCACTATCAGCAGTCAGTTCTCAGCACAGGAACCCAGACTAACCTCTCCCACAGCCAATAACCTTCTCTCCTCCTTCACTCCACTAACCGAGGAAGAAGTATCTAAACTTCTCCTCTCCAGTCATCCTACCACCTGCCCTCTAGACCCCATCCCCTCACACCTTCTACAAGCCATCTCTCCCACACTTCTACCAGCTCTCACACACATTATCAACTCATCCCTCCACACTGGCATTTTCCCTACAGCATTTAAGCAGGCTCGGGTAACCCCTCTGCTTAAAAAATCAACATTAAACACATCACTTCTAGAGAACTACAGACCTGTCTCTCTCCTACCATTCATTGCAAAAACACTTGAACGAGTTGCTTTTAACCAAGTATCATCCTTCCTGTCTCTGAACAACCAGCTGGATGTCAACCAATCTGGCTTCAAGAAAGGACATTCAACTGAGACTGCATTGCTGTCAGTCACGGAAGCCCTGCGGATCGCAAAAGCTGCTTCCAAATCATCAGTTCTCATTCTACTGGACCTGTCTGCTGCCTTCGACACTGTGAATCATCAGATCCTCTTGTCCGCCCTCTCATCACTGGGCATCACTGGAACCTCCCTCAACTGGTTTGAGTCCTATCTCACAGGTAGGTCTTTCAAGGTCACATGGAGAGGTGAGGTATCCAAAGCACATCAACTGACCACAGGCGTTCCTCAGGGTTCAGTTCTCGGACCGCTCCTCTTCTCCATTTACACCACATCACTGGGACCCATCATACAGGCACATGGTTTCTCTTACCATTGCTATGCTGATGACACCCAGCTCTACCTCTCATTTCAACCAGATGATCCCACAGTAGCTGTACGGATCTCAAGCTGTCTGGCGGACATCTCGGCATGGATGAAGGAACATCACCTGCAGCTCAACCTGGCAAAGACTGAGCTTCTCGTCCTCCCTGCCAATCCGTCTCTTCAGCACGACCTCACTATCCAGGTAGATTCATCCTCAATCACCCCATCAAGGTCGGTCAGAAATCTTGGAGTAATCTTTGATGATCAGCTGACCTTCACAGACCACATTACAAAGACAGCTCGATCATGCAGGTTTGCTATGCACAACATCAGGAAGATCAGGCCTTTCCTAACTGAGCATGCAACACAACTTCTCGTCCAGGCCCTGGTCATTTCTAGGCTTGATTACTGCAATGCTCTTCTGGCTGGACTTCCATCATGTGCAACTAAACCTCTACAAATGATCCAGAATGCTGCAGCTCGTCTGGTCTTCAACGAGCCCAAAAAGGCCCACGTCACTCCTCTGCTCATCTCTCTGCACTGGCTACCACTCGCTGCTCGCATCAAGTTCAAGGCTTTGACGCTTGCTTACAGATTGACCACAGGTTCAGCTCCCTCCTACTTCCACTCACTACTACAAGTCTACATCCCTACCAGAAGCCTACGATCGGTCAATGAGCGACGGCTCGTGGTACCATCACAGCGGGGCACAAAATCACTCCAGAACATTCTCATTCACGGTTCCATGCTGGTGGAATGATCTCCCCACCCTCATCCGGAATGCAGAATCCCTGACAACATTCAAAAGACAACTGAAAACTCATCTCTTCCGGGAGCACTTAACTTAACTTAAAAAAAAAAAAAAAAAAAAAAAAAAAAAAAAAAAATCCTTTCCTCTAAATCCTCGCTTGCCTGCCTTATGCTACTCCGAGCTATGGCTGAACTTTGTATTTTGAGCACTTCTTGCGTTGCTTTTGCCTCTTCACGATGACTCGCTTGGTTTAGTCCTCAGTTGTAAGTCGCTTTGGATAAAAGCGTCTGCTAAATGACTAAATGTAAATGTAAATGTAAGATACTCTTTAAAGTACCATGTAAAGATTATGGTGCATAAATACAGTTTTTTAAGAATATCTCTTTCCTAAATCATGACATTTTGCCCAGAATACGATTTAAATCGCCTAACCGGTAAGTCTATAACTTTCCAAACCTCTTTCTGGTCACAATCACTGCCTTCGGCTTCCAAGCACAGCTGTAAAACGTCCCGTCTGGTGAGGCAGCTTTCAATCGACACCATCCTCTTCTGCAGGCTGTCTGATAGACAAACCAGAAGTAGACAGATATTAGATACATTTCAATCTAATTCCTTAATTACATGATAGCTTCTTATTAGGGATGCACGATATATCGGCCACAATATCGGTATCGGCCCGATATATGTTCATTTTTAATGTTATCGGTATCGGCCCAATAAGAAAATCTGGGTGATATATTAAAGCAGAATAATGGATTATTTCCTTCACATAATGGTTTTGAAAGGCTTGAAATATGATTGGAATCAGTTCAAAAAAGGAAAATACAGTAAAGTGCAACTGCACAGCACAAGCCTGTCATATCGGCTACATACAATTATAATGAGAACATTATAATTGTGTGCTTGGAACATGGGATAGTTCAACCAAAAATGAAAACTCTGTCAGTAATTACTCGCCCTCATGTTGTTCCAACCCCGTAAGACATTCGTTCATCTTCAGAACACAAATTAAGATATTTTTTATTAAATCTGAGAGCTGGATCACTCCTCCATAGGCTTCTTAAGGGATTGAAAGTTGCCGGCCCAGAAAAGTTATTAAAGACATCGTTAAAATAGTCCGAGTGACTACAGTGGCTCTTGTGTTATGTTGCGGGTCAATTTGACCCGTTTCGATTTTCAAGTTGTTGGAAATACTGGTTAATCTTTGTTTTTTTTCTTGATATTTTGTGACTTTTTCTCATTTATCATGATGAACATGCTTGCAAAGTTTCAACATGCTGATGTGTTTTGACATATACAAACAAAATTACTGTTACGTTTGTGATGTTCGCTGGTCAATTTGACCCTCATAGACAGCCATTCAAAAGCATATACAGACACAAAATAAAAACATTTATTTTCTGTATGTCAGGGCACTTCAACTCCAGTTCTAAGGTGCAAGTGCATCTAAAAGTGCTCTAACCCTAACCAAACACACTTGAAAAAGCTAAAATTACAGTGTTCAGAATTATTTGCAAATTACAGATGAAAATCTTTGTCAGACACAGATAGTAAAATAAGCTCTCATTTCAATATTCAAAATATCTAAAATACCTAGCTTTTAACCAAAACTTTTATGTAGGATTTTCAAAGGCAGATTCACAGAGCCAAAAAATAAATAAAAAACATTTATTTGATGTATGTTTTTGTTATGTTTGGTTTCTCACTTCCCAGTGAGTGAATAATGAAACTAGGAAAATAGGTCTTAGGAAACTAGGGAAAGTTAACTTAGGAAAATGAAAAATTTTCATTATACAGCAATTTTTTTTGTTCAGTTACGATGTTCAAAGCATAAAATGTAAAAAAAAAAAAAAGGAAAAAAAAATATGCAAAAAAAATCAGTATACTGTTTATTTTCCAATTTTGTCGAAACAAAACTGTTTTAAAAAATGTTTTTAAAACATTTTCATAAATCATATTTTCAGATATAATGTTTTTGTAATGTTTGACAAATGCTGATATTAAAAGTTTACAGTTTGTATCTAAATCTTTGTTGTTTTTCATAGTGTGGTTTTTGAGGAATTGTATTGAATCCAATTAGGGTCAATTTGACCCGGTCCATAAGGGGAGTACACAGAATTCGAACAGAACACAAGGGTTAAGTTTATCAAGCGATGAGAATACAAAAATAAAAATAAACAAAAATAAAGACTTTATTCAACTATTCATTTCCTTCTCTGTGGGCCTCGAGATTTCCCGTAGTGTAACAGCGCAGCGCTTCTGTGTTGTACGTCACACGCATCATATCACACACATGACCAGCGTCGGCCAATAGTGAGCCTCCGTGTGACGTACAACACAGAAGCGCTGCGCTGTTACACTACGGGAAATCTCACGGAAGCTCTCAGATTTAATAAAAAATATCTTAATTTGTGTTCTGAAGATGAACGAACGTCTTACGGGGTTGGAACAACATGAGGGCGAGTAATTACTGACAGAGTTTTCATTTTGGGGTGAACTACCCCTTTAAAGCTGCTGTAGGTAACTTTTGAAAAAATGTATTTGCTAAAACTGTCATTATGTCCTGACAGTAGAATATGAGACAGATAATCTGTGTAAAAATCAAGCTCCTCTGGCTCCTCCCAGTGGTCCTATTGCCATTTGCAAGAAATACACGCTCCCGCTCAGAAACAACCAATCAGAGCCAGGAGGAATGTCTTAGCAGTGTCAATCACGCTCGTGTACGGGCTGATCACACCCCTCTCTTGCACAGCGCGTCGCGCGAGCCGTCGTTCAAACTCAAGATTGCCGGCGTGCTGCAGCTGTGCTTATGACGGAGAAACAACCTAAACTGCCAATTCTCGAGTGACACCTGCTCATAAAACAAAGAGGTAAAAGGAAAAAGACTGATGACGATAAACAAGCGAAAAAGAAAGAATTAGACAGAGCCCATTGACTCGGTGTCAAAACTCTAGCCGCGTGACATGTAGATAAAATGTCACGCACTCTGCTAAGCAACAATTGAAACCTGCTAATTCACTGGCTTGTCATGTTGCTGAAATAATGTACTAGCACACCTTATCTAGCATTATATATCGCTAGAATTATTACTTATATAACGGTAACTAACGTTACAGTATGTTAACGTTATCTTACTAGCTATTTATAACTTATAGAAAGAGTGCAACGTTATAAAGTTACATGTAGGCTATTGCAAAATACATAATGATTTGAGGACCAAGTTTGTAGTCAAAGTATGGGCAGGCCATAGTCAATGTAAAGCATATTATTGACGTTTAGTCCCTATTAGTGAATGTGCCATATTACTTTTTATCCGCTGTTATCGGTGGCCCTGTTTACTAGCCTGCGCGTTCACGACAGGCTCCGCTGTGGAGGACGAGCTGTGGAGGGAGGGCTGTAGCGCAGCAGAGAGCAAGGGGGTGGGACCTGTAAGTTGTGCTTGTTCAAACTTTCAGGCTAAGTGAACGTTTTCTCAAAACTCCCTACTAGGGGTGTAACGGTACACAAAAATCACGGTTCGGTACGTACCTCGGTTATAAAGTCACGGTTCGGTACGTTTTCGATACAGCAAAAAGTAAGAAATGCCAGAGAAATTTCCTATTTGTTAAAAGAAAAAATATTTTTTAAATAAGTGTGAGTTTTCCTACATCTTGAAACTTTCAGGTTTATAAATGGGTGTCATCTTTGAAGGATGAACAAATAATGTTTTGGTCATCAAATTAAAAATAACATTTAAATATATGAAGAGTTCAGATGCAAAAGCCATTTGAAATTTTCTTCTAGAATGATCATTTTTATCAAGCTTGTATATTTAAGTTCAGTAATTTCTCTTAAATGGCAATGAAGATTACCTATTAATTGTCATTTTAGTGAAATTACTGAACTTAAATATACAAGCTTCATAAAAATGATAATTCTAGAAGAAAATTTCAAATGGCACTTAGAGGCTTTTGCATCTGAACTCTTCATATATTTTATTTATATAATATTTGAGTTTTGAAGTGCTGGAAAAAGATTTGTTAAGTACTTGAAAGCATTTCACTATTCCAGCCAAACTGGTTACATTTAGCCTAGTGTTACTATATTAAATCCATGGTGAATGTTGCTGGTCTGTGGACGTAAAGTAGTATTACTAACGTTTGTTTATTTACGGCACAATATTTCTCCTGGTGTCCACGTCAGCGCTGTTTGATCTAATAGAGATCTACGGTTAATAACGGAGAAATGTGCATGCTTCTCACTAGATCTCGCAGCGATGTTATTACTTCAGTGGCGAATTCAAATGTTTTCTTTACTGGATCTCTTAGCGCTGTGTAGTGACAGTGTCGCTTGATCGAGATCGGCTCGCGCTGCACAGATGTTGCTGGTCTGAACTGATAAACGATCCGTGAAGAACATAATGAGTACCGCAGTTTCGTTCCGCTTTCTTTACGCTTGCCATTTGATGTTGCGCAACGTTGTGGTGGTCGCACCAGCGCGAATTTTGTCGGCAGGAAAAATGGTCCAAGGAATCGTTCGGTTTGTATGCGTACCGAACCGGAAGCCTCAAACCGAAACGGTTCAATACGAATACATGTACCGTTACACCCCTACTCCCTACTGCAGCTTTAATGGTGAGACTTTTTGTAATCAGGCTCTCAAAAATTATATAACAATTTGGATTTAGATTTATCGGCCAATATATAGGTTATCGGCTTTCAAATATAAAGAATTATCGGTTATCGGCCAAAATTTTCATATCGGGCATCCCTATTTCTTACACGTTTTACCATGTCTGTCTCGTCGTTCTCTCCAGTTCCTCCGCTCAGCAGGTGAACCTCTCTGGACTCGTTCCTGGTGAGAAGGACTCTGTCCGAACACTCTTCCCTCAGACAGCGCGGCTTTGCCTCTTCTATTCCCGTCACTTTCACTGGCTCGACCGTGACCCCACTTCGCTTTAGGGCTGTAACTGCGTTCATGATCGCGTCCCAACGGGCTCCTCCAGCTCTCAGCTTCATCTGCTTCCTTCGGTCTCCTGTATCGTGGAGAGAACTTCCGGTTTCCCTTATCAGCCATTGTGGATCTGGATTTATGGGTGGGACAACAAAACAATCTGTTACTTTAATTTCCTGTTATCACTGTAAAGCTGCTGTGAAACAATCTATATTGTTAAAAGCGCTGTAAAAATTAAGGTGACTTGAAACGAACAAGATTAATATGGAAGGAATACGAATAAAAATCCCAGTGATAAAGTACTACCTTCACAGCAATTTTGATTATGAGGTTTCATAAAACCCATAAAGTGATGATTAATAATAATCCTTAGTTTTAATTCACAAGTAATTATTAACAATCCTTAATGAATGTTGACGTGCATTCAATGTTTAGGTGACTCTCTAGTCGGACTTCAAAGAATTACCGATATTCCAATTGGACTCAATTTTGACTGTGACAGTGTGGATTATTTACATGGATCAAAGATCAGATAGTGTAATATTTCTACGTGTATGCTGTGAAAGTATCAAATAGTGAGTTAAAATACACGTAACGTTAGAGTTGCTGTGTAACGGCTGCTTCTGCTCGAGGACAAAGAGCAGCTCGTGAAAACTGCCGTGTCATACATGAGTCAACCTGACAGGAAAAACAACACAACAGCCTGTTTAATGTGATCATGCCAAACTCACCCAATCTAACAACAGTCTTGCTTTATAAACACGAGCGCGACATCTTTGATTCCCGTGAGTTTTCTGGTAACTGTAACATGCAGGTGTTTGTCTGACTCTGAACCTATGTCACTTCCGTCGACTTCACTTCTGTCAAATCATCTGACGTTCAACAGTTAATAAGAGCATGGCATTTCGCCATTTAACTCTTAATCAAACGTAAATAAATTATGATTTTAATAACTTGGTTTTAAGTAACAAACTTGTCTTTTGATATTGAAATTAATAATATCTATACGTGTTTGCACTTTCAACTTCCGGGTTCTATGTGATTCCAAAATAAAAGCTTCTTTGTCAAAATAAGAGCTTTTTCTACTCACAATGTTACTGTGCTGTAATGTAGTTGTCTTATTTATTTAATCAATGGGTTTATTTTAAACATTTTTTTATTTATTTTGTTTAATCTTATTTGTTATTTATTTTTACACTTTTTACACTCCACGGACCCCCTAGCACTCCTAGTTTGAAAACCTTTTTATTAAATCCTTTTACTGAATTGCAATTCTCTAAAACATGCAGCAAACCAACAGCATCGAGTCTCCCTTGGCTTGAACTAATTTGTGTTTAGTTCAAGCCAAGGGAGCGGTAGAAGAACTAATGTTGCCGCTAAGTAGTTCTTCTACTTAGCGGTAGAAGAACTAATGTTGCTAGATCAGCGTATCAAAGCCAATCAAAACCAGCAGAATGACCAATTAAACGAACCTAAATAACGAAATTCAAATTATGCCACTCCCTTACCTATAATCAGGGGCGGAGCTAGACTCTCAGTACAGTGGGGGCGGAGCTTCATCATGGGGCCCTCTGCTACCAAGTAATTTTAAAATTAAAACCGTTAAAAAAAAGTTAAATATTTGATGAATGCATATGTAAGAATGTGTCACTTGTTGAGCCAAGTAATCTTATATGTTAAATAAAATAGCCAACAATATTTTAAAAGTATATAATTATCTTATGACTAATTAAAAATTAACCTCAAAAACATAACTTGCTAAAATGGGATATCTATATCTAGCATACTAAAAAATGTAGGCTAATTGTCAGAAAGTCGTCTCTCAGTTGCTGAATGTCGTGCAACAGCGTTGCTACAGCCCTGTTGAGTCTTTCAATTCTACGTTGTTACAATGTTGCGAGCACGTAGACAGCGACGTTGCCATAGCAGAAATGCAACGTGCCACAGACATTGCCGAAACGTAAATGTGTTTGCTGGGTGTACTTTGCCTGGGCCCCGTTCCTGACGCAAGATCGGCGGCGTTTGAGGGGCCCCTAATTGGCACGGGGCCCTGGTGCGGCCGCACCCAAGCACCCACGCTATCTCCGCTACAGCCTATAATACATATTTTAGTCTCTGTTATGCAATCCACACAATTCCATAAATTTGCACCAGTGTCCCTTCCACACAAAAAATATCCTTACGCTTGGGTAGATAATACAAATTATGTCAAATATAATTTATGCAGTATGTAAAAAAAAAAAAAAAAAAAACCTCGGGCAGCAATTTAAACGTAGCCCAAATCCACAGGAAAACAGCAGACTTGGCAATCCAAGTCACAATGGATGTAAATGGAAGTAAAACTTCAGTTCATTGGCTCTTGTTTGGATTCAACAATCCTTGAACAAACATTCAAGTTGCTACAAGAGAAAATGCAAATGGTAATACAATACTCCAAAGTTGAACAAATACTCCCACGTAAAAATACTTGTATTAATATAGCAAAAGCACAGCACTAATAATTGTAAACATGTAGGAATGTAGTACCAAGATACTCTTTTAAAGTAGCATGTAAAGATTATGCTACGTAACATAAATATGGTATTCCTTCAGTACCATGGTATCACCACAGTACTGTTTTTTAAGAATGATGGGTCCCACTTTATATTAAGTGGCTTTTTTTTTATGTACTTACATCGAAAAATAAGTACAATGTACTTATTGTGTTCATGTTGTATTGTAAAACACTTGTGCTGCTATTGAGGTGTGATACGGGTGAGGTTAGGGACAGGTGTGTGTGGTATGGGTGGTGTTAAGTAGTTAAACTAGGATTGTGTTCTAATGTGGTTCTAATGTCTCTAGCCTTCCCCTTGGTGTGTCGATCAAAACACAGGAATGGATCAGGACAGTCTGATTCAATCAAAGGGGTTTATTGTACACTGAGAATGCATTGGTAATCAGTAAGAGACGCACACTATAGCACACAAAATAAGGGTTAATTCTCCCAGGCCCGTGCAAGTTTCTCTCACTCGCGCTTCATTCGGCTGCGTCAGGGCGATGATTGACAGGTGCACTAAGCCCCGCCTTTCCGACATTGCCGCCCCCAAATTTATTAGGAAATTTGCTCCGTTGGAAATGAGTTCAGGGTTACTGTTGGTTGTCTTCACTCCCAGGATGGTCATCCTCTTCAGGGATTTCAGGAAGAACTATTAGACGAGCTATAGGCCGAGTATACGTTCTGTCTTTTATCTGTATCTCCCCTGTTCTGACACGGCCATCGGCTCCTTGGTAGACTTTCAGAATTCTTCCAATCTGCCATAGGGGCCGAGGTAGTTGGGGGTCAACCAACATGGCTACAGTGCCAGGCTCGATGTCAGGTGATGGTCTTTGCCACTTTCCTCTCGTCTGCATTGCCGGTAGATAGTGCCTTATAAATGCAGACCAGAATCTGTCAGCTAATACCTGGGAGTGTCTCCATCTCCGCTTTGTGAGGAGTTCAGACTCCGGATACACCACCTGGGGCAAGGAACCGTCTGGCCGCCCCATCAGCAGGCAATTTGGAGTGACCGGGTCCAGATCAGCCAGATCTGCCGAAACATATCCTAAAGGCTTAGAATTTAGGATGGCTTTAATTTTAATCAAAACTGTCTGAAGCACTTCTTCGGACACCGTTTCTGAACCTAGGGTTGCACGAAGGGCAGCCTTTACAGACCGGATCTCCCTCTCCCACACACCTCCAAAGTGCGGAGAGGCCGGAGGATTGAAGTGGAAACTGATCCTTTGTTTGGCTAACAGCTGTTGTAAGTCTGGACTGAGTTGGTTGAAAGATTCCCAGAGTTCTGTCTCTCCACCTCGGAAGTTGGTGCCCTGGTCGGAGTACAGTTCGGCAGGCTGGCCACGTCGACCAATGAACCTTCTCAGTGCCATCAGAAAGGCATCACTGTTCACTGAGGCCAGCACTTCTATGTGCACCGCACGGGTGGTGAGACACTTGAATAGGAGGCCCCATCTCTTCTCTACCCGGCGTCCCAATGTCACCACCAGTGGCCCAAAACAGTCCATTCCTGCTGAGTAAAATGCCGGCTTAAACAATCTGAGCCTTGGAGGAGGGAGATCAGCCATCTGCTGTGTTGCTGGCTTTGACCTCCACTTACAACAGTCGAGACATGCCCTTTGGTGCTTCCTGATTGCCTCCCTACCTCTCAGAATCCACACTCTCCTGCGGAGCTCAGCAAACACCCGCTCAGGTCCTGGATGGTGAAGTCGAGTGTCATAGTCCTTGATCAGTAGCTGAGTGTTAGGATGATGAGAGTCAAGTACAATAGGGTGCACGGTAGCTGGGTCAAGGGCTTCCACTCTCCTCAGTCGTCCTCCGACTCTGATGAGTTGGTTTTCAGAGTCAAATACAGGAGAGAGACATAGTTACCGACTGTTGGAGCGAACTGGCTTGTTGGATTTTAGCAGCTGTAAATCCTCAGGGAAACTATCTAGCTGCATCTTTCTCAGGGCAACAGTCTCTGCCTCTCTGTAGGTACCTGCTGGTGGAGATTTATCCTGGGCAGCCGCCCCATGCAGCTCCTGTGCAACTGCGTCCACCAAATCTTTCCAGTGGTTGTATTTCCTTTCATTAGTCAACGGCACAGTGTTAGTAATCCCACAGAAGATTCCTCCTTTATGTTCAGCTGCATCTTCAGAGTTCGGAAAGCATGAGGTGGGCTGAGAGGGCCACTCCTCCTGTGGTTGCAGGAGGAACTTCGGACCTTGAAGCCATCTGTTGGGGCCGATAAAGTCTTGCAGTCTCTTGCCCCGAGTCAGGTCATCAGCAGGGTTTCCTTCAGAATTTATGTATCGCCATTCTGTCCGGTCGGTCAACTCCTGAATCTCCGCTACCCGGGTGCCCACGAAGACTTTGTACCTACAGGACTCAGAAAGGAGCCAGTGGAGGACAATAGTAGAGTTAGTCCAAAAGGTGACCTTGTCCCATTTCAGAGTGAGCTCAGTTATGAGCAACTTCGCCAACTGTGCACCTACCAAGGTGGCGCAGAGCTCGAGCCTCGGTATTGACTGTCGCTTTCGTGGGGCCACTTTAGACCGGGCTAGAAGAAAGGCAAGGTGGAGTTCCCCCTGGCGACCTTCCGAACGCAGATAAGCAACAGCCCCATATGCCTTCTCAGAGGCATCACTGAAAACGTGAATCTCCCGGCGTACATCTGATTGATCCATATAGGAGGGGTTATAGCACCTTGGAACTGTCACCTGCGATAGGAATTTAAGCTCCTCTTCCGAGTCTGTCAATGCTTGCCTGAGCTCACCTGGGAGTTGTGGATCATCCCAGTCCCGGTGGTTTAGCCAAAGCTGCTGCATGATCAACTTGGCTCTGGTAGTATAGGGAAGGATGATGCCAAGGGGGTCGTACTGACTTGCCAGCACCCTATAGATGCTCCGCATTGTCATGGCATTGTATGTGACAGGTCGGTGTTTGAACCCAAGATGGTCCAGCTCGCAGTGCCAGCTCAGGCCCAAGGTTGACTCTCGTGGGTCGGCTTTGTCTTGAGAAAGCCACAACTCCAGCTTCGGGGACCTGGCTTCGGGAGGTAGATGACTGACAACTTCTGCTGCATTACTGGCCCACTGCCGGATGTCAAAACCACCAGAGGATAGGAGGGTACGTAACTTATCCACTAACAGTCGTGCTTCTTGAACAGAACTCAAACTTTGGAGACAATTGTCCACGTAGAAGCATCTATCTACAGAGAATCTTACATCCTCATCAGGTGTACTGTGTAGCGCCACGTGTCGCTGAAGAGCGAAGGACGCACAGCAGGGGCTGCACGTAGTCCCAAAGGGAAGTACTTGCCACCCATAAGTATCTGGAGGGTCATCCCGACACAGGTCACGCCATAAAAACCGCAGGAGTGGTCTATCCTCAGGCAGTAGCAGGACCTGATGAAACATCCCGCGGATATCCCCACTTATGGCCACACTCTGCTCCCTAAACCGCAGGAAGACACCCAGAAGAGAAGGGCTCAAGACTGGACCTGGTAGTAAGGAGTTATTAAGATTTAGCCCCTCATACTCGAAAGAACAGTTAAACACTAAGCGGTTCTTATCATTGTGAGTGACCATATGGTGTGGGATATACCACTTCTATCCTGTGGCTTCCTCTCCCTCATTCTGCAGTTTGATGGCAGCACCAGTCAACTCCAGCTTATTTATCTCAGACTTATAAATCTCCGCTTTCTCTGGTGACCGAACAAGCCGACGTTCCATGCCTCTGAGACTAGGCATTACTGCTTCCTTAGGAGCACAGAAGAAGGGGAAGTCCTTCCTGCGCAATAAAGGCGTTGCATAGCGGAGGATGCCGTTAACTTCAACCCGAGTTGTCTTAGTCTCCAAGAGACTGATAGCCTCTTGGTCCTCTTTGGATCGGGTGACCTGCTTCTCACAGCGGTAGGGTAAGACATCAATCTGCCACAGCCTTTCAACATCCTTTTTCAGCTCTAGTTCAGCAGGGGTGAGGGATACAAAGAAGCACTGTGGTGGTGACAGCTGATCCTTCAAGAATCTTGCTGGTCCCTGCAAGGTCCATCCGAGCCTGGTCTGAACAGCTGCAGGTCCCCCAGAGGGGCCCAGACGAACAGGTGATATGGGAGTAATGAGGTGCGTATTATCAGCCCCAATCAGTAATAGTGGGCTTACTCCATCGAAAGACTGCAGTGGAAGGTTCTTCAGATGCTGATACTTCTCCAGGACACTCAGAGGGTAAGAATGGTCCGCTAGACCAAGGCACTCGGCAGTGAAGGCAGCTGAGATTCTAAATATTTTCTGTGGCTGAGTTACTGGAGAAATCTGAAAAGAGACTGCGGCACCATTAACAGTCTGAACATCCTGGCGGATAGTACGCAGGGCTAAACTCTCCATGGGACCATGAATTCCAAGTTTGGTGGCTGCAGGGATAGAAGAATCGTCCTCTCCGAACCATCATCCAGGACAGCATAAGTATCCAGGGTCCTATCTTTGTGACGGAGCAGAACTCTGACAACCTTGAGGAGAACTTTCCTACATCCTGTAGGTTTATCCAGATACAGGGTTTCAGTCGCTGAATTAACCAGACAAGATCCTTCAGTCACTGGTTTGGAGTTCACTTCATGAAGAATTTGCAGGTGTCTGCCTTTACAGATACTACATGGCTTTTTGAGGGTACACTTAGCCGCTGGGTGTGCACGTCCACAGCGCCAACAACGGTGATTCGTCTGGATCCAATCTGTGATCTGCTGTTTGTTGAAGGACTTGAAGGTATCACACTGACTGAGGTAATGGTCATTTTTGTCACAAAACGGACAGAAAGCTTTGGGCTGTGCTTTGGTGGTCCCTGAACTGGCTAATAGAATCAGAGCTGGTCCGATAGGTAATTTGGCAGGGCTCACATCCGATCCATGAAGTACAGTAGCTGAACGTCCAGCAGGGTTTGTCGCTCTCCCCCGGTCCGTCTTCTGCTCTACCCTCTGCCGACGGTCCGAAGTTTGACTCTCACTGCTCTGACACGACGCTTCATACTGTAACCATTCAGAGAAGTCTAGGAGGTTGTACACTGCACCCGGACGACGGAACGTGTCTTCTGAACTCTGACCTCATTTCAGGAGGTAGTTTGCTTAGCAGCCTGTCCACATGCGAACCACATCTTAATTCCGACTGACCTTCATGGCCCAAAGTCTCCAGCGTACCGACAAGGGATCTGATTTGCAGGGCGAACTTGTCAAAGGCTGCTGTATCACCTCGTCGTATATCAGGAGCATCCATCACCTTAGCTATCCTTCTGAGGGCTAACTTGTAAGGTTGTCCGAACCTCTCAGTCAGAGCTGCCATAGTATCGCTATACGGGAAATGTGAGTTGAGATAGGAGTCAGCCACCAGGCGGGCTTCATCTAATCTCAAATGATCCATCAATATCTGATAGCGGAAGAGCTCAGTCACATCATGAGGTAAAAGGTTTTCCAGAGCAAGCTTTAGTCTAGTGAACTCACTAGGATCTCCCGTGATGAAGTCTGGAATCGTCGGTGTAGGCCCACGGTAGGTCTTCTCTCTCTCATCTGGATGCAAAGTGGAAGCTCTGGGCGTAGGTGTCACACACCTAGGTCTCCTTGGCTTATACCTTTCATGAGGTTGAGGCAGGTAAGCAGCCCTAACAGGCTCAAACCTCTGTTCTGGATACCAACTTGGATCATGGGCGTAGGTATCGTACTCATTGAGTGGTGGAGGTAATCTGCGAGAAGTAGGTGGGACAGCTTCATCTGGATAGCTGGCAGGAGGGAAGTCATAATAATTAGGGGGCTTAACTGACTGTGTGACTTCTTGTTTGGCAGGCAATCCAGTTTGTATATGATCTCTCATTACTTGATGCTCACTAAGCATCTTACCCAAGAAATTTACCATCACATGTTCCCTTAATGGCTCCTCAGCATTCCTCTCTGGGTGGTTAGACAGAAAAGAACCATCTCTATAGTCCACAGTCTGCTTCGGGGTTGAGAATGAGCTGTAATCCCCTTTAAGGGCAGACGAATCTAAATTCACCGGTGCAGCAACTGTGCTGGCCAACCGCATTGACTGCCGGTTGGTAGATGAGTGGGGAAGTGGTGTTGGAAGAGACTCAGAGCGCAACATGGGTTGTGAAGGCCTGCATGCTGAGTCACAGACAGTTTGTGAAGATAATTGAACCTCAGTCTCTTCCCAAGGCCGATGATATGGTGAAAACTGAGGTTGAGTAAAGGGCATGGGAGCTCTCACCTGATGTCTTTCATAGGAATGCTCTCTGTTATAAGCAGTCGGCGACCATTCGTCCACCACGTTCCAGGAATACTGACTCACGGGACTAGAGGCTCTGTCAGAGGGGGAGGGAGAAATCCTGGCAGCATCTGATGGATTTCCTCTCTGTGGCTCCTCTGCAGCATAAGACATCATTGGCTGTCTGATCGGTCTACGTCGTGCAGCTGTGAGATCGTAGTCCTCGAGATAGGCAGGAGTGCGAACATGGCGTTGAGGTCTGCCACCATCTGCATATACCCCTTCTGGTTCCATATCAGAGCTGATAGATCCCACTTTATCCAAGAGCAATGGCCGGAATCCGGCTCTAGACCAATTTGTTAAGTAGTTAAACTAGGATTGCGTTCTAAGGTGGTTCTAATGTCTCTAGCCTTCCTCTTGGTGTGTCGATCAAAACACAGGAATGGATCAGGACAGTCTGATTCAATCAAAGGGGTTTATTGTACACTGAGAATGCATTGGTAATCAGTAAGAGACGCACACTATAGCACACAAAATAAGGGTTAATTCTCCCGGTCCCGTGCAAGTCTCTCTCACTCGTGCTTCATTCGGCTGCGTCAGGGCGATGATTGACAGGTGCACTAAGCCCCGCCTTTCCAACAGGTGGGTTTAGTAAGGGAAAGGGCAACAGTGTAATTACATTAATTAATTACAGCTGTAATTACATGCAGGTATTTTCAAAATATAAGTACAATGTAAAAACATGCATGTACACAATAAATCCATTAAATCAAATTATTAATTTCAATGCAAATACATAAAGCCACTAAATCACTAAATATTCTCTAAATCATACAGTAATATCCATAATGCATGTTAATTTACCTTTAAAATCTCTCCTCGGTAATAAACACTGCAGTTTAGAGCATTTTAGTAGTGTTTTATTTGATTTTAGCTTGTATCACAGTATTCAGTCACTAATAACATACATTTACATTAGTAAAACATGGAATGTTTTGGAATACAATTCAATTACAATTTTACAAGCATTAAGGCACACTAGATTTTGAATAAAAGGGTCAGTTAAAAAAAGAACATTATGCAACAATGACAACAATTTGCTTTTCAAATTGAAGAGAATTTGAGTTTTTGTTATATTCCATTCATCCGCTACAACTTGTTGCAATAAATCCCGTTAGTGTCACTTCAGTCTAAATGCGCTATAATCAAGAAACCCTTTTGAATCCAAGTTGCAACAAAAAAAAAGGCCTTTAAGCTACTGGTGATTCTTAAGGAACTCTTCCATATGGGCAGCAAGAGCCTTCACATCTTCAACAGTCACCGCATTGTACAAGGAAGCTCGGATGCCACCAACAGACCTGAGAACAGTGAAAGAGGCGTGAGACAGGACATGAGAAACACACGCCGCCTCCTAATTCACTAATACTACGCCCTAAAAGTATGTACTCAGGCACGTGCACAGGTAGGGCTCAACCTGTGCAGAGCACATGCCCTTTTTGCCGAAGTGCCCTTTTTTTGGTGGTGGTGTTTTTTTTTTTTTTTTTTTTTTATAAATGAATGCTATTGGTCACCCTTTAAGTCTATCTGTCTGTTTTAAAAATATTTAGCCAATGAAAGATCTTAAAAAGAGCTTGTGTAAATCTTGTTCGATCTTAAACTGTCAGTAAAGCTGATAACTCCGCCCCCTCTATCGTGACTGAATGAACTGAAGCTCCGCAGCGGCCGCACAGCAGACAGCAGTTGACCGAAGTTTTGCAAGGGTAAACAAAGATCTTGTTGTTTAAATAAGTACTAAACACGTTGTCTATAAAAGCGCATATTTTATTTATTTGATGTCTGATTAAGATATGTGGGACCAGAGAGAGAGGGCTATGCTAGCATTTGCCATAGGCATAGCCAAATAGCCTACACTTAAATAGCCTGTGCATACAGCAGCATTTCATTTTTTATAAAATGCGATTTTGACCAAATGTATTTAACAACAGGAAAAACTGAGCGCCTATATAGCTATAACAATCTAGTTGGTATGTAAGCTGTTGATGAAAATGTAATGATGCCGCCGGCGCCGTTTCCATCGGAAAATCATAAGCACATGCGCGCCCCCGCGCTGTTCGTACTGGAACTACACAAAGCAACGAGTGATCCTCGTCACCTAGGTAACATATATTTCTAAGAAATGTGTTCTTTGATTTATGATTGCTGATACACTTAATTTATTAACATTTAATCATTTAACATTTAATGTTATGGTAATAATATTAAATTATGGTTAATTCAAGTCTGTTAATATGCACATATTCGCTATCTAATTTTTGAATCTACAGTATTCTATACCTACCCTCCGGTCGTCCTCACATGTATAAATGTAGTAAAACATGGTTTTAGTACAACTTAGTTTTAGTTTTTAGTACTTTAGTAGTAACTAAAAAAAACATTACAGAAGATCAATGTGAAATCTTTATATTTTATCATGCAGAATCTAATTCATGATTTAATTCATTCGAAGGCTTAATGTATTTGATCCAAAATAAGCAAAAACAGTAATATTGTGAAATATTTTTACAATTTAAAATAACTGTTTTCTATTTGAATATATTTTAAAATGTAATTTATTTCTGTGGTCAAAGCTGAATTTTCAGCATCTTTAGTTCAGTACTCTGCAGTGTCACATGATCCTTCAGAAATGCTTTTCACTGCAACTGTACTTTTCACACTATTTTATAATTTTTTTCATTGCTGGCTTATTTTATGGGAAGTGTAGTGAATAAAAGACCTTCAAGAGACCAACATTGGTCCTCCACAGCATCAGGTTTTTGCCATCAACTGCAACTGTGGAGAGATCCTTTTCCAAAATGAGGTTAATTAAGAACCAACTCCCAAGCCTCTGCTCAGAGGAGAGACTAGACCTTCTCCCCATAGCCATAGAGAGGGACATCCCAGTGGATCACAGTGAAGTCATAAACATCTCCAAGCATGGCTCACAGAAGGTTGCTGTTGTAATTAGGTTTAAAGAAGCCCTGAAACCCTGTATATCTATATTATTATTATTATTATTATTACGGTTATTAATAGTGAATAAATCTAAAGCTTTTGAGACTATTTTTTTTTTATTGAATTTGTCATGAAGATGAGACCATTTCCTCCTTTAATGTAGGCTTACTAAATAATCTTGATATAAAAAAAAGGGAGGGGGGTGCCCTTTTTTAGTTTCAGCACATGCCCCTCAAAAGGTCTGTGCACGGCCCTGTGTGTACTGTTTTTGTGAAGGAAAAGCAGAGGTGGACAAAGTGCACGACTTCCTTACTTGAGTGAAAGTACAGATACTACTGGTCAAATATTACTCCAAGTAAACGTTGTAAAGAGTAGGGGTGTAACAATATATCGCAATACAAAAATGCAACAATACGTATCGTGGATAGTGACAATCTGTATTGTGTATAGTTCCCCCAATATAAAAATTACTGTGTGAGAAAAAAAGTTTTCAGAGTTTTAGTGTCAGTACTACATTAAACTACTATATATAATGTTGATTATAATGTATAATAATGCAATGGGGGAATATTTGTGGGTCCTGATAATGCCAAATGACGGATGTAACCTGACCAGTAAAAAGTGTCCGACATTATTTTAAATATATCTAGTCAGTGAAAGAGTGCAAGCATATTCGTCTAAAATAATTCTGTATTTTCAGCTTCAGAATCATGAATATTTTTATTCTGGTGTCACCATTGTCCTTGGGTTACAAGCACCAAGTCCAAGCCTATTCATTTAAACCCACAATGTAATATCAAATTTAGCATTTTAAATCAACAGTTCATTTTTTGTTAACCTTTTACCATATGTCTTGGAGTATCGCAATTATATCGTATCGTGAGTATGTATTGAATCGTGACATGAGGATATCGTTACACCCCTAGAAAAGACCGATTTTTACTTAAGTAGAAGTACAGAAGTACTCGTTTTTAATATGAAAAGTAAAAAAGTAATTGTCAATGCATTGTTTTATTTTTGTATGTAATACTTACAGTACCTTATGCCTCAGAGGCAACCTAGTGAATACACCTACCAGTTAGTAGTATGTGTGGAATTAACAGCTTTTAGAATGTTATACAACCTATAGAAATGAAACAACTGAATTGACCAAAAAAAAAAAAAGACAGCAAAAAACTTATTTAAAAAAAAATTTATTTAACACTCCTACCACCTTTTTTTATTAAAAATAAGTGGTTATGTTGGAGCGCTGTGTCATATTGTGCAAAAGGCAACCTGTGTTCGAGTCTCAGCTGGAGGTTCAGGCTTATTCGTTCATTTATGACTTAATCAGCGACTAGTATATATATATTTATGACTTAAAGGGATAGTTCACCCAAAAATGAAAATTCTGTCAGTAATTACTCTCCCTCATGTTGTTCCAACCCCGTAAGACTTTCGTTCATCTTCGGAACACAAATTAAGATATTTTTGATTAAATCTGAGAGCTGGATCACTCCTCCATAGGCTTCTAAGGGATCGAACCTTTATGAAAGACATCGTTAAAATAGTCCGAGTGACTACAGCGGCTCAATCTTAAGTTTATCAAGCGACGAGAATACTTTTTGTGCGCAAAAAAACAAACAAAAATATCGACTTTATTCAACTATTCATTTCCTTCTCTGTGGGCCTCGAGTGAGTTCACGCAGTGTAACAGCGCAGCGCTTCTGTGTTGTACGTCACACGGAGGCTCACTATTGGCCGACGCTGGTCATGTGTGTGTGTGATGCGTGTGACGTACAACAGAAGCGCTGCGCTGTTACACTACGTGAACTCACTCGAGGCCCACAGAGAAGGAAATGAATAGTTGAATAAAGTCGATATTTTTGTTTGTTTTTTTGCGCACAAAAAGTATTCTCGTCGCTTGATAAACTTAAGATTGAGCCACTGTAGTCACTCGGACTATTTTAATGATGTCTTTCATAAAGGTTCGATCCCTTAGAAGCCTATGGAGGAGTGATCCAGCTCTCAGATTTAATCAAAAATATCTTAATTTGTGTTCTGAAGATGAACGAAAGTCTTACGGGGTTGGAACAACATGAGGGCGAGTAATTACTGACAGAATTTTCATTTTTGGTTGAACTATCCCTTTAATAAGCGACTAGTCAATATTACTCCTCCATAAAAACAAAAGAAAATGTTTGTTGATAAACTAGTGTGCAATTACTGTAAGATTGCATGAATTAGAAAAACAATACGTTATATTTTCCTAATTTTCACCTGTGTCCTTTAAGTGAGATCATGCCAAGTTTAGAGGCACCATCCAGGAACGACTTCTCAAGACTTTCATCTCCTTCCTTCTTTCCGATACGGAAGGGAACGTTCATGCGGCTTCGACACGCCATGTCCACAGGGCATCTGAGAAGTGGGAAAAGGGGCATGAAGTCATTTTGACAACAACAAATGTCTGAACAGAGAGACCACAATGAGGACACCAAAAAAAAAAAAAATGTCTTCCTCAGAATTTGTGTCTTGTTTTCCAGCACAAATATCTAAATATTCTTAAATCGAGATTTACTTGGGAAGAAAATGTCTTGTTTTCTGACAAATGTGTCGAAATAAAGTGACTTTATGCTTAGCCTGCACAGTGGTAACAAGGCATGATGGATCCATGTTCTAATTCTGTTTACGCCAAATTCTGACTCTAACATCTGAATGTCTCAACAAGAAATCGAGACTCATCAGACCAGGCAACATTTTTCCAGTCTTCAACTGTCCAATTTTGGTGAGCTCTTGCAAATTGTAGCCTCTTTTTCCTATTTGTAGTGGAGATGAGTGGTGCCCGGTGGGGTCTTCTGCTGTTGTAGCCCATCCGCCTCAAGGTTGTGCGTGTTGTGGCTTCACAAATGCTTTGCTGCATACCTCGGATGTAACGAGTGGTTATTTCAGTCAAAGTTGCTCTTCAATCAGCTTGAATCAGTCGGTCCATTCTCCTCTGACCTCTAGCATCAACAAGGCATTTTCGCCCACAGGACTGCCGCATACTGGATGTTTTTCCCTTTTCACACCATTCTTTGTAAACCCTAGAAATAGTTGTGCGTGAAAATCCCAGTAACTGAGCAGATTGTGAAATACTCAGACCGGCCCGTCTGGCACCAACAACCATGCCACGCTCAAAATTGCTTAAATCACCTTTCTTTCCCATTCTGACATTCAGTTTGGAGTTCAGGAGATTGTCTTGACCAGGACCACACCCCTAAATGCATTGAAGCAACTGCCATGCGATTGGTTGATTAGATAATTGCATTAATGAGAAATTGAACAGGTGTTCCTAATAATCCTTTAGGTGAGTGTATATATATATTAGAGAATGGGCCAACTGATTCAAGCTGATAGAAGGGCAACAGTGACTGAAATAACCACTCGTTACAACCGAGGTATGCAGCAAAGCATTTGTGAAGCCACAACACGCACAACCTTGAGGCGGATGGGCTACAACAGCAGAAGACCCCACCGGGTACCACTCATCTCCACTACAAATAGGAAAAAGAGGCTACAATTTGCAAGAGCTCACCAAAATTGGACAGTTGAAGACTGGAAAAATGTTGCCTGGTCTGATGAGTCTCGATTTCTGTTGAGACATTCAGATGTTAGAGTCAGAATTTGGCGTAAACAGAATGAGAACATGGATCCATCATGCCTTGTTACCACTGTGCAGGCTGGTGGTGGTGGTGTAATGGTGTGGGGGATGTTTTCTTGGCACACTTTAGGCCCCTTAGTGCCAATTGGGCATCGTTTAAATGCCACGGCCTACCTGAGCATTGTTTCTGACCATGTCCATCCCTTTATGGCCCCCTGTACCCATCCTCTGATGGCTACTTCCAGCAGGATAATGCACTATGTCACAAAGCTCGAATCATTTCAAATTGGTTTCTTGAACATGACAATGAGTTCACTGTACTAAAATGGCCCCCACAGTCACCAGATCTCAACCCAATAGAGCATCTTTGGGATGTGGTGGAATGGGAGCTTCGTGCCCTGGATGTGCATCCCACAAATCTCCATCAACTGAAAGATGCTATCCTATCAATATGGGCCAACATTTCTAAAGAATGCTTTCAGCACCTTGTTGAATCAATGCCACGTAGAATTAAGGCAGTTCTGAAGGCGAAAGGCGGTCAAACACAGTATTAGTATGGTGTTCCTAATAATCCTTTAGGTGAGTGTACAAGACTTATATATACTTAGATATACACTCACCGCCCACTTTATTAGGTACCCCATGCTAGTAACGGGTTGGTCCCCTTTTGCCTTCAGAACTGCCTCAATTCTTCGTGGCATAGATTCAACAAGGTGCTGGAAGCATTCCTCAGGGAGTTTGGTCCATATTGACATGATGGCATCACACAGTTGCCGCAGATTTGTCGGCTGCACATCCATGATGCGAATCTCCCGTTCCACCACATCCCAAAGATGCTCAATTGGGTTGAGATCTGGTGACTGTGGAGGCCATTTTAGTACAGTGAACTCATTGTCATGTTCAAGAAACCAATTTTAAATGATTAGAGCTTTGTGACATGGTGGAAGTAGCCATCAGAGGATGGGTACATGGTGGCCATAAAGGGATGGACATGGTCAGAAACAATGCTCAGGTAGGCCGTGGCATTTAAAGGATGCCCAATTGGCACTAAGGGGCCTAAAGTGTGCCAGGAAAACATCCCCCACACCATTACACCACCACCACCAGCCTGCACAGTGGTAACAAGGCATGATGGTTCCATGTTCTCATTCTGTTTACGCCAAATTCTGACTCTAACATCTGAATGTCTCAACAGAAATCGAGACTCATCAGACCAGGCAACATTTTTCCAGTCTTCAACTGTTCAATTTTGGTGAGCTCTTGCAAATTGTAGCCTCTTTTTCCTATTTGTAGTGGAGATGAGTGGTACCCGGTGGAGTCTTCTGCTGTTGTAGCCCATCCGCCTCAAGGTTGTGCGTGTTGTGGCTTCACAAATGCTTTGCTGCAAACCTCGGTTGTAACGAGTGGTTATTTCAGTCACTGTTGCCCTTCTATCAGCTCGAACCAGTCTGGCCATTCTCCTCTGACCTCTGGCATCAACAAGGCATTTCCGCCCACAGAACTGCCGCTCACTGGATGTTTTTTCTTTTTCGGACCATTCTCTGTAAACCCTAGAGATGGTTGTGCGTGAAAATCCCAGTAGATTAGCAGTTTCTGAAATACTCAGACCAGCCCTTCTGGCACCAACAATCATGCCACGTTCAAAGTCACTCAAATCAACTTTCTTCCCCATACTGATGCTCGGTTTGAACTGCAGGAGATTGTCTTGACCATGTCTACATGCCTAAATGCACTGAGTTGCCGCCATGTGATTGGCTGCTTAGAAATTAAGTGTTAACGAGCAGTTGGACAGGTGTACCTAATAAAGTGGGCGGTGAGTGTATATATAAAGTCTTGTTTACTGAAAAGTTCAGTCAATTCAAGTAATTTTGCTTCTCAAGTAAATGTATCTTGATTTAAGAATGTTTGGATATTTGCACTGGAAAATAAGACGACAACAAAAACCTGAGGAACAAAGTATTATAGCATTTTTAAACATAAGCATTTTTATTATATTAACTTAACGATTAACTTTATATAATGGATTAAAATATTAGAAAGTTGACTGTTTCAATATTATGCATTAAGAATCACCTTCTGTACAAGATTACATTTTATATTTGCAAAATTGTCATCTAAAAATGTAAGGATGTGATTGAGTGGAAATCACTGACGAGTAGAATCCATTAGAGTTGATGATGATGTCATAGACGATGGCAGACTTCTGTTTGTTGAGCCGCTCCATTGCATCTGCTCCTCCGTTGGTCCTGATCCACTCCAGAACCAAACCCATGATGTAAATACTGCACACAAACAAGCATGAGCAGGTTATCATTACCGAACGGGTAATCATTAATGGGACTCCTGCTGAAATTTAGAAAAGGAGAGTATTGTATTGTCTTGTAACATTTTATCAAGGATTGTTCCTCATATCCCTGTAAGCTGGGACATGATCTGTGTGGAGGCTCTGCAAACATATCTTGAAATGAGCCACAAGACTGTGGTTAGATGCAAACAAAGCCGTAAATCCTGTAAATGTATCTGACTGGATGCAATTAAAGCTGTTGTACAAAATGTTGGATATTCACTCAATTCTAGCAACTAAATTCTAAATTAATGCACCAAGTTGCTATATTTATTTATTTTATTTTTTGTTATTTTGATTATTCATTTGAGTACAATCATATAGTATATTTCAAGTTACATACAATGCTCAATGCAATCACAAAGTGTCTTTACAAATATAGGTATGTACAATTACCTAATGTGTTTTAAATATAAATTGTACTCCAGGTTAGTTCAATTGTTTCAAAGTATAACTTTTTTTCTCTTTTACAACAGAATATAAAAAAGAAAGAAAGAAATAAGGGCACAAAAAAATTATTATTACATACACATGCAAACATATATTATTAACATACATTATATATTAATCTTCATCTATTTAAGTATAAAGTTGCTATATTTCTTGACAATCATAAATAGCCTAAAGTTAGACTTATGAACTTAGAATAATTGTTCATTATAGTTATTATTACAAAATATACACACGAACAGTCAACATTTTGGAAACATTACAATTTTTAGTAAAACAGTAATATTGTGAAATATTATTACAAATCAAAATAACTGCTTTCTATGTGAATATATTATATAAAAGTAATTTATTCCTGTGACCAAAGCTGAATTTTCAGCATCATTACTCCAGTCTTCAGCGTCACATGATCCTTCAGAAATCACTCTAATATGATGGTTTGCTGCTCAAGAAACATTTCTGATTATTATCAATGAAAACAGGCGTTGCTGCTCAGATATATTTTTTCGAGGACTAACACAATTAAAAAGGTTATTGCTACTTTTTATCTCACAATTCTGACTCTTCGAACTCAGAATTGTGAAATAAAAAGTCACAATTACCTTTTTTATTTTTTATTCTGTGGTGGAAACAAGCTTCCATATCATACACTACCATTCAAAGGTTTGAAGTAATATAAATAAATACAAATAATAATAATACTTATTATTCACTAAGGAAAGACATTTATAACTTTACAAAAGATTTATATTTCAAATAAACGCTGTCCTTTTAAACTTTCTATTCATTAAAGAATCCAGAAAAAAAAAGTACAACAAAAATATGAAGCAGCAAAAAAAAGTTTTCAATACTGATAAAAATAAGAACCATTATAAATAATTGAGCATCAATAATAATTAATAACGACGGAGCATCAAATCAGCATATTAGAATGATTTCTGAAGGATCTTTGATCAAAGGAATAAATTACATTTTAAAATATATTTAAATTATAATAGCATTTCACAATATTAATGTTTTTACTGTATTTTTGATCACATAAATGCAGCCTAGGGTGAGAATAGGAAACTTAAATATCATACTGATCCCGAACTCTCTACATAGTGAAACCATCCCCCAAAAAAGTCAGTCAAAAATCCAATGCTGCTTGTTTGGCAAGTTTTCACTTGACATATGCATTAGTAATTCATGAAGACTACAGATACACAACATGTAGAACAAAGAAAAGACACACCTGAAGCATGAAGGAGTGTTGTAGACAGAGTTGTTGCCAGCCTGCACCTGATAGTCCAGTATAATCGGGCACTCGTTCAAAGCCTTTCCCATCAAATCCTCTCTGACAATGACAACAGTCACACCCGCACAACCAACATTCTTCTGCGCGCCAGCAAATATCAGACCGAACTGTGGAAATGAACAGACACGCACAGCCTTAACTAGCAATTCGCTTTTGATCACTTTTATGATAAAGATGGTGACCTTGGGATACCAAACGTTAGCTGAAGAATCACCACCAATGATTCCAATGTTATTAAAGGGGCAGTCTGTAATATATACATTTATACTTTCAGCGTCCGCGAGTGTGCGAGGGTCCGCGTGGCGTAAAAATCGTCTTGTAATTGTAAGAATCATCACCAATGATTCCAATGATTGCTTGTCACCAGTTAAAGCACACGCAACAGGAACGAGCACAATGGACAATGAAAATAGGCAACGAGCAGTATCACAGACCAAAACACTAACACACATTCCAGCCTGGAAACGCACATTTCAAAGTTAAATAACTGGCTTTAGAAGCATGTTATGAAACTTAGCATGTTTCCTTAATATATGCAAACATATTATGGTATTTTTATGCTTTAGTAGAGTGAAAACGTTACATACAGCACCTTTAAAATACCTAAGCCATGAACTACAGATAATACTGCCACTTTTATGATAAAGATGGTGAACTTAGGATACCAAACGTTAGCTGAAGAATCATCACCAATGATTCCAATGTTATTAAAGGGGCAGTCTGTAAAGCTAGTGTCCGCATGCCTCCCATTTTTTTATGACCTAGGTTAAAAACGCGAAAGCGCTGGAAAAAGCCGATCTACTGCGCATGCCTGGAACGCGTTCACCGAGCGGACCTCAGCAGACAGTATAAATACAAGTAGTTCGCGTCCGTGCTGTACGCAGCTGTCCATGTACACGTTCAAACTGGAGGATAACCGAGCCGTAAGAATGACAACTAGTGGTCGGAATAGGTACTGCAGTCCAATTCAAAATATCGGAGATCGTGGTTTCTCCCGCCTCCTCAGACTCGACGCTCACACGGGTCCCCAGTTTGAGACACGCAACAGGAACGAGCGCAATGGACAATGAAAATAGACAAATAGGCAACGAGTATCACAGAGCAAAACAATAACACACATTCCAGCCTGAAAACGCACATTTCAAAGTTAAATAATTGGCTGTAGAAGCGTATATGAACTTAGTATGTTTCCTCAATATATGCACACATATTATGGTATTTGTATGCTTTAGTAGAGTGAAAACGTTACATATAGCACCTTTAAAATACCTAAGGCATGAAAGAATAGGCTTTTTATATTTTTCTAAAAACAATTTACTCGAGTGCCTTGGATTGTTTTTTTCTGAGAATCATCACCAACCTTTGACACATCCACCGGCCTGGAGAGGAAGTTGGATGACATGTCACTAACGAGAACCACTCCTTTGGTGTCGGGGATGAAGTTAAACTCCACGCCGTGCACCGTCTCGTTGCAGCAATAATAGACGTACGACGCCGAAGGATTCAGTGACCAGGTGCTACTGTCTGGGATTTCTGAGGAAAAAAAAAAATTGTTTCATCACTAAAAGTCATGCGAGGAGTGTAAAGTCTGCAGCCCCTCGTGAAAAAGAAGAGTGCTTAAATGTATTGCATGTGCACTTGTAGTGTGCATATTTCTTTTTAAAACATTTCTTGAAGATAATATATTAATAAATTAAAAGGCCACTTAAGTGTACTTAAAAAGAGAGTACACGCAAATCTTTTTAAAAAGTGCACTTTGTAATAATGTAAAGTTACAAATTTACAAATTTTGTGTTCATCAGACCCCAGGACTTTTGTCACACTTGAACCACGAATACACAAAAAATAATTGAATGGAATCGAAGGAGTTTTGTGGATGAAATTGAAAAAAGTAACAAATCCTTCCCTCGCGGGTCAATTTGACCCCTATAGGAATGAGTGCAATACGAAGAATGCTTCAGTTCACATAGAAAACCCTAAAAATGAGCAAAATTCAACCTAAAAATGCTAAAACTTGTGTATGTGTATAATGCATACTGAAGAGAAAAATGACTTTAGGACCCAGCGGAACTGCTCATTTGCTCCATATATAGCTATAAGGCCACCTAGTGGCAAGAGTAATGAAATATCATGTTATATATTAAAAAAAATTCCCACAAGAGGTCGGCAAAGACTCACAATGTAAGATATTTTGAGCTGAATTAAAAGGGTTATGCATGAAATTGTGAGTTATTTTGAATTTAAGTTGAAAGAATATGAGGAATGTGCTTAAATTATTATTTATTTATAATTTATTGATCAAATCTAGTAATTTAAAGGTAAATTAAATAAAAAATAACAAAAAAAAAAAGTTCATTTTGACCTGCGAGGGAAGGATTTGTTACAAAGTGCGAGGGTCGACATTATTTTGATGCATCGACTAACATACTAAAGTACTGGATTGTAGTTTTAAATGTAGTGTTTTATTCAATATTACACTTAAAATTTATATTTTAAAGTGCAACTACATTATTACAAATGTGTGGTTACAGATACATTTAAATGCAGTAGAAATTACATTATATATAAGTATATTTTAGTTTACATAATTGCTTGTCAGGACATTCAGCAGACCATATTTCAGAGACAACAGAAGTAATTATGAAATTATATGTAAAGATGTATTTAAAGTCTATGGAAGTGGGTAAAAAAAAACCCAGATAAATGCATTTTATATCAATTTAAACTAATACATTTTCATTTAATTGCAATTAATATGCAGTCAAGTGTTTTAATAATGTTATCTAAGTGCAGTCATAATGTTTTAATGCTTTTGGAAAGAGCATGACATAAGCAGGATAGCTTGAACAAAACAGACACAAAAACCAATTAAAACCAGTTTGCTAAACTCTGATTACTCACTGGTGTAACTATCCAGTTTTGGATGGATCACGTTCACTTTCCCATACTTCTCTGCCTCCTTGGCCGCCTTCGCAGACCACGTCCCCGTGACCAGGTAATCTGCACACCTGTCCTCTTTCAGACCAATCAGATTCAGAGGAACGCCACTGAACTGTCCCGAGCCTCCACCTTGCAGGAACAGTATCTTATAGTTGTCAGGTACGTTCCTATTCAGCGTGATCACAAAATGTACATTTGTTATGGAATATGAATGAACAAAGACATTCATCTCCAACTGAGGGATAGTTTCATGAAAGGTAAACACTCACAGAAGCTCACGGAGAAGGTTTTCAGCATTATTTAAGATCTTGGTGAAATCGGACGACCTGTGGCTCATTTCTGGATAAGATATAAAGAGACATAAACACCTGCACTGCACATGTAAGCTAAGCATATATATTTATAATGCAGATCATTACCAAGAATGCTTATCCCGGTGCCACTGTAATCCAGCAGCTCCTTCTGTGCTTGGATTAAAACCTAGGAATGAAAAATAACCTTAATATTTTTTTATAAAAATAAAACTACCATAAATAGAAGGTCTTTAGAATTGACTTTTGAATTAAAGTCTTTGTTTGTGACCAAATAGCCAGATAAAAGGATGGACATGTTGGACACCAATTATGAAACCAATGTGAAACAACCCATGCAATCAGTAAAAGCTATAATGCTACTTATCAGATTGTGCTAGCAACACTATATTTGCATTGTTTTAAGGGTAGGTTAAGGGTTAAGAGTTTAGGGTAGGTAGGTTAATAAAATCAAGCCTCAAACCACATCACACCACATGCATATTGTGCTGGTAGCGCACAATCTGCTCGATTTCAGGGTTTTTCAGAGTCAACTCCGATTTACGACTCCCAGAATCGACTCCATTTGCTCCATTTACTTCAAGTCGAACTCGAAACAGGGTCGGCAATAAGAATACAAGATTGCCGTCATTATTACACACTGATGTAGGTTGTTCTTTTTTTTCCCCCGACACAAAGCCTTTATTAAAACAACACACTTTTAGCGTGACTGGCATTACCTTGAAATTATGAGCCATCGTTTTCTTTAGACAGAAAATATTTTGAAGAATGTCAGTTACCAAAAAGTTGATGGACTCCATTGACTTGCATAGTATGGAAAAAAAATGGTGGCCATCAACTGTTTGGTTACCCATTTTCTTCAAAATATCTTCTTTTGTGCTCAGCAGAAGAAAGAAATTAATTTGGAACAACTTGAGGGTGAGCAAATGATGACAGATTTTTCGCTTTAAGAGTCGAAGAATCGAGTCTTTTGGAGTCGACTCCCCATCACTAGGGTGCATTCCTCATTGTCGAGTGGGTGGGGGTGCGGTTAGCATTAGGCAATCAGTTAACGGCCTCAAACTGAGTAATAATGTGGCAGGGACTCAAAACTGGGCACACCGACACTGGAGAGTCAATTAAACCTGAATTTCTGGAGTAAACAACCACTTCATTCACAGTTAGAGAGGTGGGTTACTTATCTAAACTACTGATTAGAAACAAAGGATTAATTCAATCTACAAACATATTCAGAGACACACAGAATAACCTGTTTTACATTTTTTCATAACAAATCAAGACATGTCACGAGTCTTTACCACGTCCTTACAATACTTTATTTTGGCATGTATATGATCTCTGAATCGAGAGTTTGAATGTATAAAGTAAATACTAATTAATTGTTAGCATGTCTAGTGAGTTGAAGAGACTTGGCAGAAGTTGGCACTCTTCAGTCCACAGACGACTATGAATGCCAAGTTGTGGCTGATGCAACATTGCACACACATACATGCATCTCATTCTCTAGACCAGCAAAACTGCCAACAGCATTGTTTTAATGCTTACAGTGCATCCCAAGCCTGCATCCCAAATGATGCACAACGATTTGCACACTGACGAGCTTCTGCTTGCGCACTACAGTCTCATAAAACAGTTTTGCATGCACACCACATTATTATAAAAGTGTGCATGCACACTAGTGTTTTGATACTCAGATGATGTAATCATACAGCGTACTTATATGATGTCACGCAGCACTGCTTACTTTACAAACGCGATGACGCGTAACAAAACTTTAATCAAAAATATATACATAAAGAATAAATAAACATTCCTAAATTACCAATGCACTTAACTTACCGACTGTGGAAGTTTAGCCGGTCCCGCTCCAAAATTGATGGTCTGTTTCTTCTCCATGTTTTAAATAAAACTGCGTAGGATGGCCGTGGTGGGATGTATTAAATCGTTCTGAAACACCGCAACTTGACCTACTTCTCTGTTAGTGATTTCGACAGCCACTATTATTCTCTTTACACATGATTACCCCTAATGTGCAAGTTTCCTGCTTGTTTTCATTGGCTCGCGGTTTCCGGAATGTCTGCTTGCGGCTGTTTGATTGGATACTGCGGTTATGACGTTGCTGTGATTGACCCGTCCCGTACATTTGAGTGCATTAAATATTCATGAGCTTCAGTAAGTTACCTCTTTGTTTCTTTTCTTTTTTTTTAAATGCTTGAAGAAATAAATTAAAAACATAAAAAACATTAACAACAATTATCGTCATTGTCATAACATAATACAACAATACTCCAGAGTCTTTCAGTCTTTCAGTCCAGTGTCAAGTCCAGATTCTAAATACATTTTTATTTCAAGTTTAATTTACCTAACAGAAAAATAAGGTTTATAAAATAAATATAACTTTTCTTTTCACGTTCATGAAAACCAAAGATTACATTTCTATAAGTAAATTCAAAGTTAGGATTTACATAACATTTGATAAAATCACAGCAGTTCCAAAATAAATGTAAAGTAGTTTCAGGTTTCTCTAAACAGAAAGAACAGAGGGTATTAATATCATGTTTAAGTCTTTTAGAGAGAGCTCTGGGTAAAACCTATGAATTAACTTAAAGGTAATTTCTCTAATTTTGTTAGTTATCAGGTATTTGTGAGGTAATGTCCAAACTTTTTTCCAGGGAATGTCACTTACAAAACCATTCCAGTAAGAAATTACTTATAGAAACAGACTCCTCCTGAAACAAGACTTAAATCTTTTTATTGTTTTTTTATTTTATTATTTAGATTAAGAAAGGCAATGTTTATAAATGTCTTACACAGATCAACTGAGTGACAAAGAGATGACAAAAAAAATCATTTAAAAGCATTGGCACGGCATCATCCACAATTGCAAACTCTTTTGGAGTAACAAATCCATGCTTTATAAGAACTCAGAATAATTAAATGAACCATTTTGATTGAAAAATTGAGATACAAAAATATATATTTTTTTAACTATCAAAGAAAATAAGGACCTTAATGACCTACTGTATAAACATAAATCTCTTTTCTTTGATAGTATTACTCCAAATTATATAAGAGTGAGGTGTAATATTGTGCTAATAAGCTAATAACATTGAAAAAGGGATAATTTGATAGGGATTTTAATTATGTTATAATGACAGGTTAATAAGAATTTTAATCCCCATATATAGTTTGGAAAAAATAACATTATAGGGATCAGATTCCAGATAGATGCGGGCTTATTAATAAAGTTCTTTATCCAATTTATTTTAAAAGTGTTGTTTAAAGTGGTAAAATCAAGAAAGTTTAATCCCCCCTTCTCAATGGTGTTCATATAATGGAACCTTTAAATATAACTAAATTAAATCCAGCAAGATCACTCAGATCATGATCCAATGGTAACTTTGTGCCAAAAACACGGCTAAAAAGTCGCAAGTCAGCCTTATCTTAAAGTGATGAGACTTTCGTTCATCTTCAGAACACAAATGAAGATCTTTTTAATGAAACCTGAGAGATTTCTGTCCCTCCATTGACAGCTACAACTACCACTTTCAATCCCGAAAGATATAAGACACCATTAAAGAAAGACAGCGGATATTTGCACGAAGTGTAAATAATAGCAAATATTATATTTAGACTATTATAAATGAAAATAGCATATTTTCTTAGCGATAGCTGCTATTTACACTTAGCTTAAATAGCGATAGATTCTATTTAAACTATATGTAAAAATGGCATTTTCTTTGCAATAGGCTAAGTGTATAGTTAGATGCGTATTTATACTTATAAATAGTGGCAGATACTATTTGCACCTCAGTGTTGTTGTAGCCTACATATGCAATAATAACATAGTGTAAATTATTTTATTTATTACAATTATTAAATGGATAGGCCTACCATCTTATTAAATACAATAAAGCCCTCCCACCCCAACCCTAACCGATAAACACTTTATTATTAACACACGTTAGACACTTTAGTTCAATTTTACAAATATTTTCTTCATTTATATTGAAAACAAATGCCTTAGCCTATAATGTGTATGGGAAAGGCATTTATTTGTATTATTTATACTTTTTTAATGATTTTTTATTACCTCAATTTTATGAAGAGACGCGATCTGCTTTGTTTGTGCAAAAACAACAACAACAACATAATTTACCACTTTATTTCGAAAAGATTCATCTCCAACGCGAGAGCTTCACGACGCATGCGTGTTGTGTGTTGACGTGAGAGGAGACGTTCGTTGTCGCGTGAAGGCTTGTCAGAGATTAACACTTTGTAAATAAAGTGGTAAATTATGGGCTTTTTTGCGCAAACAAAGCACCAGTGGTGGAGGAAGTACTGAATCTCAGTACTTAAGTAAAAGTACAAATAACCAGAGACATATTTACTTTAGTAAAAGTAGAAGTACCACAATGACAACCCTACTTAAGTAAAAAGTAAAAAGTACCTGATTTTAAATGTACTTTAAGTATTAAAAGTAAAAGTACTTGCATAACAATTTATTCTCTTATGTCTATATTCTAATGATTAATAAAACAGTTAATTCTAACTCACTCAACCTAATACTCATATAATGATGTTCAATATGATGGAAAAGCAGTTATATTTTAAGTTGTCACCATTTCTGAACAAGCTTGCAATTAGGCAATATACACATCAAGCTTACTATATACCCTTACTATATACGGTGTGTATATATATATATATATATATATATATATATATTTATATATATATATATATATATATATATATATATATATATATATATATATATATATATATATATATATATATATATATATATATATATATATAAACACACATATTATGTTAAAACGCCGTATATGCGTTTGGCTGTAAACGCGATTCATTTATGGCCTAATTCTGAACCTCTTGGTTTGCCATACTAATCCTAACCAAACGTATAATACACACGCACCCCACATCACTACTAAACCTACCAATGCGTTTCCTATGCATGTAAAAACTAATTTTCGCATATAAATTGCACGATAAACACACTGCGTGCTATAGAGACGCATTTAGTGCGACCGGGTTGATATATCTATGGCAACCAAACTTCACTGGTGAGACAGAAACGTGCGATGAACGGACGGTCAGGATGACGTTTTGGCAGGGAAAACTGATCAGAAAATTTAACGAAAATGTAACAGAACGTTGTAGAAATGTAGTAGAGTAGAAAGTATAATAATTGCTGCAAAATGTAACGAAGTAAAAGTAAAAAGTATGCACTATTGATTCTACTTAAGTAAAGTTCAGATACATGAAAAATTTACTTAAGTAAAGTAACGAAGTATTTGTACTTCGTTACATTCCACCACTGCAAAGCACTTGAATCGCTTCATAAAATTGAGGTTAATCCACTGGAGTCACATGGACGTCTTTTAATGGTAGGCCAGGCCTATATCATTACTACTTTTATGGGGCTTGAAAGTGATAGTTGCGTAGCTGTCAATGGAGGGACAGAAAGCCCTCAGATTTTATTAAAAAGATCTTCATTTGTGTTCTGAAGATGAGTGAAAGTCTTACAGGTTTTGGAGGACATGAGGGTGAATAATTAATGACAGAATTTTCATATTTGGGTGAAGATATACTGAAGCCCCGTATAGTGCTCCTGTCCCGAGGTTAAGAACTACTGGCATATATATTCCCCTCTCTCTCTTAATGGGGTTCAATATAGTTTTGGGCCCCATTGCCTATAAATGTATGGACAAACAAAGTTGAAACATTATTCTACATAAGTGTCCGTTGTGGGTTTTGTGTCTTGTTCCATGTTCTTGTCTGTCATGTGATTCCCTGATTGTCATGTGATCCTGCCATGTGTCTTGTCATTTGTTAATCGTCTGATCATTGTTCACAGGTGTTCCTTGTCTTGTAATTAGTCTGTGTATTTAAGCCCTCATGTTTGCCCTGTGTCTTTGTCTAGTATGATGCACGGGGGGTCTGGGGCGGGGGGTCCCTTGAGAGGACCATGGAGGCCACGCCATCCTGGCCACCTGAACCGTCGGATCCGCCCTGGGCCCCTGAACCGTCGAGTCCCACCTGGGCCCCTGAACCGTCGGATCCGCCCTGGGCCCCTGAACCGTCGAGTCCCACCTGGGCCCCTGAACCGTCGGATCCGCCCTGGGCCCCTGAACCGTCGGATCCTCCCTGGGCTCCTGAACCGTCGAGTCCCACCTGGGCCCCTGAACCGTCGGATCCGGCCTGGGCCCCTGAACCGTTGGATCCGCCCTGGGCCCCTGAACCGTCGGATCCGCCCTGGTCGCCTGCACACCCTGCTCCGCCCTGGGCCCCTGAACCGTTGGGTCTGCCCTGGGCCCCTGAACCGCTGGATCCGCCCTGGTCGCCGGCACACCCTGCTCCGCCCTGGGCCCCTGAACCGTCGGGTCCGCCCTGGGCCCTTGAACCTTCGGGTCCGCCCTGGGCCCCTGAACCGCTGAATCCGCCCTGGTCGCCGGCACACCCTGCTCCGGCCTGGGCCCCTGAACCGTCGGGTCCGCCCTGGGCCCTTGAACCTTCGGGTCCGCCCTGGGCCCCTGAACCGCTGAATCCGCCCTGGTCGCCGGCACACCCTGCTCCGGCCTGGGCCCCTGAACCGTCGGGTCCGCCCTGGGCCCTTGAACCTTCGGGTCCGCCCTGGGCCCCTGAACCGCTGAATCCGCCCTGGTCGCCGGCACACCCTGCTCCGGCCTGGGCCCCTGAACCGTCGGGTCCGCCCTGGGCCCTTGAACCTTCGGGTCCGCCCTGGGCCCCTGAACCGCTGAATCCGCCCTGGTCGCCGGCACACCCTGCTCCGGCCTGGGCCCTTGAACCTTCGGGTCCGCCCTGGGCCCCTGAACCGCTGGATCCGCCCTGGTCGCCTGCACACCCTGCTCCGCCCTGGGCCCCTGAACCGCTGGATCCTTCCTGGGCCCCTGAACCGTCCAATCCGCCCTGGGCCCCTGAACCATCGGATCCGCCGTGGTCGCCTGCACACCCTGCTCCGCCCTGGCCTCCCGTCCTGCCACAGTCTCCAGGCCCTCTTCCACTCCACGGCCCTGGTCCGCCGTAGCCCACGTCCTGGTCCCATTCCCCTCCGTCGACCTGGCCCTCCATCCCCCCGCTCGACCACCCTCCTGAACTATTGTGTTTTTAAAAAAAAAATTATGGGCGTCGGGAGCCGCCCATAGAGGGGGGGCTATGTGACGTTGTGGGTTTTGTGTCTTGTTCCATGTTGTTGTCTGTCATGTGATTCCCTGATCGTCATGTGATCCTGCCATGTGTCTTGTCATTTGTTAATCGTCTGATCATTGTTCACAGGTGTTCCTTGTCTTGTAATTAGTCTGTGTATTTAAGCCCTCATGTTTGCCCTGTGTCTTTGTCTAGTATTGAATGTTTGTCCAGGGGGCTGTTCCATAAATGAAGCTTAGAAAAGCGGGGATTAAACTCCAAAACCGGACTTGAATGAGCCTAACAAATAAGTTGGGGCTAAAGTGGTTCCATAAAAGGTAATTGAAGTTCACACAATCTCACTAATTTGATCCAGGTTTATCTAGTCTAGATAATTGCGTGTGCACGCGTTTCTGAAGCAGCCCTAGAGGTCGATCGTGGATTAAATCGATCCATCATCAAACAGCGTAGTTTTTGTGCTGTTTTATGCATTTGTGACATGTTTTTTTGTTCCCCCTCAGTGCAAAAATTACATTTTACAGTTATATTCTCCATCTGTAAATGTTAGAAAGTCGTGAAAATGTATCCATTTTGCTGCTAATCTTCATATTGAACGAGCGCTGCTGCGCGCATGCGCGCCAAATAGGAGCGCAATAATTCTGATTAAAAAATATACATTTTGCTTGGAAAATTAAAATGCGATATTTTAGAACACTAGAAATATCTTCTAATTATAATAATTTCTCTTTAGGATGTTGGATAAGTTGCAGTGAACTTCTAGCTCATTACACTCATTTTATACTTCTAATAGGCCTAAATAAAAAAAATTGAACAGAATTCGCCTAATTCAGGGAAGATTTTTTTTAAGAAACTAAATATATAAAGATACAAAATATAGTTTTGGGTATAGGACCTATGCTAATAAAGATATAGGCCTATACTTATTTAGAATGCTGAGAATTGCAGCTTTTAATGCAATGATTTTTTTTTGAGAAAGCAAGAATCCCCAGTTTTAAATGAGTGGTTAGATTTAGTTTCTAAAGTACATTATGGAGAGGATAACATTAAATTAAGAACAAATGTATACATTTTGAAAAGATATGTGCAACTCTAAAATCAAAGAATATTCCATAAAATAAAGGAATATATATTGGCCTACATTTACTACATTTTTATGTAACCTTCCCTTTTATTTCTAGTTATTTGTAATTTTATTTATCTACTTATTTAATATTGAATATTTGATATTTAAATAATATTACTTGAATAACTATTAGGAATTATGTGTCATTCATTATAAGAGTTTGATATATGTGAATGTTATATTTTTATTAATATTTATTTATTGTTTTATTTATATGTATGTGTTGGTATTATCACAAAAGAAAAAAAAGTAGAAGGAAAAATAAGGAATATTTATTGGGGGAAAATAATGTCTTTAAAGGAACTGTCCATTTGTATAATTGTGTTAAATGTGTTTGAATTGAAAGACATAATAAAGTACATAATATATATATATATATATATATATATGAGACAGTGTAGAAAAAAGAATTCTCTGATAACCGAGGCATTCCTTAATTAAAATGTCTTTATTACAAAAATGACATGTCCTAAACGGACAACTTTAAAACGCCTTATATATGTGTCTATATTGTAGCCTTATTTAAGTTGATTTTCTGTATACTGTGTATTTATAAAGTCCAATAATGGTATTAGAGACTGTCAGTGGTAATATCATTGTGTTCTTGTCGGTCAGTGTTGAGGATCTGTGTAACAACTGAGGCTTAGCCTGACAGTTAGCCTGCCCTGGACCAGGCTAGTTTCCCAGCATAAGTTGCCAGGGTAACTGAGTTTGAACTTTTTTAAGTTTGATTTATGAAACCGAATCTACCAAAAATAAGCCTGACTAACCGAAATAAGCCTGGCTTATACTCTAATCTTGGTTTATGGAACAGCCCCCAGGTTCTTGGTTTGAGTTCTGAGTTTCTTGCCATGCCCTTGTTTTATGTTTGATTATGTTTTGAAGTAAAGTTGCATTGGGTTCTCAACCAGCCGGCCTCCAGTGGATTCATTCGTTACAATAAGAAAGTGATTTAGCCATTACATTACCAATCTAAAACTCACTAGGCTACATCTCAAAACACACTTGTTCACTGTGGCCTTTCCTTGGGGATTTTATTTGTTTATTATTTCTTTTACTTATATTATGTATGTGTGTGTGTTTTTTCTGTAAAGTGGGCATATAAAACTGTTTTTAACAGGTGCTATATAAAACAAGGTTACTTACCTATTTAAATCAGTTTGAGAGAGCCATAAAAAAGTACAATGCTGTGATGTCAGCAGATGGCAGCATTTTGCAGAGTTATAAATACAGTTATCATCAAGCTATAATCCAGATACTATAATCGTGGTTGTCTAAAAAGCTAATTTTAGAAAAAAGATTTTATTGCAATGTTCATTCATTTTCAACAACATTTAATGTGTAATAATAGCTATGTACAAACATATTTACAATACAAATGCACTCGGAA